CTACTCCATTTATTTTAAAGTTTTTTTGTTAAAAAAACGGCTCTACCAAATTTGTTCAAATTCATTTCAGATTTTCCTCATTGTATTATCTCTTAAGTGAATTTTATTTGAAATCGATATTTTAGTGGTTTTCAAGATATTGAGAATAAAAAACAAACCTAACAACATACATCGCTTTTTTAAATCCTCTAAAATGCTTTCAACAGTCTTAAAACGTAGACATATAACAAAATTACAAATTTCAAAAATTGACCTCATTACAATAATTTCCGAATGACAAATTAAATATATACGAGTATTTTTCAATCAAAAAATTATAATTAAACAGCACTAATTACAATGATGATACATAATTAATATTAAAAAATTTCTTATATGATTGCATCTTACTTACTATTTTTTATTTACTATTTAGAATCTTTATTTTTAGGAAGAATAATTATAAAATTAAATATATTGTCGATACATATAGAATAATAACATAATTAATTATAAATAACTACGATGAAGTAGTTTGCAGATGAAAATAACGTCTGGTCAGCTTCAGTCTCAGTCATGAATTAAATATAAATAAATTAATCATCAATCGACTGTCCAATATATAAATTTAAATATTTCAAACTAATCAATAACAAAAAAAAATATTTTACTGCATTTTAATTAATAATTTATTATAAATTAAGATATTTGTCGATCTTCTAGGTGGTGTCCATCAACATCATCATCATCATCATCACTGTAAAATAAATAAAAATAAAATCTAGATCTGAATTTAACAATACAATTATCAATTTTTTATGTTAAATAAAATAATGAAGATAAATAGAGTTTTTTTATCTTTTAATTCTCTCGAGAGATCAAGATGAAAAACTCTGTTCCAATAAACAGACATCCAACATAGATAGGAAGTACGAATAAGAGGGTGTAACGAGAAAGCCTGGACTTGCGTTAGTTGGCTCGTCAAATCAGCGACACACTGACATCTCTATTATCACAGACTCGTGTAGACAGAGGTTATAGAGAAGCAAGTGCAAATTACGAAAGGAAACACGTGACATGTTGGTGCGCGTGCTTCCGAGATAACGGATCTCCGATAATAATCTATCCCAGTGTCATCCTCTGGGGCATATGTCATGTCACTTGTCTATTTTATAGAGTATAAGAGACACGCAACTATACTATCTTGAGACATCTATAACAGCTTTAGAAAACTTTACATCAAATTCTTTTCCACGTGAATACCAAGTACTTCAATGGGCTTTCTGTGACTCAAACTTATTTAGTAACTCAAGAATTGGATTATTTTGGATTCGTTAAAGCCACATCACGAAATCCGATCGAGAGATATATTAAGAATTGGTCCATAACAGTAACAACAATGTTAGGAACTTTAATAATATCTCAGCAGTCATTCGAAGAGAAAGAGATAGAAGATAAAAGGAAGGAGGATAAAAAATAGTAAGAAGTTAAAACTCGTTACTATATGCTACATGTGGTAGCAAAACAAGTAAGAAATGGTCGACATTAAGGGACTAAAATTGGCAGGGGGCACGAGTTCAAGGGGCGCCACAAGATGCTAGATATGGAGGCTACAGGGGTTCCTCTTAATTATAAAGCTTATGAATAATAATTGTCGTGTAGTTGAACTAACATTGTGACTGCATGTTTTCCCGCTACGCCCCTGTCTGTGTAATACACCGCAGGTCACCCTTTCTTCATGTTTATACTCTCGTGAGACCCAAGCTTACTTTATCCCTTATCCTTCCACCACCAATTCCTCCGTCTCCTTCTCTCTAAACTACTTCATTATTTCCTAACTATCGTTACAAAGTAACAGTTCTTAAAAGCACTTTAATAATCAAGATATTTATTTATTTTGGTTCCCACGTATTTAAGAAGTCAAGCCCTCTGGCTAGAGTTGTACATACAAGAATGACAAAAAATCCCCACGTGTTCTTAAATACGTCTATAAGAGAAATCTGACATTTTATGGACTTTTTTTCCTCAATTTAGGTAAGAATAATCACTAGGGTGCCTTTCAATACATTAAATATACGATCAATGTCTGATTGATTTGACAATAGTTTTTTTTCTCTAAATTTAAATATGTTTGAGTTGAACGAAATTTGAGGGTAAGAAAGTACACTGCTTGAGAATTGTGAGAATGAAAATTGGCAATAACTTTCATTCTTTGCTATACTAGACTTCTTGGTATATGATTTAATTTTATGTAACGCTTAAGTCCTTAGTGTGAGTTCATTCAAGAGTATTGGACTGAATAATACTTTTTATAGAATTAATTATTCCAACATATTCATTTAGCATTTAAACACACAATGATTAATTGAATTGAGGGGAAAAACTCAATTTTTATAAATATTTGAATCATTTTGTTATTTTTGCTGTAACAAGATTCAGTTTTAACTTCAAAACCTTTAATTCCTTTGATGTTCCAATAGCTGCCTATAATTTTATTCCATTTTGGGAACCATCAACCTCATTGAAGATTTTGATGTCTTGAACTGATCTAAAAATTTTATTTTTGTCATCAATGTCGTCATAAATTGTTATATCATTGTTTGAATGGCATTAATACCTTCTTGAGGTTCTAAATAAATTTCACAAGATCCATTTTTAATCTCAACTTTGTCAAAGCGGACACAATAAAATTGAAGTCAAAAATAGGCTTAGATTATGTGGATAATGACATACTTGTAATTCGAATTTCAACTTTAAAGTTGTAATTAAAGACTTAAAATTAAAAAAAAATATTTTAAATTCTATCTCAGGATGAAACATTTAAAATAAGAATATAATGATTAATAAAATTTATGTAATTTAAATTGTTTTTATAATTATTATAAATAATGGGATGTATTTTTCATGATACAATTGATTTAAAATTAAAGCTAAAGAAAAAAAAGAAAATACTTGATATATATTTGATAAAAGGTTGTAATAATACAAATAGATAAAAGACGTATTTTCCTCGTGGAACAATTTATTGGTAAACTTTGGTAGCTTGTTATAAGGTTACGTGTGTTGAGATAAGAAATATCCTGTAAGATCTTGGGCTGCTTTCTCTACTCGGCATCTCTTGGTAGAGAAGTGGTAGGGAAACCACGCGAGTTTAGCGTGTGTATGCCAAGCAATTCTCTTCCCCTTGCTTTCGAAAATACCAGGCTTACCTCTGCATCACGCTCTCATGTGGGCCGTTGGTCTGCATCAATGCTCTCGCGACATTGTCATGTACTTTGCCAAGCTTCCCCTCCTTCTAAACTCTATTTTCCCTATATGACAAACTTCCTATGATTTGGCTGTTATTCATTTTAACGTTTATAAGTAAATAAAGTTTTAAATTCTCCAACTTGTTCCAAAAATAATGAAATATTTGAGATACCAAGTTCAGACAGCAGGCGTGAGAAAGAGCTAGAGTTTCCTCTTCTAGAAACTTCCGACGTGGTAATATAATAATATAAGGAAAAGACGGTAGTATCTACGGGACTTGCAGTATATATACGTTTACTTACTCTCTCCTACAGCTTTCCTATACCACCCTTTAGTCTAAAGCTGAGACTTAAATAACGTGAGTTTGGATTTATAGTAATACTTTTATGAAATAATGTTAGTGGCGGATATTAAGGCGGACACTGGAAGCGTCTCTGGCTATGCGCCATCGAGATTTTCCTACTTCTTCCTTTTTCCTCGTAATTCAAACATTCTACCCTTCTTATTCTACCACCTTTATCGCAACTTTTGCATTATGAGATTCTAAAAATCCTAACCCGGTCATACTTGAAATATTGAAAATTCATCTCAAAAATCTTCTGAAGAACATTTTTATCTTCAACTCTTTGTTTTACTTCATAAATTTTGTAAATAGATTAAATTTTTTTTTTTTAATTAAATTCTCTATTTTCTCAACAAAGTTATTGTCATGATAAGTTAAAATTATTATATCGATAAAGAAAATTAGGACCATATGGAGTAAAATGGAGTACTCCAAAAAGTAAAAGGGTTCAGCATATTAAAAATTTTTTTAATTAATTCTTCATTTTTTATTTAATGTAATTCTTTCGTATTTATTTATTATTATTTATTTATTTTACTTTATATACTACAAAAAAGAATTTTGTTATTTTTAAAAAAATTCACTTCATAATAAATATAATCATACAACTATTTCTCATATAACAATATTAAAAAAATAGTTTTTTTTTCATAAATTCACATTTTGATAAAAAATAATAACAGCTTTATTAAACATAAAAAAAAGATTATTATAAAAAGTGTTAATTTATTTCATTCTATTTATATAATAAATTTTTTAATGATCCCAAAAATCAATTATTTTACTTACTTTATACGAATTTAATAATTAATTAAAAATCATAAAAATAATTATAGAATATGAAAAATTCGTACAAATGCTCTTCTCGTAAATCCTTACGAGAATTAATAGGCAACAAATATTTATTATCATTAAAAAAATGATAGAATATTATTTTACATTTTAAAATAAAAAATGGTAGAAAATATTTAATTATTATGCAAAATTTGTAAAAGATTTCTAGATTATCGGTGTTACAGGTAGCTCCGAGTACCCACTAGATGACTCTCAATTGCTCAGGATCACTTGAATGTCCCCTTTCGTCTTGATGTTTTTTTTTTATTTTATTTTGTTTCATCTTATGATTGCACTGCATGGACTGGACCATGAGTTAGGTCAGCACAGAAGATACTGTGAGCTCAGTGATACTTGTTTCTAATGATTAATTGTCAAACAATTATAAAAATAAAGCCAATCTTTAGTACCAATATTCAATCCTGTACTATACTTTTTAGTGGTTAACAAAAATTTTATCATTACATACTGACAATGTTTTTGAATAATTAATATTTTAAGACAATTATTTTGTTCTATAAAAATAGAAAGTTTATGTTTATTAGAGTCATCTTCATTTCATCTTATTCTTTTGCGTGCTATAGAAACTTCATAAAATGTGTGAAAAGAAAATCTCGAGAATAAAAGTGTGTTTATTCAAACAAAACAATCATAAAGAATTTATTAATTAATTATATGAATTGAATTGTTGACATGTGAAGACGACAGTTAAATTCTTCATATTTCTAGTGGTTTTTGAATATTTCAAGTAAGTTTTCAATTAAATTATAAATGAAATAATTTTTTAATATTTAAACAAAAAAATTATCATACGTTAGTCATTATTATAAGCTGGTTTTTGAGACCCACGAATAATTATTGTCGCCGGTGCAACCGGTTCAGTTCTCACCTTTTATAGTCTTTCAAAAAGTGTCCGTTACTTTATTCGCCATGACAATCATGTTATAAAACCAAAATAAATCAAGTTGCAGAGACATATTTGCAGATGCTGTGAGTTAAGACACAAATCGAGACCTAAATTTTTCCACTCCCATTCCTTATTCTTGTTATAAAGAAGACATTTGTCATTGAAACTCCTTTGTTAATCAAAAATATTTTATAGATTCATCAATTAATTTAATTTAAATTTAAAAAAAGTATCAACTTTAACAGCCTTCTTACAAGTAGTTTTGAAAAGAAGTAACAATTTTCTTCGTAGTAGAGTATACGTCCTTCCTAAGAAGTTTCTGTCCTGTATCTACTTGTGTCTTCTCAATTTCTCGTATGAGAGGGGAGTGAAAGTCAGTGGTAGTGTGCGTTTGTATACGTACAGAAGATGGGATTTAGTTTGGGCAACTTAAGGAATGCAGTGACCGCGGTCTTGAGTACAGAGTACAAAAGTAGGTATAGACTTGCAGGTACAACGAGATTATTTTGTTACATAAAGCATCATTTATATTTATAAAATATCGTATGTACACATCGAATATGAATAATTTGATGATGATAGTAAAAATCAAAACATTGATTAATTACATTCACAATCTTGATATTGTTGAATGATACTCTAAAAATTTTTTTCCATGAAGAGAAAACTTAAAAGTGGAAAAAATCACACTAATTACTTAGACAATTAGCTCATACATTCGTTAATGACCTTCGAGAATACGTGAAAGTACATTGCAATTACTTTCCTCTATCGTTTTGCCATTGTGTCTCTTGGGAATTTGTTGGAAAATGTCAGTTTGCTTTCATTTACCCTACTTAATTATTAACTATAATTATTACAGTAAGTAATTATAATTAAAATTCTTAGATATTAATATCTTCATTATTTTTAGTCACAGGAGGTATGGAAGCATCCAACGGATACCAGCAAACATTCATCAATTCATCACGTTTATCACCACAACAAATTCAAACTGTAACACCAACAGATCATCATCGTGGAATTTGTATCTCTGATTCTGGTCACGAAATCCTCCGGCCTAAGCCGCGAAGGTGAGACTCAGGATTTTTATAATGGATCTCTTTTGTATATGTTACTCCTGATGCTTTCCTGATCTTTTGGCAATTCATAAGATGTCATAGGTCAAAGGAGAGTAAAAAAAAAAATAATTAAAGGATTAAAATCAATTCACGCTCGGCTAAGAAGAGGGTCAATGGCCTTGTATACTAACTTTTTTCAATGGAGTTGTGGTTGAATCATTAATAATCGTCATCCGGACCAGGTAGACTAACAAGAACACATGACCATACTTTATAACCATTTCAACTTGGATGCAAAAGCAAAAAAGAATGAATGAGAAGTTTTATTTGACTCATTTCAAAATAATATTTTTTTCTTCGAACAATTCTTAACAAAAATGGAAAGTAAAAAAATGTAAATTGATGATATCGTCCCTGACCTAGAAAAATGTTAAAGAAGAACGGAAATAATTGCAAATGAGTACGGAAAAGTTTATTAATTAGGATATAAAGCAGCTCTATGGCAAATGTTCCTTTTACTAGCAAATTCATGAATAAAATCTCACGGCTTCAGCAATTCTCTCAATTGTTTACGTTCCCAGATATCTTTCTAACTTTCGGATAAATAATTTTATTCACCAAGTCATAAAGAAAGCCAAAAGTAAAACTCTCTTTTTCACACGATGCGACCATGAACACACGAATCGTTACGGATGTTGGCAGGGGTGATTGCAGGAAATAGGATGGACAGGAAATTACGCCCAAAAACTGCTGTCAATGTTATTTAATTTGTTTCATTCAAAAAGTCTTCAACTGATCCAACACTTTACCCAAGAACTTTGCCTATTAAATACTTACTAAAATTCTTAATTTATATTTCAAAACATCGTCAAATGTTGATAAGTCATCAGTAAATTCTATTACATTGTATTTAACACTTAAGTTGGAATACAGAATGTGATTATAGCCTATGTTATTTGATAGAAGACAAGATAGAATGGTCCAGCCTTTAATATGGTCCATTGGTTTATTTTACGAGCACGCTACTTCCTCCATCAGCTAGCCCATAAATATATTAAAAAATAACTTCTTGGAATTAAACAGAAACTTCGAGAAGTAACGATTGGTGATAATTAGCAGAGTAACAACAGAAAGTGACCCATAATCCTATCTTCTCCTCTATTAATTTGGATTTAATAGTAATTTCAACAAAGATCAAACATATAAAAATTTATATCAAAAAAATAATATAAATAAAATATAAGACAAATTTCCAGTTATGTAAACAAACACTCAATTACCGATTAACGTTGCGATAATCTTAATCTAATTTGGAAAAAACATTCAATCAGATTAAGCTTCATATTATATATTGCATTTTATGTCAAGATAAATCTATTCAACATATTATTATAGTTCCAAGCAAGCTTTAAAAGGATTGTTCAAACTTGGTAAACAAGACTTAATTCGGAATCAGTTTTTGCTTAATTAATTCTAGATTATAACTACCTTTTAATAGTTAAACTATGTCATTTTTTCTTGATTCAAAATATTAATGTAAAATAGTAAAATTGAATCGAATGAAAATTTTGAAAATAATAAAAATGGTCAATATGATGAGGGTATGAGTTCCTGGATTGACACTCGGATATCTAGATTGCTTTCTTCTATCTTTCATTTGCGTGTCAAACGAGAAAATGTATTAACCTAATATTATTAATTAGAGAAAGAAAACTGATTGAATATGTAAAATAATTTATATTTTAATATTCATGTTAAATAGTAATTCAAAAAATATGATTACTAAGGTAAAAAAAAACAACACTTGTCACAACTTAAATTAATAGTCATCAAGATTCATGAGGCGTGGTTTTTATAAAAATATCATTATCTCTTTTTTTTCAAATAATAGAAGTTGTGTTACGCTGATCCATATGACGAAAGTAATAACGTGTAAGAAGAGTAAAATACTAGATGTATAGTGGTGTATCCATTTCCTTCCCCTACTCAAGAGGAAGTGCACGTTTCACTTGATGATGTACAGGAAACCACGAACACACCAGTTCAGTCACATGTTTACAACCGAAAGGATCTCTAGAACAGAATTATATTTTTCAATTTATTCAAAGTGATGATAATGGTGATGGTGATTATAATCTAATTTAATTTGATTGAAAATTTTTTTGTTAAAAATGCAACTTTTTATGTGAAGAAAAATGTTAATGACAAGAAATAATTCTTGCCCGAATGATTGTAAGTGTTACTTTTGTCGAGAGTTTAAGGACTATAAAATAAAATTACCGAAAGTTAAAATTTATAATAAACGAATGGATAGTACAAATTTTATTTTACGTAGAGCATTACCATTTGTTAAACGTACACCGTCCAAGGAGTGGCAGGAAGCTACCAAGTGTGATAATTACGAGACCATGTCAACCCTCGAAGACAAAACGAGACTTCCTCCTTCATATTCATTAGATTTAAACTATGAGAAGAACAATCCAGTTGAATTTACTCCAACACGACCTGCACCACCAAAACCAATAGCTAAACCAAGAACCTGCACTTCAACAGAGTGGATTGAAAAAATCGAAAGAGCTGATGATAATAAAGTAGTAATTTATTGTGGTGAAAAGAATAGTCCGGCACAATCAACTTGGTCACTTAGAGAAGATGATTACCAAAATAAAAATTCAGAAAATGACATTGAAGTAGAAGTAAATGAAGAAGATGGAAAGTCAATGATTAATTATCAAATTGAAGAGATAAAAAATGATATCAGTGATGATAATAATTCTAAGAAAATAATAATTAAAGTCAGTCCAAGTAGAGAAGATGTTTTAAAGATTGAAGAAGATGAGACTAGATTGGAAGATTACTGGTCTTTACCAGGAGATACTACGGGTTTTAAGGCTGATTGGAGTTTTGTTCAACAGTGGCGGCTTCGAGGGTAGCGCTCTTTGTCTATCATTTTAAGATTAAAAAGCGTTATAGTTCTTTTATACATTTTTTATATTGATTTAAAATAATCGAACCGTCATTTTTATTATTATTTCTATCAATAATTTATTGAACTGTTCATTATTTTCCAGACCTGGTGGAAGAGTAAAAGATATTTATTGTCCTCCATATAGCAAAGATGTTTCTGATACACCGACTACTTCAGAAAATCACAACATTGTTCATATGACGTCAGAGAAAGATATAGAGATCATTGTTCCAACATCTACCGCTCAACATCCTCATCAGTTTCAGCATAATCATCTTGGCCTTCATGAATTTCAGGATCTTCAGGTAAGTTACCATTAAAATTTATGTCGTAATGCATTGCACAGAAATATTTATAATATTTTTTATTCATAATCAACAATTGAGTAAAATAAAAAAGTTGTTATAATTATTTGATAAAGTTAAATTTAAAAAAAACTTTGTTTAATTTATAGCAGTAATAAATGTAAATTTTAATCCCTTTTTTTTTATTGTGTGATTATAATTTGTAAATGAAAACTTTATTATAGTATATGATAATTATAAAAGACTTATATTATTTAATATCTATAGGTCTTTATTAAAATTATCATATGATAATGATAAGTACAGATAAAGTATTTAGACATCTAAAATTGTTCGAGAGATCCCTTGCTACTATTAAATATATTTTGTTAATTAAAAGAATCATTGAGTTATAATAATAAAACTGAAAATTAATTCATAAGTTGATCTTAAAGAAATTTATCAAATTTTGCCGGAGGCTTGAATACTAATTGTCTAAATAAATATAAAGATGTTCTACATATTTTTTAACAATCTGGAAATAAATTTATCAGAACCGGTATCAGAATATTAGAACTTCGGTCAATATAATTACGATTGACTAGTATTATATACTATAAACATGACTTAATGGAATGTTATTATGAATAACATAATAATACAATTTCCACTTACACTCCATTCATAGTTTTATTTTGAAAAAAGAATAACATATTATTTTCATCCATGTTAATCACTACATCTAGTATTATAATTTAAACACACATAAATCAGTATGACTATTCTATTTGCTTAAAAATGTCCTTATCAATCACGAGTCCATAAGCATAAGAATAGTAAAATTATAATATAATATTAAAGTGTTGCTTGTACCATGTGCTGAAAATTCAAGTCTCATTGTGAGAAAATATTTTAAAAAATTGTTATCAACATTATTATAATCATTAAAAACCCGTAACTACTTGAATGACACATTTTTATGAACTTATAATATTATAGATAATAAAAGATAATATTTAAACTAATCACATGGTTGGTTTTACCACTTTTATGAAAAAAAAAATCTATAAATATGTATTGTAGTATATAAAAATATTTATCTATTTTAAAAGTTAACATATTTATTTAAAAAAAATTGATTTGAAATGCGTTTTGTATTATATTTAATATAGTTGAAACTATGAAATACATGTATTATTTCAGAAAAGACCAATGGAATGTACAGGTAATAGCTCATCAGATGAAAATCGATCATCAGGACATGCAAGTATGTCAGATACAGGTGGTCATACAAGTAGTAGTTCTCCACCTCACCGTCATCACCGATGTCACAGTCCCCAACAATTAAATTCCGTTCCAGAAGATGATAGATTTTCTGCATCAGTAACTCAACGAAATAGTCGTAATCGATCAGGTCAAAGTCGAAATCGACATCGTGCAACACCCGCAAAGGTATTTTCCTATACAGTTCTTTCTTTATATATTTCTTATTATATAACACTTTTAATACACATTACATGGTTTGATAATTGTAGCTTCAAGTTCCTTGGTCAGGTTCTGGACTGGAAGACATCAAACTAGCAATTCAACAGCTTACAATGCGTTCCCACACTTCAACATCTACATACTCATCACTTAGTGGATCTGAAAGCTCAGAACCGGCAATGCGACGTTTAATGCGACACTCTAGTTTAGAGACAATTAACACAAATGTAACAAATGCTGATGAATTTGTATGGGTCGATTCACACAATCGATTGGTTGAACTTCAACACCTTCCTTGGACACATCATGACGTCCTGCGTGTCCTTCAGAACGGTAGAACTCTTGAACATATGAATCAGGTATCCATGGAAACAATTCCACGTCTCTCTTATCTCCTTCAACGTGCTCTCGTTCGTGTGGGACGAGAAATTCAACGATTGGCAAAGCCTCTGGGTCTCTGTAGTAAACATGAAGTCTACAGTGCATTTAAAATCGTTCTTTGTCCAGCATTAGCTGATTCATGTACCAAAGCTTGCCTACGTGCAGCAGCAATGTTTGCTGTCTCTGGAGATCAATTAAAATTATCAAAAGCTTCGAGATCAGGGCTTCATTTACCAGTAGGACGATTTCTTCGTTGGATGTGTGATGTAAAATTAGGAAGAATGATACATGAATATGCTGCAGTTTATTTAGCAGCTGGAATGGAGAATCTTCTTGAAGAAATGCTCTTGCAATGTTTACCGACTGAACCACACACAACTCTTACAGCAACTATGTTAGAACACACCATTGCTAACAATGGAGATCTCTGGGGACTTTTACAACCTTATGCTCATTTGAATGCTGGACGAATAGCATCGGGTGCCCTTGCAATGCCACGATGGCCTAGTATAAGTTCTTTAAACTCATCGAATTCATCAAGAAGTAGCAAAGAGCCATTAGGAAGTAATTTAGAGTCTTCTTTGCTTACTACATGTGTTGGGTCTATGAATGAACTTTTGGATTTAATTGCTAAAATATCTCATGCAGGTCGTTGCCCAATACCCTTATCCCATAAAGCTTTAAATGCTCTATTTTATTATATGCGATGTTCTCAATTGGAACATGGAGAAAAAAGTTCTGGCATTCAAGAATTAACTTATGAAAGAGCTTACGTCGTTTTACCACCATTAATTGAATGGTTAAGAGTTGCAACTGCTCATGCAGAATATCGTCATGGGCTTATTATTGATCATGACGATATTAGTCAAGCAGCACGACTCCTGCTTCCGGGTGTTGATTGTCCAGTTCGACCAATATGGTCGGAAGAAGTCACTATTTTTAAGCGTGCAGATGATAATGAATGCGTTCGTCGATTGACATTAGATATGGCATTTAAAATGTTAACCAGTGGCAGAGCAGAATTAATTACACAAGCTTTACCATTACTTCCTAATACAAAACTTAATACTGTAAATGATAATGGGATTACTGCGCTGATGCTGGCTTGTATTCTTAACGATGAAAATGCTGTAATATCTCTATTAGATGCTGGCGCTGATCCTAATATTGAAAGTCCTGCTCCAACAAATCAACCTTTAGGAACACCGTCCAAAAGTCTTCCATCATTAGGAAGTTCTACTACGAAGCAATCGTCTAGTCCTGGAGTATCGTTAACACCGCTTAAAAATATTCCCTATTTCAATAGTTCTCCTGGATCACCAAATTATCATGGAAATACTAATATAAGTCAGGGTAATTTTAATGCTGAAACTCAGCATTGGACTGCATTGACTTATACTGCTCTTTTGGGTCATTGTAATATTGCACGAATTTTACTTGAACGAGGAGCGGCTGTGGAAGGAGGTGCAAATGTCAGTGAAGATAAATGTACTGTAACTCCTTTGCAAGCAGCTACAGCAACAGGAAACAATGAAATGGTGGCCTTACTTTTAGCACATGGAGCTCAACCTTTTTTATCGACTTTGATGAAAGATTCCTTTTGTTATTCTGGCTCAGTACAACGTGGATGTTACAGTGCAATTTCGGTAGCAACGGCTCATGGACAACGAAGCTGTTTACATCAACTTCTTTCGCATCCTCTTAATTTTTCAGCAAAAAAAGATGAAAAAGAAGTACTGTCATTAGAAGAAATACTTGCAGAAGGCAATCCTGGTATCAGCCCATATCAACACTATCAACAACTACCAGAAAATCAGGGTAGTTATCAAGAAAACAAAGAACCGGTTTTTAACAAAACACAAAGTAAAACACTTCAAGAAGCAATGTATCATAGTGCAGAAAGTAATCATCTTGATATTACTATGGAATTAAGAGGCCTTAAAGTAGGATGGAGTCTACATTGCTGGATGCTTAGTCTTTCAACTGCTCATGAAATGAGAATCGATTCTGTTATAGATCAACTTCTTCAAGATTTTTTACAAGTTTGTCCCGATGATTATTCTACTCAATTTGTTCAAGAGTGTCTTCCATTATTATTTAATATTTTTAGATATAGTAAGGTAATATTAATACCACATTTACATAGAAAAATGAAATTTAATAATTTGAAGAATTATATCAATTTAAATTTTTTTAGAAGGAAGGAACAACATTACTATTAGCTGATATATTTTGTACTTGTTTTGGATGGGAACCAATAAAACCTATAAGAGATACAACTCTCGCTAGTGGATCCAGAATTGATCCAAAGTTCGTTAATAATCCTGAATTAAGTGATGTTCAGTTTCGAGTTGAAGGGAGAGTATTTTATGGTCATAAAATTGTGTTAGTTACTTCATCACCAAGGTTTAGAAGCATGTTGAGTTCAAAATTATGCGAAGGAAATCCACCAATTGTTCAAATTAATGATATCAGATATCATATTTTTCAAGTAAGATGTGAAATATTACTCAATCATTCAGCTTTTAGGAGTAAAATAGTTATTGATTTAATATTTTTGATATTTAATATTATTTTTGACTAATTACGAAATAGTTAATTCATCTTATTGTTGTATGTTTAAAATAAATCAAATATACTTTTTCTATAATAGATAGTTATGGAATTTCTATATCATGGTGGTTGTGCTACTCTTGAAGTCAACCAAGGAGATGTTTTAGAATTGATGGCCGCAGCAAACTTCTTCCAGCTTGATGGTTTATTGAGGTTCTGTGAAGCACAATGTTCTGCAATGGTTGATCTTGATAACGTTGTATCTATGTACATTCATGCAAAGGTTAATTTATCCTTTTAATAACAAATAAATACAATAAATCAATCGAAAATAATTAATAATTTTAATCAACAGGTTTACAATGCTGTACAATTATTGGAATATTGTCAAGGATTCCTGTTACAAAATATGGTAGCATTACTGACTTACGATGATTCAGTAAAACGCTTATTATTTGCTAAAAAATTACCAAATCATGATGTGTTGGCTGGTCTACTTCTTACTCTTCAAGCAAGAATAAAATCCAGAAAACCACAACTACAAAATAAATTAAAAAATTGAGAGACTGATATTAAATAGATTGTAAGTTAAAAATAAATTCAAGTCACGATTTGTCCGTTGTTAAATTTAACTTATGCTCGATACTTGTCAAAATTAATTAATTATTTTATCAAAAAGACAAAAACTATTTATGTACCTATATGTAAATAAATAAAAGCGAATGATAAAAAAGATTAATTCCATTTATTTTGCATCAAATAGTTTATTTAATGTTTACATAATTGCATCACTTTGATTTTACATATCCAATAATATACCTTACATCGGTTTTGCCTTTGTCCACAACAATAAAAAAAAATTTATTCTATAATAGTAACATTTAGTAATATATATACAAGTCAATTAATAGTTATTGATAGATAAATAGGGTACGATTGATTATTTTATTTTTTGGAATGCCTAAATATGGTTATTTTATACTATAATCAAGAAGCGGATCTATTACAATGTAAAAAATTGCCTTCTTAATTACACATGATATTTGAAAAAGTATTAATCAAAGTCATAATATAATCACAAAGTATCAATAATATATAATTCATTTTAACTAATTAAGAATATCTTTCAATGGTAGTAACAAATATTTAAAATCATCACATGGTTCTTTTTGTTAATGAAAAATTTAATAGAAAAAATAATGGCACATGCATAAAAAAAATATCTTCAAACAACACAAGTGATGACTTAGACATCTTACGTATGTGCATTTGAGAATTGAATTAAAAGAAAAAAAATACAAACATTCCATTAGGCGATAACATTTATGATAAGTTTGAGACAAAGTCTTGATGTGCCACATATCAAAATTGTTTAAAGAAAATAACGCTAACTAAGCTTTGTGACTAGAATAATCGTCAGAATAATGAGAGCAACAAAGGCTATTATCAACAGAATGCATAATTTTCGTCGGAATTTATTCTGATAATTGCTAGCACGTGCCAACTCTTCAGCTCCTAAGCCAACATTTCCATGAACATTTTCAATGCTATTTTCAATGGTATCTGAAAATGAATTTGATATTATAGTTAAACATTGATAGTAATTATATATTTTCGAATATAAATTCCAAGACCACTTACCAATAGCTGCACCTTGCTGATAGACTAAAGCTCCTAATTCCCGCATTATTTGATTAACATCCAGAATGTCATCTTCTATTTGTCGTATTCGATCTTCACGTTCTAAAAGGATTCCTTGTACAAATTCTAATTCTCTGTAACAATATAATAAATACATTATTGATTTCATTGAAAGAAAAAATTAATTTAACTATTTAGAAGAAAATTATACTAACCTTTGTTCAGCTTTCTTCTGATCATCTAGATGAGCTTGCATTAGTCCTTGTTGTTCACCATCACTGTCTTCTTGTTGCTCCATGGCTACCGTAGATGGCAAAATATGTCTCTTCATCTTTTGCAGAATGGACTTTAATGTGAACATAAATAAAAAATGAATTGTTTACAAATAATGAAAAAATGGAGATGAACAAAAAAATATACCTCAACCATAAGCGTAAAATCCACTTAGATATTTTGTTCATGTCTTGGATGTTTAATGAATTAACATTCGTATCAAGTGACGTACTTGTTGCATATCTGAATATCTTCGAAGAGCATCCTTAAAGTCCGTGGTTAGCTTCTCAATTTGTAGTTTCTGCTCTTTGTCGCCTTTCCTCATCAACACTGTTATCCTCGCTATATCTCGGCTGGTCTGGGTTACCACCTGATTTGTGTTACGTTGTGTTGCTCGTCTAAAATATCAAAATTGATTTTATTTCGTTAATTAATTATCACCTAGCTATCATTAGCATACTATTACATATTCTTATTTAATAATATAATATAATTTTTGAATAATAAAGTAAATCAAGTTTGAGAACATTCATTTAAATGTAAACAGCAATGATAGAAATGATCATTACATTTTGAAAATAATATAAATCAATCAATGAAAATTTAAATAATAAAAACAAGATTATTACACTCTATCCCGAAGTTCTTGGTTATCTTTATTAGTGCCTATATTCTTGCTTGCTTTGTCCAAAGTTGTCCAGCTTGCATTTATAGTATAGATATTTGATGTTATGTTTTCGCTAAGATTATACAGCTCAGTAGGACTAAAACCAACGTCAGGCACAGTCCGTTGGTCAGTAGACCCATAATTTTGCGACATGTAAGCCATTCTGAAAAATAAAATATTTAAATAAAAATATGATTAAGAATGATTAACTTACTAAAAATATCTTGTTAAATAGCTTATTCAAATTGAGTATGTTTTTGAAATATTATAATTGAATAATCACATCAATTAATTATTGTCAAGTGCTGAATCATTTATTCTTATACTAACCTTGATGTTTATAAAACTACTGAAAAGCGAAAAATATGTTCTCTTCAACTTTATTTAGCATTTGATCCTTCGAAATGACGTTGATAAATTTCTCTTGTTCCTTGTAGAATTTGATAATTCCTTATGATGACAGCAACTCCCTTAGTTTTCCTTGTCGTCAACCACTAAAAGTTAAAGTCCCGGTACAAATGATCTATTTTACCGGAATGAAAAATTACTACGTAATTCAAAACTCAAATGAAAAAAACGTATTAATCAACAAAATTAATTTATAAATTAAAATATTAATTTTAAAAATAATAAAGTAAAATTTAAATAATTTTCATTAGAAATATTAGTTTAAAAAAAATAAAAATTTATTTAGGAAATTGAAAAATAACACGGAAGTGACTAAAGTCACGTCAAAAATAACGTTACTATTTAAGTCAAATTTATGTTAAAAATAAAAATTATTTTTGATAAAAAAATTCTTTTATTAATTTTTATGTATCAGAAATATCAGAATAAAATAAATACTAATAGTTAAGAAGGTTTTTAAACAATAAAGAAATAAAACGAATAAATTATATTGAATAGTTAATGTCACGGCAGACGCTGACTTGACAAGACGTACATGGTGCGGAAGTCTCCAAGTCCGACCGACAGATTGCGAAAGCCTTTACAAACAACAACCATCGACCGTAAGTAAATCGTCGTGTGATATATAATATTTTTACTATGTTAAAAGTTTTCATTAAACATTTTATTTGTATAGTTGTTTAAAGTGTGATATAATAATTTATCGTGATAAAAACATTGGGAATTAGAGTTAGCATCAATAGGATAAATTAAACATTTAAGTGGAGCAGAATATTCTCGAGGGTCAAAGTGAGGAATCGTACGTATATCGTTTCATGCGTCATGTCGGCGCATCTTCCATCTTTTATTCCCCACGATAATATTGCATCATTTTTCATTCATTATTTTAATATTATTTATGAATATTACGGATTTATTTAATTATTTTATCGAGAAACAAACCAATGAACATTGATGTACTTGCTGATCAACACTCGCACATGAGATATTTTTGACGTTTTACTAAAAGTGACTTTTTATAACGCTTTATTATAAGGCTTCACATTTTCTTTGTATTGAATCAGCGGCATTTAATTTGCTTTATCATTAAAGGAAATTTTGAGTCAGAAAATTTTCTTCAAAGTTTTATTTTAATATTATTACAGCAAATAATTTTTTAATAGAGATTTTTTTTTTTTGTTATCTATTTATTATAAGCACTCTTTTTTAATTTTTTTCATGGCGTGTAACTAGTTGAGTAGCTTATATACTTGTCAAACAAGACTAAAAATTTTTAGATAATAATGCATTGTTCTTCCTAGTATTATTATTGATGAAAATTTACATTGACAGTTGTTATTCAAAAGTTTTCCGTGATTGTCGAATAATTTTATGTTGGCAGCACTCGTACATCACATAAAAAAAACTACGGAGCATTCATCACGGCGCAACAGTGACGTGTCTTACAAGCTATAGGAATAAAAGAGTTCAGGGTAACCCTGGAAAAATGAGCAGAAAAGATAGATTTACTGTTTTTTTTGCGTCATCTCTTGATTCACCTTCTTACATATCATATTCTTTAATGCAATACAAAGAACATTTATCTCTAATGAATGGATATAATAAATATAAATATTTATAATATTCAATCTTATTAAAAAAACAAAAAAAAAAGGAGATACTAGACTAGATTCTTTGTTCAATTCTCCACAAGGACGAAAAATTTATGAACGCACACATATTTATACATATATGTATAAATATATATTAATAAAATAATCTATAATACTAAAAGGAATCAACCTCTAAGTAGAGTCAAATGACCTCCACCGGTAGGACGAGCATCGTTGCGCGTAGACTATAGCAGGGTAAACGCCGTCGCAAGTTCATTGACCGTCTGACCATGAGCCGCGCCCCACATACGTTTTACCACCTTAAATTTCGTTTCTGCTGTTTAATTTGATTTGACATATAGAAAGAAAAATATTAACAATTTTTCATATAATTATTAAGATTTTTTATAATACTGAATGTTCATGTTCATTTCAGCTCCCTACCGGAAGTTCTGTGTGCCGTGATTTATCATTGAGGGGGTTAACACACACGCAACAACGGACAACCCCACAGGACCGGGGGGTGCTTCTCGTGTCTCGGGAGGAAGGTCAGGGCTTAACTAAATAACCTTGACTTTGTTTAAAAAAAAAAAAGAAAATAACAAAAATATCAGACAGTTAATAGTTCTAGTCGTACTTGTGTGTGCGAAAAATAAAAACAAAGAAACTAATTTGTGAGTCACATACGATTTACTCACCAACAAGACTAAAAAGTTCGATGCCTTCCAGGGACGATAATCGCTCCCTATCCACTGAGCAACGCTGGATCCCTCCTTCAACTATTAGACGCGATGCTTTCATCCCAGAAGACAGAAATGATTTCATCTTCCGTAAGGTGCGGGGTATTCTTAACAAGCTCACACCGGAAAAGTTCACAAAGCTGAGCAACGATCTGCTCAAAATCGAGCTTGATTCTTATGTAATTCTGAAAGGTGTCATTTTATTGGTATGTATTTACATTAACATTAAATTATTGTTTAATAAATATATCGTCTTTCAATAACATTAATTAAATATTGAAGAATTATTAATATTATTATAAACATTACCATTGAACAGATATTTGATAAAGCACTCGATGAGCCCAAGTACAGTTCTATGTATGCACAGTTGTGCAAGCGGTTGTCAGAAGAAGCACCAAACTTTGAAACACAAAAATCAACAGTTGATAATCCAAAAGCTCGTAACACATTCACAGTAATTTTGCTAAACAAGTGCAAGGCGGAATTTGAAAATCGTTCAAAAGCTAATGAGGCATTCGATAACCAAGATGATCTGGGTCCAGAAGAAGAAGAGCGTCGTCAGATTGCAAAACGCAAAATGCTTGGAAATATTAAATTCATCGGAGAACTTGGCAAGCTTGAAATTGTATCAGATGGTATCTTACATCGGTGTATTATGCAATTATTATCAGAGATTAGCAAGAGGGGATCCCGGGGGGACGCGACTGAAGACATTGAGTGCCTATGTCAAATTATGCGAACATGCGGCCGTATCCTTGACTCGGATAAAGGCCGACGCCTCATGGAACAATACTTTGATCGTATGAGCTCTCTGGCAGAGAGTAGTGTTCTTCCCCGACGTATCCGTTTCATGTTATGCGACGTAATTGAGTTACGACGCGATGGATGGGTACCACGTAAAGCTACAAGTACTGAAGGCCCAATGCCGATGAATCAGATCCGTAATGATCATGACGACTCTTCGAGAACGAATACAGGATTTCATAGGCGCGAAGATCGTATCGGCAGTGATTTCTTAAGAAAAATAGGCCGTCCTGGCATTGACATGGATATTGTGGGTAGTATCCCACTAACTTCTCCATCATTTGGTATGTCATCGCCATTCAGTCCAAATGGATTCCCAACTCCACCAGCTAACTACGGCCGTCACAACCAGCGTAATCAAACGCCTACATATTTTCCTAATCAAAACCGCCATCAAAATAATTTTCCAGGTAAACATAACCAACAACAACACAATCTACCACAAAATTATAATAATAACGGAAACAAAGAGCAATTACGTTTTAATAAAAGTAAAATGCTCATTGGACACCCTGAAGAGGTATCTTTAAGACCGTCAACTACATCAATGATGTTTAAGCAAGCTACCATCAAGCCTACATTGCCACTTAATTCAGATCTTTTCTCTGGACGTACACCAGAATCGCCATTACTTCGTACAGCTACTATTAAAACTCCTCCACTATTGCCCAAGGAACCACCTCCAGCAATAGTAATTAAACAAGGACCTCTTGATAAGAGAGATAAAGCACGTGATCGCAAAGACAAAGGACTGACTCGAGAAGAAATTATTAAAAAAGTTAATGCCATGATGGATGATATGTCTGTAGAAACTAATATTAAAGACGCAGTGACAACTTTCAAGGACCTAAAGGTGCCAGAACGTTTTCTACGTCATGCTATTTACACTATTTATTCGAACACGCTGGAACGTGGTGATTCAGAACGTGAATTTGCCGTTAAATTTGTCGCTGAGCTGAAAAAAGATAATGTTATAAACTCTCAACAAATGAATGAAGGATGGAAGGAACTTGTTGCAAGTATTCCTGATAAAGAAAGCACTGTACCTTGTGTAGCATCACACGTGGCGTCAATTACAGCTAAAGCAATCGTTAATAATCTGATGCAACTCCAAGATCTTGCATCTGTTACTGAAAATGGTCAGCATCATCCATTGTTCCTTCTCACTCTGCAACAACTTCATAAATCTCAAGGTAAAGCTGTGCTTACTCAAATATTCAATGAAAGCAAAGTCAATCTTATGAGCCAGCTACCCGAAGCAGAGAAAACTAAAGAAAGACTTGGCGAAATTCTTGAAGACCGAGAATTGACTTTCTTGTATCCATTATTAAGAATTCAAGGCGATATGAGTCGTCAATTAGAAAGTGACCCAAGTCCTAATGCTTTTTACAAATGGATTAAGGATAAATTGGATCTTGCACATCATTCTGACCCTGGATTTATCAATGCTCTTATGACAGTTCTTTTACAATACATCACTCGGGTTTGTAAATTTTTTTATAAATATTTTTATTTATTTATTTATTTATTTCACTTTTATATCAATTATTTATATTTAAACAGGAAACTACATTAGCACCTGGTGTTGATACAACTGTTGTGCCAGATAAAAGCCTTCAAGAGAAAGAACGAGCATTATTAGAAAAGTATACACGAGTTCTTGATTCTTTCTTAGTTACCATCGACGCACAGGTGACAGCAGTTCACTCTTTACAAGTGTTCTGTCTTTCACATGATTTCCCAAAAGGTATGCTACTAAGATGGTTTGTGGCTCTTTATGAATTGTCTATTATCGATGAAGAGGCTTTTATAAAGTGGAGAGAAGATGTTACTGATGCATATCCTGGCAAAGGAAAAGCACTGTTCCAAGTAAGTTATTGAATAGTTTAAACAATAGAGCAGAATTTACACAATTTTTTAAGAAAAAATGATCCGAAACAATTTTTTTCGAGTTCGGTAATTTTTTTCTTTCATTTAAAATTTCAAAAATAATTAAATAATAATTGATTATTTACTTTATCTAGGTGAACAGCTGGTTAACTTGGCTTGAACAAGCTACTTCAGAGGAAGAAGAAGACGAAGGAGATAATTGAATTACACGGGGTATACTTGATCGATACTCTTCTCGAATTATCATTTGAGACAGGATTTCTCACATCCACGTTCACGCTGAGCCTAAGGTTTCAGTTTTATCGATTATGTTGACATCTTGAAAAATCATGAAGATGCATTTTGTGAGTCTGTTCGACGGGGGTTTTATATAAATGTGATGAGGAAAGTACGAACAAGATTGATAATGCAATCATAACTGATCAGTGAAGAACAAAATAAAATGGTTGATTTTTTTAATGAATTAATTAAAACAAAAAAAAACAGTAGCAAAGGCAGAACGCAATGATTCGTGTGTGTAATGTGTCTGTGCGTGCATGTATGCGCGTATGCATGTGTGCGTGAACGTGAGATTGGTTTGAAGAGAAGAAAAAAAATTAAAAAACACTAGAAGAAAATAAATCAACGTGCATGCCAAACAATGTGACCGAAAATCCCCCTTAATTAGAAAAAAAAACAGAAAGTCTTAAATGTTTTAAATATTAAATAATAAAAAAACAAAATATGATTTGTAACTAAAATTAGGGCCCAGTTGATTCAGGATCGTAGCCCGTATGATGAATTAATAGATAAATAATAATAATAATAATAACAATAAATAATAATAATACTAAGAATTATTATTATTATGAATTGGTATAGACGGAAATGAAAAATTTGAAAAAATTAGTTGAGATGAATTTATGTTTTAATAATTTTTTTGTCTAGTATTTGTGCTTGTCACGTTTTTTTGTAAGTCTTTTTGTCCGCGATTCCTCATCTTAAAATGAAAGGATATTCGCTTGTTATGTGTGTATCATCTTTTACAATTAATTAGAAAATTATTATTAATAATTATTATATCCCAATTACTACGATAAAATATAAATATTTCTAATTCGAAAAAAAAAAATCCGTTAAAAAAGTTGATTTACCAATAATTAATGATAATAATTACGATAATCTGGTTAGAAAAAACGATCAAAATAAATATATACGTAAAATGAAAAAAAATTAGTTAACGAAATACCGAATATCGTGAAGTCTTATTGTTACCGTTAAAAAATCTTAATCGATAAACTATCATTTTTGTCCACGCAACACCAACACTTGCTGCGCTATAATTATTAATTGATAAATCACAAAACAATCATCATTATAGTTAATAACACTAATTATAATAATAATTAACGGGAGAAATTACATTTATTAAAAATAACGTAATCAAGACGAATATACCATTTTGAAATATGGCATCGATAATGCAATCGTTAAAAATTAAGTACATCGGTATAAATAAATAATAAAACTGGTATAATTTATTAAAATTGTAACTTCTGATTGCTCTCAAGCCGATTGAATCATATCCCTTTTTCATTCTTCCTCGATTTTTCTCATAATATTTATCTTCCTAGTTAATAAACGAAAAAACATTAAAAAAAAAAATTGACAATTTTGAAAATCTTAACATCTTCAGACCGGCTAATTTATAAGAATTAGTGCAATATTTAATCTTGCAATTTTTTAATTTATTAACCCCAATTTTTGTGCTACATTTCCATTTTTTCTTTACTTTTATCATGACAAAGTGCTCGAATGTTTTGTATAAATTTCATGGAATGAATGTTCATCGTTTTTTTCCCTCATATACTATAGACGTTTAAAAAGCTATTAAAGTAAGAAACACAATGGCCAAGTGATCCACAAAATAATTAGTTGTAATTTTATAATATTGGTTATTGACTAAACTGATAAATAATCTGATTAATTGATCAATTCAACCAATGATGTATATAATTGTTACTATGCAACTAACATCCGATAATAATCGCCGGACTGGAGTGTTAAATCATAGGAAAAAATTATTATGGAAAAAAATTATACATAAAAATTTTAAAGACTTTGTATCCAATAATAATTAACACTAAACTTCATTTCATTACTTGAATATTATATTTATCTATCAATTTCTTCTTTAACTACTATAACGACATTAATTTAGAACAATAATAATTACTATTTGCATTGAAACGAAATATTTATTTATCACAAACTATAATGATGAAATTGATAGATAAACAAAATAAAGACGAACCATATATTCATAAATGTCTTCATTTTTTAGTAAAAATATTACAGTGTAAAGGTAATCTGTCAGCCAAGTTTCTTAATAAAATAATTTTAACAAATTATTTTTTTTTTTGCACGTAAAAAAAAATATATTCAATCATTTGCATTGTTTATAATGAACACAATTCATGTATGATAACGTCAGTATTAATTCATTGACCGTAGAAACTAAAAAAAAAAAACAAATACAAAAATCAAGATATTAATGAAAAAAAGAATAATTTCAATTCTGCCAATAAGTATGTTTTTAGGATATTTACTTTATTAGTTGTGTTTAATAAATTATGTAAAAAACAAAAATATATTATAATTTTACTCCACAAGTAAACTGATTTTTTTTGTGTGAATGCAATTAATAATTCAATAAACTTATTATTTTTTATTCAAGTTAATCAATAAATTAATTAATTTGAAGCACTATTGCTTAAAATCGCTCAATAAAATATCAACGTTGTAACATTATTGTCAAACACTTATTCAATTAATTTTTTAAGCTATTATTTGAATAAATAATTAGTGAAATACAGAATGGAATTCAATTATAGCTCATTCATTGAAATACATTAATTATGTTAATAAAAAAAATAACCATGGTTGTCCAAATTAAATTTTATTAAACACGGTTGATTCTGTAACATCGAGGAGAAATATTTTAACATAAATAATTATTTATTAAATCAGTATCACTCTCTGCGCTCAACAATAAATCTACTAGTAACACTGGAAGATAGTACTTGAAGGGGTGGCGGTGGCATTCTCTCCTCCCTCTACCAGTGTTTCTCCATTTCTATTACAATTTTTATCTCCTTTTACATCACATTTAAACGCTCAATATAATCACTTAATCATTCTCTCTTTTTTTCGATCTCTCTTTTTCAAACATACATCAACACATTGAATACTGTTCACACGTACTACTTAAGGTATTGGTAAAGATTAATACCTTTATGAAATTTTATATGTGCACTTACATAGCATCAAGCATTGAAGGTGTTATATACATCACATGCACTCTATGCAGAAATAGATATATATATATATATTTGTAACGAGTATATTATTATTTATTTTTTCAAATGTTTCAATAAGTAATTTACTTTTCGAGATATACTTTTTTAGGTTTCTATAAATGAAGGGAGAGAGGGGAAGAGGAATAATAAGGACTTATATGATGTTGATGAATTAGCATGAAGACTCCGACGAGGGCACATACCACCGCTCACCGAGGCTCATTTTTATTTGCTTTTGATAATCATAAGTCAATCTGCTTGCAGGCTTTAATTTTTTTAAACATTTCTTTTTATTTAATCTCTTTCCAGATGTTTGAAAATTTTATCAGTGATGAATAAACAGATATAGAAGCAGTTTCGAGCAAGAAACCACATGATATGCAGACTTATCTTCCAGTTGTACAATAAACTATTATTATCAAACGCGATCGTAAACAAACTCTCGCCCGGAAATGCGTCTATATGTTGAGCTCAAAGGTCTTTTTGAGTAATAGTAATAAGAGATACTGCGTTGATCAAATATAAACGAGCGAGCACTAAGTTGATATCCAAAAAACTAAGATAAAATATAACAATTGATAATAAAAATTATTTTAGAATCAAACAAAGATGATTGTCAGCTCCCTTACAATCAACTCTGTGGACTCTTCTTCGAAATCTTCAAAAATTTAATAAAATTTTTGTGCCCGCTCGTAATGACTCAAATTCATATGGAATGTACAAATTGTTACAATTTTTATTTGCCGTACACACTTCTTTCTACTTGTTCTTAATTAATTAATATTATTATTATTATTAATTTTTTTTTTTACATTCCTTGATACTTTAAATTATGCATGACATAATGTAAATGGATTTGAATCAACTACTGGCCTCTGTAGTGACTCTTTACAGTATTATTAATGTAGTAAATAGTTTAATTGATACTTTGATAATACATAGTATCATGGAACACATAATTCCTTAATTTTTTCTTATCTTTATATCCAAATTCATTATGTCTGCGGCCTCTCAAATTGACTTAATACTATCATACATATCGTTTTTTAAATTGATAACTCACAAAGTCCCCGCATATGAATCTTTGTTTGTTCAAAAACATTTCTTCGTCATTATTTTTTTTTTTTTTTAATGTAATTATGCTGATATTTTTTTGTTTGTAAATACGTTAATGATTTATTCTTTTGCATAAACTGAACATTTACTCCTCTTCACTTGCATAATACAGTAATTGTGCTAAATATTTTATTAATTAATAGAACCATATTCTTCTCTGTATTTTTTACATTTAATAGAGCCGACTTATTTATTGTTTAATCAATAATTTGTGACAAACTATACTACAAATTATAGCTAAACAATTAAAGAGAAAATTCTTTTTTTTTTTTAATGAGACATGGAGGAATCGAGGTTAATGCTCTCTTGCTTTATCTGTCGCCTGTCTTTTTGAGTTTTTAATCCTTTTTTAATATTAAAAATTAAATTAAAAATGAAGTATCTACAACTGTACGTTAAATTGTCCGGCAAACAATTGTAAACTCTTTTCTTTATTTAAAAAGTCTCCCAGCAGACTGACTACATAAAAATCATGCGCAAAGTTTTAAATAAATCTTTTGTCACTGTGTAAAACAAGCGACTGAATCTATATGTATGTATGTATATATATATATTTTTTTTTTTCGTTCATTCGTTTCTGGTTTTTTTTATTAATATTTTTTTTCATTTCAATTTCATTAATACCTTTTAATCTTCGACGTGTAATATATTTAAAGATGTGTTGATGGATATGTGTATTATATTAATACACACAATGAATAAATGGAACGTCGAAATTCTTGATAATATTTATATAGTTTGAGGGAGCCTTGCTCTTGGCAATTTCTCTTCTTTTGCAGGCGACAGTTTCGTGATTCCCGCAATTAATTATTACCAGATGTTTTAGTGTAAAGATAGATGGCTACGATAAGTCCATAAAGACCCAATACTTCGGCGAAAATAAGGATCAGGATCATACCAACAAATAAACGTGGTTGTTGAGCTGTACCTCTTACACCAGCATCACCAACTATTCCAATAGCAAATCCAGCTGCTAAACCAGAAAATCCAACGGCTAATCCAGCACCCAAATGAATGAAACCCCTAAAATAATGAGTGTATTTTTATAATTTTTTGTCGTACATTATTGAGAGAACAAAAATAACTACACAGTAATATATAATTGTAACTTACGCAAACAAGGTATAATTTTGCGTAGGTGGATGTAATTGACCTGCGATAAGAATTGCTATAACTAAACCATAAATGGCAATAATACCCGCCATAACAACAGGAATAATAGACTTCATGATAAGTTCAGGTCTCATCACCGACATAGCGGCGATTCCTGTACCAGCTTTAGCTGTTCCATACGCCGCTCCAAGAGCTAAAAAAAATAAATAGGAAATATAGATTGAATGAAAAATAATAAATAAATAAAAATTTCATTAAAATAAATGATCATCTTGCAAATTGAAAGTTTTATCATAAGGCGTTTTCAAGGAATAACCCAACCCGTGGTCACATGAGGCTCACGTTGACAGTCACATGACAATCATGTAAGAACAGCTGTACAACGGGGGCGTGGCACTTGCCGTTTAAAAATCAATTTTATACTCAAATAAGTGACAAAAATTAATTTCTTAGACACTCGAAAACTCCGGGAGTTGAGTGACATTTTTTACAATACTTTTTGGCCACTCTTCAAGTTTATCTAGCTATATGTCTGTACATCTGAATGCGCAGAATCAACGAGCGCGCTGTAAATTATCAACGGAGTGTCTATTGGCTGTCCCATTTGGCTGACAGTCAAGGGAATTTTTCTTGTATTTTAGATTTCATTACTTTTTCAATTTATATTTTTTTATAATTAATTAACTCATATATTATTATTATATATGTATACATATGAATTATTGTTTAATGATGGAATCAAAAAAGATTCGTATTGATTTTCTCATAATAAAGCTGAGGAGAAACCGGCGCGCCACAAATTCACTTTTCCGCCGTTAATGATCGATCGCCGAATTTTTTGACATAAAAAGTCTTTTTATCATTAATAGATTGAGTCATAAAGATAAATGATTATTCAATAACTACATTAAGATAATATAATTCATTTCAATGATTTAAAGGCGTGGTTATTCACATGATTTTACAAATGACCGTAAAAATATTAGTATAATTGTATTTTTCAAATACATTAATGCTTTAATTATCTTGAAACCTTGAAAATTTTTATCTGTTACAATAATATTGCTAAATAAACTTTCTATTACTCATGATTAATCAATTGTTCATCTGAAAATGTAATATTTTAAACAATCAAATGTTTGTCGATGATTTTAAGTGACCTGAAATCTTTCACGTGTAAATTTGATTTACAAAGATATAAATAAAAAATAAAAACATTACAATTATAAAAAAATGATAATAAAAGATAGAAAAATAAACACGAGATGGCGTAGTAATGTTTCATTTACAAAGAGACATGAATAAAAAATAATCGATGAGTATATTTATCATTTTGGATTTCCATGTTATTTTATACATTTTACAGATCAAGAAAATGGCGTGGCACTTATTGATGAGTATATTTTAAAGAACCAATAATTGCCCTAGTTTTTTATGACATTATTAACCTTTAAAAAATCATCTATGAATTGTCTTTATTAAATAATTAATTTTTACTATACAATGTGATAATCGATTGATTAGATTGAATGGGTTAAAACTTACAAGAGAATATAATGGCGGAGGCGGCGCCCATAACACCGAAAAATGGTCCGTAGATAGGACTATCTTCTGCAAGTCCTGATGAACTCATTGTGGATTTATATTAATTGCTATTTGCACGAAAACGCTTTAAATTCCAAATTTAAAATCAAGTATATACAAGTTGCCGATTTTAATAACACGATCTCGTGTCTTCTGCTAAGAATCAATCCTCACACACCCTCTTCACTAAACTAGTAGCACTGTCAAATGAGAATCTGCTATACAGTCGCGCGGGTCATGTGATAAACGACAAGAAGAGAGAAGGAGACACTCGAGGTCGAACTGATCCTCTATGTTGCAGATGATTGGTAGACATGTCCTTAGACTCGCATAAACCACCAATCGTATTCTTCGTTTTATGTTCCTCTAAGTGACGTCAAAGATTTTGATCATTATAGCCGGAAGATGGCGTTTTAATCATCAATTTGTATTTCCGTTATCACCGCGTGACGAGAATTTTATTCATATTTTCACTTTTTCTTCATGTTTGAAGTTTCAATAAAACAATTTTTAAATTTGAAATACTTTTAAATAATATTGTTCAGTCATACGTCAAGTTTTGTTATTATTTAAAAACTATGTAAGAAATTTTAAAAATTACTTTTGAAGCACCGGATAACAATTACTAGTGACATCTTATAGTTAACCTATATACTAACGCATCACTTGTGTTAATGGAATTTTTTTAAATGTTTTGTTTGTTAAACCACGCGATCGTTTAAGAAAGATTGTTTTTAAGTATCTTATAAATATAATTCTTTTTATTACATTTATGTAATAACAATTGAATCAAAATCATGAAGTTCTCATATAAGGTATGAAATAATAATGAATTTAGAATAAATTATATGTTAAATGTATAGAAAATCAATTCTAACCTATGAATTATAAACAATAATGAACCAAACTTTTTAATCGTTGTTGAGAAATTTTAAAGTGTTATTATTTTGTAATTACAGTTTAGTAATCTTCTCGGAACAGTTTATAGAAAAGGTAATTTATTGTTTGCCAATGATGGTTCAACAGTTATCAGTCCTGTGGGTAATAGAATATCCATTTACGATCTCAAAAAGTAAGTAAACAACAAATTGATTATTTTTCAATTAATTTTAATTAAATATAATTTTTTTTACAGTAATAAATCATCAACTCTGCCAGTAGAAAGTCGATTTAATTATACAGCAATTGATTTGTCTCCTAATGGAAATATATTAATTGCTGTAAATGAAGGTAAATGAATTGAATTTGAAAGAATTGTAAAATATAATTGATAATAACAATTGAAAATTATTTTCAGAGGGCGAGGCTCATATTATTAGTATGATAAGTAAAATAATTGTACATAAATATAGATTTAAAAGGCCAGTAAGATGTGTTAAGTTTTCTCCTGACGGTAAATATTTTGCTGCATGCAAAGAAAATAATGGTAAGTTATTGAATTCTTCTTTATTGATCATTTTTTTAATATGAGTAAGTTCTCTTAAATCCATTCAGGTTTATATATCTGATTTTATATTTTATTTTAGTTTTTATATTTGATGCTCCTGGATTACAAGTAGGAAATTATAATCCATTTGTAATGAAACGTGTCTTTCATGAAGCAACAGATGAAACTACAACACTTTGTTGGTCATTTGATTCAAAATTTTTAGCTGTTGGATCTAAAGACACAGCAACAAAATTATACTCTATAGAAAAATGGGCAAACTTCAAACATTGTACTCTTGGTGGTCATTCAGATGAAATAGTTGGCAGCTTTTTTGATACAACTGACAGTTATGATCTTTTTACTATCAGTAAAAATGGCCATCTCTGTCTTTGGGAATGTTCCATTGAACCAGATGATTTAATTGCATATGAACCATCAAAGAAAAAGGAAAAACCTAACGATAGTGATAGTGAAGATGATGTAGATTTGGAGAAAGCTATTGAAAAGCCAGACGATTTTCAAATGCCAAAAAATTCTAATACATCGTCATCAGAAAGTGAACAACCGAAAAGAAACAAGGAAAACGAAGTCAAAAAATTTTTTTATAAAAAAGTTACTCGACATTTTCTGTTGGATGAAGTAAAAAAAACTGATAAACATGCTGTTTTAACAGCAGCATCGTATCATGTAAATACACGAATACTTGTAGTAGGTTTTAGTAGTGGATCCTTTTTTATTTATGAAATGCCAGATGTAAATATGATTCATTCATTGGATATTTCAAGCCAAAGTATTTCTTCTATTGCTATAAATAATTCTGGAGATTGGATAGCCTTAGGATGCTCTCAATTAGGTCAGCTTTTAGTTTGGGAATGGCAAAGTGAAACCTATGCTATGAAACAACAAGGCCATAGCAACAATATGAATAGCTTAGCTTACAGTGGAGATGGCCAGTTTATTGTTACTGGTGGAGATGACGGAAAAGTGAAGCTTTGGAATACGTTAAGTGGATTTTGTATAGTCACTTTTTCTGAACACACTTCAGCAGTTTCTAGTGTTATCTTCAGCCACAACCGTAAATTTATTGTCTCAGCATCATTGGATGGAACAGCCAGAGCTTATGATCTTACCCGATATCGTAATTTCAAAACTTTTACATCTCCAAGACCAGTACAGTTTTCTTGTGTAGCTCTTGATGCAAGTGATGAATTCCTCGCGGTTGGCGGCCAAGACTTTTTTGATATTTATCTATGGAGTGTAAAATTAGGAACTTTGTTAGAAATTATGAGTGGACATGAAGGACCAGTTGCAAGTTTAGCATTTAGTCCTAATTTAGCAAGTACTGCACTTGCTTCTGTTTCTTGGGACAAAACTTTAAAGCTATGGAATGCTATTGAGCATGGATCTACTCATGAAACAATTGAGTTGACTGCTGATGGTTTATGTGTTGTTTATAATCCAAATGGACAAGAAGTTGCTGTTTCAACACTTGATGGACAAATTACATTTTTTGAATGCAAAAATGCCACTCAAACCGGTAGTATTGAAGGCAGAAAAGATTTAGGAAGTGGAAGATCAGATACTGATTTAATCACAGCTAAGAAAAATCTTGAAGGAAAAGCATTTACAACTTTATGTTATTCCGCTGACGGATCTTGTATTTTAGCTGGTGGACAATGGAAAAACGTTTGTATTTATAACGTTAAAGAGACTATTCTTATGAAGAAATTTGAAATAACTCAAAATAGATCATTTGATGCTGTTGATGATTTTATTAATCGACGAAAAATGTCAGAGTTTGGTAATTTAAATTTAGTAGAAACAAGAGAAGAGAATGAAGGTGGGAGAGTTACTCTGAGGTTACCTGGTGTTCGAAGTGGTAATATGGCTAGCAGAAGTATGAAACCGGAAGTTAGAGTATTTTGTCTTCAATTTTCACCAACTGGTCAATCGTGGGCAGCAGCTACTACTGAAGGACTTTTGATCTACTCATTAGATGTAGGATTAGTCTTTGATCCATTTTATTTAGACTTAGGAATTACTGTTGACAGTGTAAAAAAAACATTGAAAGAGGAAGAATATGCTAAAGCTCTTATGATGGCTCTTAAACTTAATGAAAAAGATTTAATTCAAAATGTTGTTGAAAAAATACCTTTCAATAACAGTAAGTAATTTTTTATTTACATTTAAAAAATTAATTTGTTTTTTATTCTTAAAATATTCAATACTTTATTTAATTAATTTTTCAGTCGAATTTACTGTTAAAAGTATACCTCAATTATATGTTGAGCGGTTATTAAAATTTATTGCCGCAGAAATGGAAAAAACAAGGCATATTGAGTTTTATTTGGAGTTTGCTGAAGCTATTCTTTCACAAGCAGGACATAAAATAAATTCTGACATGAATATGCCAACATTACTTCTGTTACAAAAAAATATGCAGCGAAAGTATGACGACTTAAGTAAGATGTGAGTAAAATTTTATATTTTTTTTTATCAAGTTGTATTTCAAGAATATTATCTTATAGTATATTTTTTTATTTAAATATCTTAGATGTGATTTCAATCAATATACACTAGACTGGATACTTAAATCTGCTGAATTGAAAACAAAGAAAACTTCTGTCGAAGAATTAGAAGGATCGATTCAAGAAATGGATATAGATTAATTTAATTTATATTTGTAATTACTAGATAAGTATTTGTTTTTTTAAATAAAAGAATTTTTTACAAAAATGTAGCTGACTTTTTTAACAATACTATCGGCCAATATATGATAACAAAAAGGAGGAAAAGGGTTGGAAATATCAGACGACTATAGTGATCAATTCTTTTGGATAAGGTTTTCTGTTTTGAATATATTAAAACATCAGGATCTAACCAACTTGATTGTAATAAATGTTTACTTCCGGCTCGTTTTCGTTTTGGTTGTACAGTCAAAGCAGCTTCATAATCCCACACTGACATACTTTTCTCTAAAGATGCAAGTCTCTGAAACATTTTTAATTTTTTATTGAAAAATTGTATTAGAAATAATCAAAAAAGAAAGAAAGAAGAAGTAAGTAAAAATAAAACCGTCGAATAAGAGCGGGAATGATTCATCTGTAAATCCATCAATTGCTTATGCCTTGCGTCGATAACTTTCACGACTACGAATTCACCAAGAGAGGCAAACACAAATACCATACATCCTGCCATCCAAAGGTCTAGTGCCTATTCATTTAAAATCAGATAATTAGAATAACGTTTTACATAACAAATTTATTTCATTACTTATGATTATATTTATAATTAACTTATTATATTTACTTTAACATAAGCAACAGGCGGAATGTCACTCTTTAACCCAGTAAACATTGTTACAAGTGTTAACATACTTGTAACAAGAAGAGTTACACGACCTGGAATTGCATCTAATCCCAACCAAAAACTAAACCACGATAACATCACCACTAAAGTAGACGGTGCAAATGTTTGAATTAAATGGTGTCCTATTTGACGTTCGAATCTAAAGAAAGCTACAAGTCTTGAGAAATTACCTGAAATCATAATAAATAATTATTATTAATGAGTTAATTTTCATCAACATTTGAATCTTATTTTTCATTTTATGAATGATAATAAATTCTACAGTTATTTTTTTATATCATTAATTATTTGTTCTAGTACTAGATGATGATCATGAACTGTAAATGCAACTGATTGAATGGTCTATATATTTTAATATGTGCTAAACTCATAATTAAGTTTTAAATTTAACTTTTTCTCTTATTGAATAAAAAAGCTTTGAATTAATGGAATTTAACTAATCTCACATAAGTATTTATATTTTTCTACAGACAAAAATTAAATTATTAGCATCTTTTAAAATTGAAATTCATCAATAACAGAAGATTTTTTACACAACTTTAAATATTATCTTGGAAATAAAAGAATGAACATAAATCACTTTTGCATGTGTAATACAGTTCATTACCGAAATTGGACAATATTTACACAATATTCATTGTTCTACATGTAATTTGATATTCATTGTATGATAGTTAATACGATTTTAAAAGGAAAGTAATAGCCTTTGAAACGTTATCGATCAAAATTGTAAAATCATTGTCAATGAAGGAATTTTAATCAGAGAATACTACCGTATTTTCTTAATTTAACACCGTTTTTTGACCTTCATTAGCATTATAATTGTTTATAATGAACTTTGTTGTACGTAAGTGATTGTACTTTATTATACAAATGAATAAATTTATGACAATTTATTTCTTTAAATGGTAAAAAATAAAATTAAATACCATTCTTTTCCAACATGTAACAATTTATTTCTTCGAGTAATTGAGGAGTAGCAAAATTATATTGTAATAGTCGGAGTTCAGGATTCACCGTCACTCCACCAACACCCCAACGAAGTTTTAGTTTTTTTATATTATATGAAACTGAAAAAGTTTTATAATAAATTAATTTCAAGATATAATCAACTACTTTTTATTACAATTATATTTGGATCCATTCACATTTAAAAAAAAAAAATAATTATGAAATATGAAGATATTCCTTTCATTCACTTTCTACTTAACGTTAAATAAAAATTGAAAAGAAACATTTACATAATTTTAAGTATATTTTGACGTGAAATTTACCGTCTAAATATTTTTTAATAACTAGTAAAACAATAAATCACTTTCTCACAACTCACAGCTTTCAATGTAAATAGGACACACTTGTACATCCATTGGGTAAAACTGAAACTCCATCTGGCAAGCTACAATTGCATGCATTCTAGCTGAATATCTTACGGTTTTATTCTTGAAAAGAGTAACTGATGAGAATTTATGTGTTAAAGTGGCGATTTCTGAAATAAAAAGAAAAGAAATTTTATTCATAAATAGATGATGTAATAAATAATTAAGTGATGTTAAAAATATGATTCAGTTTGATGAGAAGAATGCAGTCTATCTTGTATATCAGTTTTTTGACACACAAATTTAGAATAAATTATTATAAAAAACTTGTTTCGTCTTTATCTCTCAATCTTCATCATCTATTATTTTTCTTTCACATGATCACCGACTGATACAAATAATTTATTATTTATTTATTTAAATATACTTGTTTGAGCCTAACTTGGCCTACGATAAAAAATGATTACAAATGATTACCATAAAGATTTAGGATAAAATACCGATCAAAGTAAAGTATATTAGTTTTTAAAAAGTTCAATTTATAGGTATTTCTATTCTTACACTTTTATTATTAAATTTTCAAATAGCTATGAATATTATTGAAAAAGATATAAATAAAATACTGTGTATAAAATAGAGATGTTTTTTAAATATCTACAGAACTTGAGATTTTCACACTTTCTCTAAATTCTTTACATGAAATTCTGTTCATACTTATTGTACATACCTGATACTTTGGAGTTTAAAAAATATGGATCAGGTTGCCAAAGATTATCAAAGAATTCTGGTGGTAGGGTCACATAGTCATCACCTTCTTCAAAAATATCATCCGGCAAATCCAACCTAGTTTCCTTCCAACTTTGTCTGATGAACATATCCACACTATCAAGCAATCATTTATTAATAATAATTATTTATTTATCTCTTTTATATTATTACTTACCGAAAATCCATATCTTCTACATTGATGGAATTGATATCAACGATAAATATATTAAAGTCTACAATTACTGGACCTCCTTCTGGTAAAGATGGTCTTATTTCTGAAAAAAAGCATATTATCATGAATAAGTAAAAAAAAATGAATGTAAATAAGAATGAAAAATATCAAACCTTTAACATAAGTCTCAGGCAAAACAACGTCTGGCCCGATTGTAAGATTTTTTTTACCTTTTGTACTGTAAAGACTAGAAAGTAATTTCACAGATGATGACGGAAGAAAGATTAGTCGTAAATAATTAAACATTATTACCTGGATTGAACTCGATGAAAAAAAGAAAAGAAAGAAATAACAACTCCAAAAATGATCCACCTCATCGTAACATTCGTTCATATATCAATGTGATGATATTGAAGGTTCAGCATCAACAACGAAACAAATGTCTTCTATATTAATTAATTAATAATCTAGTAATCAAATACAATTTAATTCAATTGAGATCGCTCAGGTAATAATTAAAATTTAATTGGTTATTTTTCTTTCTTAAAACGCTATGCAAAAACATTTTTAAATTCCACAGGTTTTCATCTATCATCATGAAATGTAAAAAATATGTTTAACTTCTGTCATACTTTTATTTGCAACGCAAACGTTATTATCATGAGTGACTCTTAACAAGACAAGTTTCAAGAAAAAAAAGGAATATGTTAAAGATTCATCATTGGTCATCTTATATTCTCTAGCGGTAATCAATGACAGTAAACTCATGACCTTGATATGAAACATAAGAAAAGGAAGAGTAAGACATGAGGAGAGGGAGAACATTTTCAAGAAGATGAGAATGCTGACACTCTTCTCGAGAACGGGACTTGCTGTAAAATCCGTATGCTTTTAAAATTTGTCCTCAATCTTTCGTACCACAATTGGGATTCTTCGATACAGAATAATGTGACAGAAAAGGTATGAAGATGAGAGAGAGAAAATTTCAATTTATCATTATAATTATTTATTGTTTATAATTGATATGTAAATACTTTTAATTTATAATTTGTAACAATGCATATTTCAATATTTATATCATTTGATACAATTATTTAAATAGTTTTGAGTATTTTTATTATCTAAAATTTTATTGTTTAATAATATCTTCAGAGATAGGAATGTGCTTTTGTGTACTTTTTTGAATATATGCACACAAACGTAATTATTGGTAGAATACTACGTGGAGATAAAGAAAAAAAGCTATCATATTATGATGTTGTTTCGTTTTATTAAAAATTTTTGTTTTTATCAAATATTTATAATCAACTTTCTAAATTAAACCAATATTTTACTTTCTCAAAACTGATTAGTTTAAACATTAACTAAATATTAATAACTATTCACTGATGATAGGTATCACAATCATTCCATTGGAGATCATTTTAATTCTCTAAAAAAATTTATAATTTATTTTTATTGATAACATCTGGAGAATTGTTACTGATTCAATTGGTATACTGCTATGGAAACTTTTGTAGTTGTTAATTGTTTATAATTGAAACGAATAATATTAATTATATTCACATTACTGCAAATACCTTAATTATTTTTAAGTAATAATATTCAGATTGTATAAAATTTCTAAAGTATTAGGACAGTATATAATTAAAGTTTATTAAAAAATGATATTTAATTTGGAAAATAATATTATACCTTTTTTCAACTAGATTCAAGTATTAAACTGTACAAATGATTATTATCTAATATAATAGGAAGTTTCAACAATACTTGAAAATGAAAAAGAAATTTCATTTAGCTATAAAAAAATAATATCTCTTAATTATTCTTATTGAAAGTTATGAAAAATTCATGCTAAATTGTAATAAATTATACCATCAAATGTAATGAATGAATAGTAGATAATATTCTGAAATGTTAGTAAGGAATTCAAATATTCTGTATCATTTGGATTTTGTGATAGATAAAACAGGTAGAAAATCTGCTCATTCACTTTCGTAAGCCGTGTGAACGCCCCTTGATGTATTGATTTCAGTGATGGCTGCTGACCGGTGTCTGCAAGCACGACTTCTTGAAAAAGTAAAAATAGTTTCTCGTTTATAATGGAAATGAAATAATCAATATTAAACAAATCTACAGTTAAATTTACCTACCAGTTGCAATAATTAATTATCAGTGTTGATGGATTTTTGTTAACAAAACCTATAACATTGAGGTTGGTAAATATCAACTTACTTTCTGACAATAAATCCTTCCAAATATCATTCAAAAGTTGACTTGTTTATTGATAATTTGGTATATTTATAAACCATTTAGTTAATTAACAATAAAAAAAAATTAAAATGATTGAAAATCATAGTGAAATGGAAAAGTAAATTCTCATATCCCGGTGGCGTGTGTTACACGTTTCTGCACTCTCTCTAAGCATCTCGTTGCACTTGAGAAACTTCACTTTCGCTATTTGTTTCATTGGTTTAATCGAGATTGAAAAATTTTGTCGTTTAATTCAGTCAACTATACTAGTAACGATGTAACATTTTAAATTGCTAATTTGGAATAAATAAGGTTAGAAGTTAAGTTCTAATTCGAAATTCATTGTGTTTATTAACACAATTCGTCGTTCCATTTAAGTATTGAATATTTCAAAGAATTCATAACATTGTATATATTTGTAGGGTATAAAAAATTTCAAGGATTTATAATTACAATGGATCTTGAGAGTGTGAAGCAAAAAACTAGAAAGGCTATCTCTTCTTAAGTATTAGTACTTATATGTATCCACTGATCAACAAGCAATTCTAGTAGACATTGACCTCGAAAGTAAGGTGATTTCTGCGTCTTCTGGCTTGAAAGAAAGTGCACCCACTCGTTTCTTTATGTTTGTACTCTCTATAATGTAAATTATACTATATTTTACATTTTTATAATTTGACCATTTTTTTTCTTTTTTTTTCTAGATAAGCTCCTTTTCTATTTATCCGTTTTTTTCTCTCAATGTTATTCATTTTGCAACACATCTAAGAATTATCAACTCTTACTTATTCCACGAAAGATGGTTGCATAAATTTAAAATAAATGTTTGCATTTGGTAAATAATATCTAGACTTTGTTTGAATGATGTATATGATTTACGCAAATCATATTTACGTATCACATTTTCCGTAGTGGATATATTTTTCCTTACGATTTAACATCTTGTGACCTGCATTGAGACATGCACATAATTGTCCTCAATGTACAAAATTTTTTTGATTGATTATAGTTTGAAGTATAAATTATATAAATATACTAATTTATAGAACGTTTTATAATTATCATATTGTCATAAGAAAAATGACTAATATTTTCATAGATTTTGTAGTGATTTGAAAATTATTCCTTAAGTAAATATAATACTTGACATTCAAAATGGAAATAATCATCATTATTTTTAACTTCTTTTTCAATATTTTCTATTAAAAAATTTGTTTCAATTTTACTTACATTTTTTCAATCTAATGACTGTTCAAGTTACATTTTGGCACGTGAAGAATTTCAAAGTCAAAAAAAAAAATTATGTACATATATTTACGCAGGTCACTAAAGTGTGAAATTATAAATGATTATACTACTGTTTTGCAGAAAAGACAACATGTATTTAAAATTAACATAAACCTTATCATCATTTAAGTAGTATTTGTTAAATCCCCTTTTGTTCATTTACCATATTATTTTATTTTTACATTTACGGCATTTGAAAGGCGGAAAAATTCCTTTATGTGATAATTAAGTTAATGGAATCCCTAGTGATGCTGCGCCACTGACCAAACGACATAGCCGATAAAAAAAATACTAAAATTCATGCTTTAGTTGAAAGTATGCTCCAGGCTATTTGTTGTTGGCGAATTCCATTAATATTTCATTAGATTTTCTTTACACATCTTTACTTCATTATTTTTTCTACTAGAAATTGTTAATAATCTTAGACAAAAAAAAATCAAACTTCCTTAGGTTTTTTTTTAAGAAATTTGAGGAATTTCGTTTAAATTTTCGGTACCTGTTAAATTTTGAAGTAGACTGCTTTCTCCGGAAGCTAATTTGGGACGTCGATCTCTCGTCTCCATTAACCTCTTCTTCCCAAACTCGCCAATGATATCTATACTTCTTTCTATTCCAAATATTTCTTTCAGTTTTTTTTTTTTCAACTCAACATACAAAAAAAACCAGTTAATTATTTCAATACTATAATTTGAAAATATACTGTTAATTATTTTTATCAATAATTTTTTATAATGAGATGTTTTTGAGTATTTTATATTATATAAATAAATAAAATCAATTAGAGTAATGAATTTTTTTGATGATGTAAAATTAAATAAAATAATTACGGAACTTGTTATACCTAGTCAGAATGAAATAAGAAGGGGATATTTTATAAAATTTCCGCGATAAATTTTCCATGAAAGAAAATGACAAAAGAGGAAGGGATCGAAAGAAAGGAGTAGGAATGATGAAGAATCAAAGGAGGAATCGCATTTTAACCGATCTTATCCCCACGACATTTCATTTCGGCCCCGTTACACGCTTCAGGCTCGGTTGAGGTAAAGTTATAAAGCTCACCCAACTGTTCCGCTCAGAGACGCTGGTACTTTCCTCAAACACGTCGTTCGAACATCGAACGACCAAATCTTTCCTGGTTCCCTAGTGTTTTCTCATTTCAATTGTGCACGTTATTTGTTTAATTATGTGCTTATAATTCAGTGAAATATTTGTTAATAATCTTTTTGTTCATTTATTACTTTTGTGATTAATTTTTTTTTTTAATTCAACGGTGGGTACATTTTAATTTATTTTCAACTTTCCTAAAGATACAATTTTCTATTAAAATTTTCCAAAACTAGAAAAAATGATAATGTTAAAAATATGCTGAATATTTTTTTCGTTTTTTCTTCGACTAATTGTTACAAATAATTGATTTAAAAGTGAAATTTTCGCTGGATAAAAATCAGTAGTGAAAGTTGATGCAAGTGAGAAAGGTAAAATGTGAAGACTGGATTTTTTATCGGTATGAAGACTTGATCTTGAGGATGTAGAGATTAGAATGGCTATGTATGCCAATCGAGTTGAGCGTCTAGTAGAGAAACCACGCGATATAGTCAGCCAAGATGCAATAAGTGTATATCATGATTACTGTTGAATCACACTTTCGAGTCAATTTATCTCTATTAACAGTTTGTTTTTATCAATATATTTCACGAAATTTCTATTTTATTCAATATTATTTCATTATAAATAATTCTTTTTGAGTACTTTTAAACAATAATGTTAAATAACTAAACGGTAATAAATAACTGAAAGTCGATAAAACAATGATAATGAATAATCAGTCTCTTATTATAAATAATACATTTTGTCACGCAATGATTAAAATAAATAATTGCACTAAAACCTCGTTTATTTAGATACTGAATGCTCATTTTTACCTCGTGTTATGTAGTGCTTTCCAATTATGAAATTATGAAAACAAAATTAATTAAAAATGAATTTTTACAGGTAATGACGTCGATAATTACAGCTCCTATTAATTTAGTAAGAGACGCTTATAATTATTATCTTTGGACACTTTCAATAGCAGGTAAGTTATTCTTATGAAACTTAGTGAAATAAATATTGACTGTATTAATGATTGAATGAATTTTTAGATGATAGAACAAGAGGATGGCTGCTCGTGGACTCACCAATACCAACCCTTATTTGCACGGCAATTTATCTATTTATCGTCTGGATTGGACCAAAGATCATGAAAAAAAGAAAGCCCTTTAAATTAACTTGGTTATTAATTCCGTACAATTTTTGTATGGCCGGACTGAATGCTTATATTGCTATAGCAGTACGTATTACACATTTTTTCGAAATATTTTGTTTAAATGATCTTTTCATTGATAAATTTTTCTTTATCTTCTTCTTTTAGTTGTTTATTGCTTCTTTTAAACTGAGTTATAGTTATATATGTCAACCAATAAAAAATACTTGGAAGGCTGAAGAAATGCAGGTAAAATCATTAACATACAATTATTCATTAAGTATTCGACAATAAAGTAATAATGAAATTCATGAATTTATAATTATTCACATTATAGATTGCAACTGCTGTTTGGTGGTACTATTTTAGTAAGCTCATAGAATTTTCGGATACGATTTTCTTCATTCTTCGTAAAAAAGATAATCAATTGAGCTTTTTACACGTTTATCATCATTCAACAATGTTCCTATTATGGTGGATTGGTATCAAATGGGTACCAAGTGGTTCAAGTAAGTAGCAATATTACTTTTATCCATTTTATCAATTCAAAATTTTAAATCATTTCTTAAGGTATATAAATTTGAATTACTAATTGTATTAATTCATAAACTTAAACTTTTGATCAACAGCTTTCCTACCAGCCATGATCAACAGTTTTATCCACGTACTGATGTACTCTTATTATGGATTAGCAGCATTGGGACCTCATGTTGCTAAGTATTTGTGGTGGAAAAAATATCTTACCATTTTGCAACTTATTCAGTTTACCAGTGCTGTAATTCTTGGTATTAACGCAATTAAATCAGACTGCGATTTCCCATTGTGGATGCAATATGCTCTTGTAATTTACATGATCTCATTTATTGTTTTATTTGGAAATTTCTATGCAAAGGCTTATATACAAAAAGTACGAAATATTTTTTTATAAAAAATTATATTCGTTTTATTATATTCTTTACTAATGGTTAAATTTTTTTTTCCAGGGAAAACAAGCGTACGCAAAACATACTGTAAATACAGCCAGAAGTAAAAATAATGGACACAGCAGTGTAACAAATGGCGTTGGAGTCAAAAAAATTCAATGAAAAAATTTTCTTTATTGTTATTACCATCATTATTATCATTATTATTATAAGAAAATGTTACGAATCACGCTCTCTCAATGAATAAGTCGTTTTACGATTGACCGAGTGACCGAGACATTTAAAATGATTTATTTACTGTCTAATGTAAAGAAACATTGTAGTGAGGATGAGAGAAAAGCAGAAATGGCACACAAATCGAAGTTACAAACTGTGATTGTTTGCCCTGTACATATAGACAATTGAGTTGTAGAAAAAAATGTAATAATAATTGTTGCTACCTTTTTTAAATTTTTTTCTTCTTTTTCATTCATTTTTCAAGTTAATGTTGACTGTATAATAATATTAAACTGTCAGTAAGTTTTTTTAGCTCGGTGTGAAAGAGTAATATAATTATGGTTAAATAATATAATTTATTATCATCGATATAAATTGAATTAAAAAGAAACCAAACTGCCATACATATTTCGATGGAGCACAATAATAACAATTTTTCTACATGTACTTTTATTAATATGTACAAAACAAAAGAGTAGAAATTTAGATCTGAGTGAAAGCTAATTTTTGATTGAAAAAAATCTATCAAATAAAGATTGATGATTATATAATAATTTTAGATTTTTATAAAGCAATCTTGCAATTTTATAAAGTAAATAATTTATTGTCATTTTTGGCAGAAATTCGTGTCAATTAAATCACAATGGAACATATTTTTAAATTACTTTTTATGACTTTCAAAATCTCTGAGGAATATAATGATATTATTATGTTCAATAATTCATCTTCCTATGAATTAGTAATGGTTTAAATAATATTTATTTATAAATAATACAAAAATTACATAATTAAATTTCGTACAGACTTATATGTATCAGTTAATAAACAAAATAATGGTATTTCATTATTTTCTATGACTTTATATATTTTTCAATATTCTAGGCAATAAAGAAATGTTATTATGTTTAATATTTTGTTTGCTTTTTATTCAATCACGATTTCTAAGAATCGCTATTGCAATCCAGAATGATGAAATCTTAGCAACATGGTTTTGAATATCACTAACTAAAGCGAATTCTACAGGTCCAGTTGTTTCATGAATTTTTGTAGATAGAAAGAAATTAAGTAACTCATTCTTGGTTGTATAACGAAGACTGAGAATGAATCCATAAATATAATAGGATTTATATAATTTATTAAAATCACTATTGTCAACTTGCACTTCATTTCTAGAAGAAAACTGAGTTAAAAATTTCCGAAGAACTTCTTCTGCGTGAGGATTAAATATTGTAATAAATCCCATTTTACTTCGTCGTTTTGATATTTTATCTTTGATTTTTTTCTCAAATTCAGCACGAATAATTTCATCAGTTTCTGAATTGTATTCAGACTCAAGTTTTAAGAGGTGTGCTTCATTAATTGAAGTTGTTGTTGCTCTTACTCCCATCAATTGCCAGTCTTTAGAAGATTTGACATTAAATTTTAAATTGGACGGAATGGAAACATTTTGAAGATTCTTCCATATCTGTAATAAAAAATTCAAAGTAATACTTTACTAATCTGATATTATTATCTAACAATTATAATCTTAATGATATAGTAATGTCTAGGATTATCTAAAGTAGGCGATTATACTTTTCCCACTCTTTTTTTTTATTTCAACAATCATTAAAGATATTACCATTAGTAACAGAGATCGACTGATTAGAAATATAGTCAGACTTTTTTTTGTTTTCTGCTTAAAAGTTTTTGTCGAGAGACCAACGTTTTCAAGATTACAAATTTGACATATTTTCACGTTTTCAGGTATCTGTGTGCGCTCATGGCATTCTTTCTACATAATATTTTGTTAACTAAAGAAAATATTGGCTTTAAAGAAAGCTGATAATAATATTAAAAAAAACATGTAAAAAGTTTCATCCATTATCAAGTAGATGACCACTTTTTTACAACGAAAAAACTGCAAAAATGATAGATAATATAAAGTTTAGAAAATAATTGATATACTTATTCTTGTGAATGACGTATGTACAAAAAAATGAATTTTTTCAATTGTTATTCGATAAGAACAACTCAATTGTTAATTGATAAAATAAAAATAAAATAATAATAAACGATAATAACATGTACGATAAATGGAATAAATAAAATTGATTTATTTTTTGATAATATTGTTAATAACTAATCTATATTATACATAACAATTAAATATTATTTACAACAATAGATGATTTTATATATCCATTAGTTTTTGTATGAAATTTTTGAAACGGCCTGTTTACTTTTAAAGCAATAAAAAATTTTTAAAGCTTCAAAGACAATTAGTCTATGAAGTTTGTATGAAACATTCATTGAGCACGATAAGTATCTTGAATCAATATTAAAATTTTCACATTTCATAATCGTTCATCTTTCAAAGTAGCTAATGAATAACAATGTAAAAATTAGAATAACAATTAGCACTTTGGACGTTGGCTTGATAATAGCTTCAACATAATAAGTTATACACATTGTACAATTTTCTATGCTAAAAACCTCTACCGATCTTTCAATTTTTAATTATAGAATTAATCTACCAATAATTATCCTTTATCTTATGAACTAAATTATTACAAATTAGATATCATTATCTGTTTGATTATTTATTTATTTTGTTTAACAACCCTATAATTGATACAAAGAAAAACCGATAAATTTTGAATTATAATTTTTTGCAAAAATTCTGCAGTCATATTTGAAAATTAAACAAAAGAATAATTAACGTTAATACAAAAAAAAATTCTGAAAATACTTACATGTTGATGATTAATCAATCTGACAACTCTAATCAATGAACATCTAGAATCACTCAGTTTGTAATGTTCTCCATATTCTGGATCCCAAATATTAATTTCTTTATTCTGTTCGTTGATTGTCATCACGAATGCTGCCCATTTCCTTGCCTGAGATATGCCAAGAATAACATAAACCTGTAAACTTTTATCAAGACCTCGTAATAAAGTAGCTAACAAAGCTGCTCGGCCATAGTAGTCAATTTTATTTAACTTTAATGCTTGTCGAGGATTTAAGGGGCCATAACGATTGGGTAAAGGATTCAATAACATCACAAGATTTCCAACATCATTTGGATCATCAATTCCATCGAGTTTGTAGGGTGTGATTAAACATCTCTGAATAGTCTTTGCTAAAACATCAATCGAATTTTTTTCACCAGATTCTTCTGTGCTCAATGTTTTTTTTAGCTTTATAACAATATAAATCCTAGTATGTGAAATATCTGATGTATTTTTGTATCCGAAACGAACGACGGGACTAGTGACTGGGAAAAGATTTACCCATTTCTCAAACTCTTGGTAATTACAGTGAAATTCTAGCGGGATCCAAGTTTCTCCAAGCCACTGGTAACCCCAAACTGGATGTTGGTCAAATAAAGACAATTTAATTATTTCTTTATTGTCTTTAGGCATTTCAAAGTGTAAAGTTTGATGCCAAACAGGAGTAGCACCTTCAACTGGTTTTGTTGCTTGGCTTAATTCACCCCATGTTACCAGTACAAAAGGATGAATTGTTCCAGAGTCTTCTCTGACTGGTAGTTGAACTCCTCGCAAAATTGTAATAGAAAGAACTTCATCTCGTCCAATTTCTTGTTGTAATTGTTGAACATTTATTCCAGATGATGGTTTCAGTGGTCTTTTGGCTTCAAACAAGTTACCAAATGTTATATCTTTCAAAGTGAATGTTGGTTGCTCCAATACTACAGTACTTGGAGCTTCTACTTGTCTAGGTTTCACACTTTTTATCTCTGGTGTATCTTCATATAATACCAAAAATGGATCTTGAAGTGAAAAAAACTGCACAGGATTACTTGTTATAGAACTTTTAACTTTTAATAATGATAAATTATTTTGAGGATTATTGGGATCATTAGCCAAGTTATATAAACTTTTTGAAGTTTTTAATGGACTATCTATCCCTTTTATCGATACGGATATTGTGCAGAATAATGTTCCTGAATAAACAATTCCATTTTCACTAATAGAAAAGTCAATTTCTGATTTTTTTCCATCTATATATGACACTGGAATAAATAATGGTAATATACTACAACTTCCATTACGAGTTGAAATTTTAATAGAGAAATTATTGGTATTATCTGCATTGTTTGTAATTAATAATTTATAAATTTTTCTGTTAAAAGGACTATATATTTTACACATAACTTTCTGTTTATATAAAATTATTATTGATGTTATTTCAATCCATTGAGGACCATTAATTTTCACTTCTCTTATAGCGATATCTAATAGTTTTTTAAATGGTTGTGGAACAGATTGAGTAATAATTGGCTGATAATTAGTTAATAGTTTATATGGTTTTATGACTTTAGTTGTTAATGGCCCTTCTGCAGAAACGTACAAACCATCATTGATAATTTCTGTTTTATCTTTAATTACTCTTGGACATGAATGAGTGTTGTGAAGTACTGAATCAACATTCGAAGTAATAAAATCTGGTTTACAATAATATAAACTTAATCGATTTGCTTTTTTCTCGTGTTTCGGAGAAAATCCACTAATAAAATCGCCATTACTCAACATATTCTGAATAAAAAATTATTATATATTAAACGTTCAATATGACACTAAATTTATAAAGCTGTGAAATAAATGTTGAATAGTATACCAGCTGTTACTGGCTAGTGTACTATTTTTCCTTTAGAAATACAACCAGTACAAATGTTCCCACGCAAGTTGTTTGGAAAGCTGTTACTATGACAACCTTAACTATGTTTGTATACAATTAAATTTAATTATGAATTATATTAACGAATGTTTCAATTGTAAAAAATGTTTTTATTTAAAAAATAATAAAATTGAAAAAAAATTGATTAGGTAACATGTACCAATACATGAAAAAAATTAACTAATTTATAATAATAATAATTATAATATTATACAAACTGTATAAAAAATTATTTATCAGTTTAATTAATTTAAAATATGTTAAAAATAGAGCAAGAATTTTTTTTGAATAATAAATGTTAAAGTATCGCTTTTTTAAAATTATAAACAATACTCCAAATCATTTGGTATTTCAGCCTTGCTCTCCTTATACCGGTCATAGTAGCAAACATTAATGAGTAAAAAAATGATGTATATATATGTATATATATATTTTTATCTATCTATTAATTTATCTATGGTTAGTTCTCACAGAGAACGTTAGCTAATTTCAATATTGCGGTACCATGGCACCATCACATAATAATTATTTTATTAATCTATTTTGTTCGTTATATTTTATAAAAAAGCCAATTGATTTGAATTAAATTAAAAGTGATCTAATTTAACAAATATATAATCCGATGTAGGCTCTGGCAGTTTAACATCTAACCAACTATTATTTATATCATTATTCTTATTATTAGTCTTTAAAATTAACCGATGAGCTGGTGTAGCATTATGAGGAATACACAATTTTACAGGAACATCAAATTTTAATCCACTTGGTCCACACTCAACTAAAGGACTCATTAAGGATTCACCTAAAAACAATGTTTTAATTATTTTTCGGTAAAAACATAAATTTTAATGATTAATTTATCACAATTATGAAAATTATTTATTTATAATGATTATTTTTAGTCAATTCCACCACCTTTTCTTTTATTAAAAGCTCACCATGATTTGTAGGCGGTGAAATAGAAGAGCGATGATCAACAATGTTGTTATGCGAATTATTAGCGTTTGTAGATGTCACAGTAAAGTAAATTTCTTGTTGAGTCCCAGGTGGTAATGCTCCTGACGGAATTGTCATTACTACACCCCCTGGACCCTCAAGAATACCACCTTCACTACTGAACACCCCCCGCGCCACCCCTGAATTTGTATTCCTATGGTGAGCCACCACCGGATGTTAGTAAAATTATTTCGGTCAAGTTAATAATTTTTTTTAGCATACATTTATTTGTTATCAATGTCATCCTTGTCTTCATTTCTTATTAATAGATTAAAAATTACATCTATTGTTAATAATTAATGATATGTAATTACCTAACATTATGATGAGTAATTGGTGGTTTTCTATACAATTCAAAGGCACTGCCTCTTTGTTCACGACTTCCTGCAAGATCCAGTCCACTTGGCTCTCTATTATGCCCTGTTGTATTCCCACCAGTGGAATGCATCCCGCTGACATGATTGTTACTGTGACTGTGTCCATTATGAGTACTTCGATGATTGTGACTAAGGGTCAACTGCCCCGCACTGTTGCTGTGCGAGTGACTTGCAATCGGTGGATTGGAGTGTGAGTGAGTATGACTTAAGCTATGACTGTGATTCGGTGGAGTATGGTTATGATTATGGTTCGAATTCATTAAATAATTTCCTTCGTTGCTTCTATTCGGTGGAGGAATATTGTAATAATATTGCGAATTATTACGTTGAATGGTATTTCCATTTTCAATCTTAAAAAATAAGATTATTATTTTTATTAATATAATAATTATCCAATGTATTAATTAACTGATTTTCTATAAAATTATATCATTTAATAACCTACCCCATTGTGAACATGTGAAGGAGTCATTGAATAACTTTTTGCATGCTGATATAAATTTCCTCCTCCATTACTATCATCTTGAATGATATTCTGTTGTGGTGGCCGATAATTTTTAGGCTTTGGTGGAGGAACTGGTTTGTAAGTACCTGTTCCGTTATTTCCTGATTTTCCAGGTGTTGGAGGTACTTTTATATCACTTGATCTACTGAAAGAGTAATAGAATTTAAAATAACTTCTAATATAATAACTTTGAAATAATTAATTTTGAAAAATAAAATTTTTATGTTTTCTATTAAAATTTATGATTTATCATTTCAATGTCTTACCTATATTTGACATAATCTCCACGATTTTGAGTCTCTTGAGACGGAATAGGCTGTGCTGTAGATCGAGTAAATCTATAAGGATCATGAGGTCTTTGGGTAGGATTTAAACTTCCTGTTTTAAGGTCATCAGGTACATTTGGTCCTAGACGTCCAGCTGATGTATTTAAATTACCTCCAGAATAAGTAGTATTACCATTGGTGTTGTAAGAATCATACGATGACATACTATCATAACTTCCCTGTAAAAAAAATAAAAATCAGTGACAATGATTTTTAAATATCAATAGTAATCAAGCGGGGATAAAAAAATTTACAGTATTTAGTGGTTTAGGTTGAGCACGTTCAAGAGAAGAAGTAGCATTTGCTCGGTGAGGCGTAGCATTTATATAATTTCTCATATCCAATACCGAATCTGTTTTATTAGCAAGTCGATCAACAGCTGAACGACCAATTGTTCCACGAGAAGTTTGATTGATTGGCTTGACATTTCTATCGACCCGCGGAGGCAAATCAGGAGGACCATGATGAGGAGATCGTGTTGATGGAGGTCCTGAATACTGAGGCAGCCCAGATTGATCATTGAGTGTTCCAGTCGTAGAAAAACCATACTTCATATCACCAGGAGTTCCTGCAGCTCTTTTATGTTGTTCAAAAGCCTAGACAAAAAATTAAAATTTTTTTATCTTCTGTACCTACTTTTTTTATTAAGTAAATATGAACATGAATTTACCTGATAACTTGATGTATATGGCGGTGGTGCTGAAGTATCATCTTGAGTGGCGATACTTGGATCAGAGTTACTTTTAAGTCTCGTAGGTGGCCCCAGTACTCCAGGAAGAGGAGGTGCAGGGCTCAGTTCCAAATCACTCTCCGGGGAGGAAGCGTAGGAGAGGCGTGAAGTCATCGGGAAAAGGAAGTCATCCGAGAGGGCCTCTTCCGGCTACGTAACAGGACACCACGTTATTATGATTGTTATGATAGAATATGGTTTTGAATTATTAATAAATACAAGATCAGATTTTTAATGTTATTTAAAAAAAGCTTATAATTATTGTTAGATAATAAATAAAGTAAAAAACATAAACAGTTTTAGTACATACTACTTCACACAATATAATAATATTGTGATTTATTTAATGTGCAAGTAAATGAAAGGAATGTATAATGATTATGCACACGTGCAGACATGCATGATTCATGCAAAAAAGAGAGCAAGAAAGAAAAAGAAAGAGATGAAGTATTTAAAGATAATGAAGTGTTTGAGTATTAAAGAAAAAGTCAAGCACTAAATGTAGCCGAAAAATTGCTCGTGAATGACATTCTGAGTGGAATGTGGTGATCGAACTGGTGATGATGTAACGAAAGGACTTGGTGGTCGTGGAGGTGGTAATATATTGATGTTATTGTTTTGCTCATAATAACTTGTGATGGGATGAGGAGGGGAGTGATAAGGTGGAAGATATAGATCCGACACCAATTCTATGGGCTACAAAACACCAATCCCGTTTAATTACAATTTGTTCATTCATTAAACGATCAAATTCATAGCAAGAATCCATAATCCACAAGCATATATACAATCTAAAATAATATTTTTATATTATTTGATTTACCTTAGTTTGACTCATCCATAAAGGACCTTGTTGTTGACGATCTATCAATTCTCTTAATTTCCTATACCAAGCTTCGGGCGTTGTTAACGTTATAACAGCACTGAAAACGTGTCCCCAAATTTTATCAAGCTTTTGGGACTGTTCTAATAATTTTTTACTGCTTTTGTGCGCCGATCTAAAAAAAAAAATGATGAAGTAAATATGAAAATAAATAACATGATATACTTTATTAAAAATATTAAATGCATACTTCGGTAATCCAGCACGCGTTTCCTTGATGATTTGTTTCGATTCTGCTTTCAAGAAGATGACAATAGGATAAAATTGAGCGTAATTAAGCCGATCAACTGCATTAGGTGTAATATCCAATAAAGCATGCTTTCCTCTGTCCATTACTTCTCTTATTGCACTTAATCTTATAATTCCGGATGTTTTTTTACTTTTACTTCCTTCTTCTTCACACTGATTTTCCATTTGAGGCGATGTAAATTTATCTGGAAAATCTTTTAGTAATTTTTCTCTAGCAAGATCCGCCACCGGTCCAAATAAAACAACCGGTCTAATAAAACCTGGATGACGTAATACAACTCTCTCATAAGCTGGGAATTTGCTTACGCTATCAGAAAACACCACATCATCCCAGTGATCACGGCCAAGAGACTTAGAACGTCGATGACTACCTCTTCTACGTCTAAAAAAGCTTCCTCTACTCTCACTTGCATTCATTTCTTTCTTAGTTGCATTAAACTGAGCTGTTGCGAGCTCTTCGGCTCGCGCTTTATTCGGAATAATACCTTTTTGTACTTCCTGGTTATTCCTACCAATTCTAAATACTTGCCACGATCCCACTACCCCATTGTGTAAAGTGTCAATCACATGAAAAACATCGCCACTACGGAAACTCATTTCTCCTTTCTCCGGTTGTTCGTAATGAAAATGAGTCTTGATATGAAACGAGTCGCCTCTACCAGAAGCTACTATTTGATCATATTCTTGACGTCTATGCTGAACAATCAAATCAATTTGTTCTTGAAGACTAAGTAGAAAAAGAACAGCCTCTTCCCTTGTTACGCCTTTCATATCCATATCATTAACTTTCAATATTTTGTCTCCCGGTTGCAATCCTTGCAGTGACGCTGGACTTCCCGGTTGAACGGCCGTTACGAAAACTCCTGTTTCGTTTCCACCAGTTAATCGTACGCCAACAGAACCTTCCTTCTGAAAAGTAATGAACCGTGGATCTGGCATAGGTTGTTTCATACGCTGTACAAGTGGATCTTCATCATAAAGTTGCCGTCTTGAAGAATAATAATCTGAGAACAAAAAAATTTACAATGTAAAATAGTCAGAAAAATGTTTTCTAATGAAAAAAAAATATGACAATAAATTTTTTTAGTTTATATAATGATTTCTCTAAAAGGATGCATGTTGAAAATTATGATTTCTACATAATAACACCACAATATTTATTTAAGTAGGTTAATGTATTTTCACTAAAACCTTCATAATTATTTTCACGTTATCTACAACATTTCTTTTTAACTCTCATTTATAATAAAAAATAAACAAAAATTGGCAGTATTTTAGTTATTTTAATAACCTTGACATATTGAAGAATTTATAGAAAAAAAGAGAGTTTAAAAATATCAATGGAATCATCAAGAAAAAAAACTGATAATAGAATGAATATAAAATAATTTTTTGCAAAAATAAACATTGAAAAGAAGAGTATTTTATAAAAAATTCACCTTCTAATCGTGGTGGAGGAGGTCGTGGTGGATCTACTGTCGGAGTAGCAGGTAAATCTAGTTGACTTAAAGAGACATCCATCAATGGACCTCTAGATCGTCCTCGAGGTGCTAAATTACTTTTATCTTCTACTGGTTGTCTTGTAGGCGGTGGAACATAAAGATTTTGACTGCTATAACTAGCACCTGACAGATATTCTCCACTTTCTCCTTTAGTCTGATAATTATTAGAACTTGGTTCTCTACTGACTACAACTGATAATCGATCTTTACATTGGTCCATAATCTTTTTAGCTTCTTTGAGACTCATATTATCGGCAGCAACTCCACCGATTCGAGTCACTAAATCTCCTGTTTTCGCTCCAGTTCCTTCACGAGTCACTTCTTTAACAAATAATTTACATCCTAAAACTATTCCAAAGTCATCTTTTTTATTATTTCTTGTCAAAGTTAATCTGTGAGTTTGAGGGCCAGTATTAGCTGCTGGATTAGATGTATTTCCTGCTGATCTTCTTTTAACAACCAATAAAACTGTCGAACCAGAATCTCGAAGCACTCGCACGGCTGCTCCATAATCAGCCCCTTCTAATGATACACCATTAGCTGATATAATTCTATCATTCACTTGTAATTTCCCTTCAGCTGGTCCAGCTTTTAATACATCTGAGATCGCAATCGCCGGATCGCCATTGGTAAAATGTGGATTATCTCGTCCTCCTGATACTGCTATACCAAACCCATACCCTGGAACTCTAGTTACTGTCACGTGATGTACTTCCCATCCTCGATCACCAACCTATAAGTAAAAATTGATAGAAATTTAGTTAGTGTATTAATATTAATTTAAATATTTAATTTTCAAAACCAGTTCATTCAAACTAAAACCTGTCTCTGAGTAATGCCCCAGGAATGTCTTTGTCATTCTTTCTTTCATACAAAATGAATAAAATAAAAATAGAAAAAAAGTATATTAAATCGGCTGGGGATTATTGACTCAGGTCACACAACTGCCTTTCATTAGTTTTAGGATAGATAAAAACGATGTTAAAACCTTCCTAATCTTAACTCTCTAAAAATGACTCATCTGTGAATCTTTAACAAGATATATAAATTAGTTTTGTATGCAGTTTTTTCTTTTTTTCTTCTATTTTATTTTCTGGTCAGAATTTCTATCATATCTTATTGCTAATGCAACTGGAATTCCATTCCTCTCTGTTCTTATTGAGAAAGTTGTCGATTACCTACATATTTTCCACATCAATCGGTTGGCCTTTTACTATTCCCATAAATGACAAACGAGATTTATTCATTATATTCATTGACTATTTTTTCTTTACTTATTACGATGATGATTATTGTTATTATTATAAACAATATTTCTATGTTAAAAGATGCTGCTGTACCTGACTATCGACACTCCCAATAGAATAATGCGGTGGAGGTTGTCCCTGAGAAGGAGACTGAAGGCCAAGAGGTGTTGTATTATTGCCTCCAAGTCCCCCTGCGTTATTCTCGTTTCTTTCCATGTCCACCAATAAATCATAACACGTGGCTTAAAGACTACATAACAGTTCTTAAAACTATTTTTTTAACCACTAGCATTCACTTTAATTCATTTTTATATACTTGCAATTGTTTACTTTCTTCTTTTTTTAAAAATACTAACCGAAGAAAACACTATTTAAAAGAACAAAACTCCAACACTTAACTAAGTTTTCCTTCTAACAGCTAAAAGCCGATTCAGCCGAAATTTCGAGCCTTTCTACCTGTTGCCTCGCACATTCCAAGCAACCCCCACTTATCAACATTTCTCTTCATGACAATTCCCTCTCTCCTGTAGAATTATCCAAATTCAAAAGGATTTTCTTAATAGGATAACTTCTCATTTATTTTCTTGATAATTAAAGATAAATATTATCGATAAAATTGCAACAACCAAAAAATAAAAATAATGAAGAAAATGTTGAAAAATATTAATTTGACGTAAACTAGCTTTAATACTCTGTATGAAATTCCGCAGAGGGCAGAGTCCTGACAGTGAGGAAGAACACACTTGACTGCACTCCACTGAAGAGAAACAAGGAACACGCGAGAACAGCTTTAGTATAGTAGTAGTGTAGTGTAGTAGAATCTTGATACGAGAGTGAAGGCCTGAGAGAGTATCAACCAACACCGGTTTGCCCGGTCTAACTCCACTTGGCGAGTCTCTGGTAAGAGGGCGTTCTTTCTACCTTGCATTTTACTGTACAATCGTCAGAAATTGCAACATGTTTACAAATTTCGAAGACACACCTAATATTTATCTGAAGGAATTATTTTCTAGATATACAGCATCACAAAGCAAAGAACAATTTCATACATTTATCTTATGATGATGATGATGATGATGATGATGATGATGATGCATGAACTGATTACAATGTTTTTTAATGGCACTAAAATACGAAAAAGGTGTGGTTTTAAAGATGATTTTTTCCAATATTATTATCTTAGCTAATCTGCATCAAATAAAATATCGCTATATTTCTTATTTCGAGAGCAATGAGCGTTTGGTGATCTAGAGAGTAGCAAGAGGACATTCACCAGCCTTCAATGACCTAACCAGCTGTCGTGGGGAGCATTAACATACATCGCATGTTTTACATAAGGTAATTGTCGATGATTTATTGCTTAAGCACACTACAATGTCGATTATCTATTATACTGTACATATAGAGATTTAAAATAGCACTAAAGCACAACCTTTTTTTTTTATTCTTCAGAAAAAATTCATTTGGACCCCTATCTTGGGATGTAAATAGACTTGATACCATTTCCTTTTACCACCGGAAGTCTCGGAAGTTTTTCTTCACCAAGTAACCCAGCGACTAAGTTCAAAGACACTTAAAAGTTCCCGTCAAGGTCATTAAAGAATTAATCATGAGAAAAATGCGTAACGTTGCACGTTAAATATTGTTCGAGTTTGCTCATAATTATAAATAATTCTTCTACATGCATAATTAATACTAAAATTATTATAAAGCATTTCGTGTTGTTTTTAAAAACTAGATTATTCTTAGTTATATATCATATAGAATTCAGTTTTTTATTGTATGAAAATATTGTTAGATGATTTATCTATATTCAATTAAGAATAATTACTACCAACTTACATTGGTGCTATTTTTATTGAAATAACGAGTATGATATAACTCGAAATTAAAATATATAACTATAAAAGTGCTTTGTTATTTAACTTGTTTTAATTTTTAAATAGTAAATTAAATTATATAAAAAATTTTTTAGTGTTAAACTTTCAGTAATAGATTATTTTATGTATTTCTAGAGTTGATTTAGGTCAATTCTTTTGATACATATTATTAAATAATTGATATGTTAAACAATATAAATATATATTTCTATAAATTTTAGTTAAAACTCTACATTTTTTAGAATTAGAACTTTTTAAATTCAATGGGACGACAAAATTCGTTTTTAAGAAATTGTTTTACCAAAATTTATGACAAATAAAAAAGCTATAATTATATTAAATGAAAGTGTATATTATTATATAATTTATATTTTCGAAATATCACTAGGAATTAAATTAAAAGTGAATTATAAAAAAGTAAAATAAGTTAATGCCTGTAAATGACACTTCAATTATTGGAATTATTATTATTATAAATTCTAGTTAAGATTTCTCTTCAATGATAGATTTTTTTAATTATTAATAATTGAATTATAATAAACTATCGATAAAATGGTAACATCCATGCTTATGTTAGTGTTTAAATAAGCATTTTCATCTATTCAACAACTCATAAAAGTCTAAATAGATTAGTATTAGCGGATTATTGATATATTCAATATTAGCAAGATTTTTTATTATCAATGTGTGTGGTACTGATGTATGTTTGTGTCAGTCATTAATGTCATAATATATACATATGTATATACATATATAAAAGTGGGCGTATTCTCGTTTTTATTTAATTATACTAACGAACTAAAAAGTAATCTATATTTTTACCTTGCAATTTTTTTACTACGAAAAATTTCGAAAATAAAATAATTATTATCAATATAAATTTAAATATTTAAAAGCATACCCTGCGTTTTCGTCGGTGACGTCTTGTACTAGTACTACTAGCATCCCCAAGAAGAAAACTATCTCTTGGTACATAATGTAATCCATTGGAATTTTTGACGAATAATTTTGAACTATTTTTAGATCGTAGTTTCCTTTTATGTTGTTTATCGTCGTTAATACCAAATAATTTACTTAGTATCTTCATTTTAAAATATTAATTAATATTAATGAAGAATTAAATTATTTTGTTATACACAGAAAATGATGTAATTAGTTTTTAAACGTTGATTGAAATTTATAAAATAACACAAATGTATAGATGGAAAATTCAAACGCGTCTACTTAGTGTGGTGCTCATCAAATCACTAAAGTTATACTCTGGAACGGTCTGTGAGGCACATGGCTGGGAATTATATTGTGCAGTCTACAACTCGAGTAGATTGAAAAGAGAGCATCCGTAATGGTTTACGCCTGTTGTCCACGGGGGCGGTTTCATTATATATAGTTTTATCTTACTTGTTGTTCGCTTAATCCTCAATATTGTTAATCTACTGAAGCCCCTCAAAACTCTTTCCATTAATTAGTCAATAGTTATTCAACTCTTCACTTTTACGATATTTTTATATTAATTTTGCGAACTTATAAATTTACAAGTAATTTTTATATTATATTTTAATAATAAGTGTAGTAAAATTTTGTTTAATAAATAAATAAATAAATAACTGTTAATAATCATTACAATTTTTAGTAAACGAATAAGAGACGTTATTGAAAGTGTTCTTTATGTAGAATAAAAAATTAATTTTATCATCATTAATTAATATTTTATGTTTTAAACTACTTTTAAATAAATATTAATTTAATTTTTTTTAATTATATATAATTAATAGAAAACGAGTTATTACTGAATTTGAATTTGAAATCATATATTAAAGAATAAATTTTTCTCTTTAAAACGAATTATTATTTATTATCAATACTATCATATCACATGATGAAAAAAACTCAGTCGATACTATAAAAACTTCAATTTAAAATCTTTACAATCATTAAAATATGTTGATGTGATATTTAAATCTATATGAAAATAATATTCTTTTTCAAATGGAATGGATTATCTTTCATTATAGAATTGATACTAATTTTAAATAAAATTAGACAAAAAGCAGTATTTAAAAGATAATGATTTATAATTAAGTGAAATATCTCCATTTTTAAAGATCTTAAGTACAATTACTTGTTCTATATTCAAACTTTTGTACTGTTAATTTCCCAGTGTGTATACGGAAGTGGTTAAAACCGGTTTTAAAATTGCCAATTTTGACAAATATTCATCTTTTTACGTATTAAGTCATTCGTAACTATATTCCAGCATTTGTATGAATTCATATGCATAAGTTTGTACGTATGCATGTGAACATTTTTTTCTAGCACAATAATTTTCAGAATAATACTAATGAATTTACTGATTTGTCAATCGATGGACATTGATAATGATGTAATAACATTAGGTTGCTTCAATAGCAGGTTAATGTTGTAAATAAACTACTTATTCCCTACATTTTTAACTGTATTAAATCTATAAAAATGAATGAATTTACATCATTTTCAATAAAAATCTTATACAACAATAAACAAAAGAACAAAATGATAGATAGATTTTTTGAAATCTAAGCTTGGAATGTATACTGTTATTGTATAATAAATTTGATTCTCTTATTGCCAATATTTTTTCAATAACATATTTATAGAAAACTGATTCATCTGAATACAAGAATTATCAATAACAAAGTACTATTGATATCATAATAAAATTCTATAAATCTATAGATAACATTAAAAGAATAATAGAACATTGTTAAGATGCTCTTACATATTCTAAAAAATAGTACAGCACGGAAAATGGATTTAGAAACCATACAACTTGCTAATAGTGATGAACTTAATGTCACCAGAGGTTGTGAATTTTTTCAATGAGATCTATTTAATAAACTAAAACAAAATGTTTATGTTTCGTATATACAGCGATTGATCTTTTAAGAAAATAGTCAAATATTGTTTAATAATAATAATTAATAAAATAAAATATTTGTTAACTTACGGGTTCATCAACAGGTTCATCAAGTACTTCTTCAGGAAAATTCCTCCATCTCTCGGGCTCGGTGACATCAGAGCTGAAAAAAAATATAAAAATTAAACATTATTGAACTATCTATTATAAATGACGACAGCATTAGGAATCCGCCACTTTGTTGACAATTCAATGTAGATAAGATTAGACATTTTATTAATATTTTCTTGTAAATTAAATTACACCTAAAGCAAACAATGATTGTTAGTTTAAAGATTTTGATTGGATTTTGAATTCAAACATTCATCAGATAACATTAAAAAATCATTATCATGAAAATGTCATTGAAGAAAATTGAAAAATTATATACCTAAATAGTGGCTTGAATTTTTTTTTAAGGTCAATTGTTTACAAGATAAGAGAAATATTATAGAAATGTAAAAGTTTTAAGTAATTCAAGAAATAAATAATAAATAAATGAAAAAACAAATAAAATAAAATGACCGAGTGAAAATAAATAAAAGTGTAGGCGAATAAAAAGCTCCAATAGTCGATTATCCTCAGATTAAGGAGTTACATACGTACGTATCTTGACACGAAATCTTTTAGTACTTGTGATTGGAGGACTAATCACGAGTTTGCGGCAGTGATGAAACGAAGAGGAGAGGAACATTATCGTCGGTGGGCCATTGTCGTCAGACAGTTGTATATTAGTACTTGGATGACGGGTCGAGTAAAAAGATCAAGTTGAGTGTGCTCGAGTAGATACCAAAATAATTTATTTCGCGATTTTTCTAATATCAATGATAGGTTATTAAACATTGACGTACTAAAATAAATGAACATTTTAAACATGACAGTTATGAAGAATTCCCAATTTTGTTTAATAAAATATAAATTGATAAAACAATTGGAAAATGCTCCAAATACACATATAAAAACGTACGATTAGAATTGGGTATAAATCTTTCGAGATAACGAAGAGATAGAGAGGTAGAGGTAGTAAGACAGTGAGTAAAGACAATTTTATACGAGTCGTCTTGTGCTTCAGATCAGCTCTAGCTAACGTTTTAATTTAATGTTTCGTTCATTTTTGTGTAAAATTAATTAATCATGGAAATGGAAATGCTTGGAAATAATTCCGAGTTAAAAGAAAAAGCTGCTGTTATTGAGCCTATGCTCAAAACTCCAAAACATATCAAAGAAGGGAAAAAACATTTTCAATATTTTTATACTCTTGTTGGTAAGTAGCTAATTAAATTAACACTTTTAAAAATCATCAGCCAGTTATCTTATATCTTAAAATACTGTACAAACATACCAAATCATTCTTTTTTTGTCTAATGTCAAGAGCAAAACTTTTTCTATCATTTTTTTTTATTGTTTTTGTAATCGGTCATGCACTCGTGATAATTAAAGCGGATAAAAAATTGATAAATAGTATTTGTACATTCTTTTGTTCTGTTCACTTTCCATGACCTAAATTTAATGGGAAATGTCTTTTTAATCTTCATTTGTTTTATTTACAGCGGGCTTAATGGCAATGCAGAGTGGAATGAAATTATCATGGACATCACCAAGTGGTCCGTATCTGACGTCTGATCAATCCTTTATTCCAGGAATGACAGAAAATCACATGTCTTGGGTTTGTTCCCTCATGGCACTTGGTGCAATTTTGGGAGCAGTTCCAGCTGGAAAAGTAGCTGATAAAATGGGTAGAAAAAGGACAATGATTATTTCAGCTATTCCATTTTTCATTTCATGGCTGATGATAATCTTTACACGTGATTTGATAAGTTTATATATCGCAAGGTTCATTGGTGGAATTGGTGCCGGAGCAGCTTGTGTAATAGTGCCAGTTTATATTGGTGAAATAGCAGAGCCATCAATCCGAGGTGCACTAGGATCATTTTTTCCTCTTTTATTTTCAACTGGAGTTGTTTTTGTCTACGTTGTTGGAGCAATTAGTGAATATATGACATTCAACATTGCTTGCTGCATTACGCTAGTTCCATTTTTATTAAGTTACTTCCTGCCTGAATCTCCACTATGGCTGGTACAAAAAGGCCGAATCTCACAAGCTGAAAAATCACTTCGTGTTTTACGCGGAAAAAGTTATGAATTGAAAAAAGAAATTTCAGTGCTTCAAGAAGAAGCTGATCGAGTTGAAAGCCGAAAAGGAGGAATAAGAGATTTAATTTGCACCAGAGCTGGTAGAAAAGCTCTTAGTACTTGCGTGGGACTTATGTGGTTTCAACAAATGTGTGGGATTGATGCAGTGCTCTTTTATACTGTCAAGATCTTCCAAGATGCTGGTAGTACAGTAAATCCATTTTTAGCGACTATCATTATTGGAATAATTGAAGTTGTTATGGCAGTTGTTGTGGCAATAGTTATTGATAAATTTGGAAGAAAACCTCTTTTAATTATCTCTGGTGTAGCCATGACTCTTTGTTTAAGTGTGTTGGGTTATTATTTTAAAATGAAAACTGATAAACAAGATGTTTCTTCAATTGGATGGCTTCCACTGACTTGTTTGTCTCTTTTTAACGTTGTTTTTAGTGTTGGATATGGATCAGTACCTTTTGCAGTAATAAGTGAATTATTTCCTCCAGAAACCAAAGGTGTTGCAAGCAGTTTATCAATTATGGTAAACTGGAGCTTAGTATTTATTGTAACAAAATTTTTCCCTAGTATGGTTAAAGCTACAGGACCAGCAATAACATTTTGGACTTTTGGCAGTATGGCTTTATTGTCTGCTATATTTGCTTATGTATTTGTGCCAGAAACTAAAGGAAAAACACTTCAAGAGATTCAAACAAAGTTAGCTAGAGAAAAAGTTAAAGTTAAACAAATATTGACAATAAAATAAAAGTATTAAAATTTAATAAATTAAATAAAAAATAATAAAATGTGTATATAGATTGTGTTTATAAGTATATCCAATCAAATTTTATAAAAGTATTTCAAGATACTGTCACTTACCACATGAAATTATCTTGCAATATAGTATCACCAATATTTGAATGATAAATATCATTAATTGTTACAAAATAGTCCAATTGTTCGTCTAAACCACTCTTATAAGTAGTGTACATGATGTATAGTTTAGTAAGTTATAGCAGTTATATTAACTATTTTTGTTTGACTATCGATATATTTTACACTTAATACATTTTTACTTCATATTAATTATTATTATTATCGTTATTACTATTATTATTAAATAATTCATGGCAAAATTAAAAACGCTTATTTTATAAATGAAATTCAAGTTGAAGCAACGAATTATTTAATTTTGAAGAGCGCGTGTGTAACTCATTCTAAGAATGATTCTCTTCTCAAAATAACAAGCAAATAGCATCGCGAAGTTGGCTTATAGTCACTTTAATATCTTCTTCTCTTTTCTTTATATATATCTTTTTTTAATTTTATAATGTTTTATTAAATATAAATCAATAAATTAGTTTATTATTATTATCAAAAATTGTGTTATATTGAAAAAATATATTTGATTTGATGTAATGAAAAAATCAGATGGAACAATTGATTAATAAATTTAAAAAGACACTTATTCGCATTGTCTAGCTTAATTTATTGTATAACTGAGATGATGAAGATGAAGAGATAATGATGAATTAAAGTGATTGTGATAATTCAACGTGATCGTTGACCTACTCGTTGTTAGACTGATGATCAGTCAAATGTCATTAAAGTTGATACAACAATTTGATTGTTTCCTTATAAATATTGGCTTATTATTTATTTTTTTTTTTTATACGAAAGTAGAATTATTATCTATCATTTCAGTAGAAATATTTTTTAATAAAAAGTAATTAGGGATATTATAATTTCTTTTCACTCTAGTATCAGTAGACTTTCTTGCACTTGTTTTGTATTGGCCGACTTTAAACGAGTCGAACGAGTAAACCTCACGATGAAACTACTTACTTCCTGGATTTCCGGTTTTTCAACTCCTTCCCACTTATAGCAAGTGTATATTGAGAGTTTTATTCCTTCAGCAATAGTAGCTTACGCTTTGCATTGTAATTTTTTTTAAAAATTAATTTGGCAATTGAACCGTATATTGTTTATTAATGTTTATAAATAAATTCTTATAAGATAATTAGTTCGTATTGTTTTTACTGTCAATTATGATTAATGAAAAATATGACTCACCATTCTTTGATGTATTCTGATTCTTGATTGAAAATAATATCAACATTTTTCGACTGATCTTCTTGATTATCTGATGCTAAATCTAAAGAACTTCTAGTATTGTTTGGTTTAATGTCATCATCATTGTTTTTATGATCTTCCTTATCTTTTGTTTCTTTCAGTCCTTCTTCCTCTTCATCACGTTGAGATGGTAATTCCTGTTGTTGATTATATTCTCCTAGAAATTAATTTTATACCGAGTTTTCGTGAAAATCGTATCATAAGCCATTCAAGTGTACGTTAATTAATAAGAAAAAGTTGACTTACTTGTAATGCTGTGCTGATCTACAAGAAGATCTGTGAGAACATGAGGACATTCAGCTTCCAATGCAAAGCAAAATTCACGAAAAACATCAAAACCTTTAGCCCCGATTATGTCGATAAAAAGATCAATGTCTGAGTTTGTTGAATGATCAGCGTTGCCTGCTACAGCGTCCTTGTCAACTTCATTAATAACGCCGCGTTTCACTAGGACACTTAAGAGGTCCGTTGAATTTAACTCATTTAGAAGAGACGCTTTGTGACGTGATAAAAGTATTTTTATCTCAGAAGATCCAGCCATTCTTAACGTACATCTAAGCAACAGGTGTCACACACTCGTGGTAAAAACGCTACCTCTTTACTTCTCCCTTTGCATCATTTCCCACCCGATGTACTTTTAACACGTCTTCTGCTCCTTCTCCTCTATTCTCGTAACCCCTATTTTACTCTTCTAAGCCCTCTAGTGTTTAGAAATAGCAATAAAATTTGAATTCGGAAATGCCACTCGGCGCCATCTTACGGTGAGAATTTATACTAAAATATGTTTAAAAATTCAAGCCGTAAATGTTCCTCTGTGTTACAATCTAACCTCTTTATTGATGTACATATCGTTATATGTAGTGTTATAAAATACTTACATTTCTAAAGTGTTAAATTATACATTTATAATAAAATAAAAATGTCGGAAAGTCCGCGATCTCGTACGTCACTCACTCAATCTCCAGCTAGATCATATTCTAGTCGATCTAGTACAGGATCACGTTCTAGAAGTGGTAGCCCAAGGTCTGCTCGTTCTGATAGCGTTCAATCACAGAAATCAACTCGATCTAGGTCTAGATCAAAGTCTAGGTCTAGATCGAAATCAAGGTCCAGATCAAAATCAGTATCTAGATCAAAATCGAGATCTAGGTCTAGATCACCAGCAGAAAGTGTAAAGTCTCAATCTAGTGAAAAGTCACATAGGTCACGTTCAACTTCAAAATCACCAGATAGGAAATCAAAGTCAAAATCGGCATCACCAGTTTCTAATGCTTCACATTCTCCTAGAAGTAACCGATCAGAAGGACGTACATCTCGTAGCAGTCGCAAATCAACTACTCCAGGGTCTCCAAAAAGTAATAGATCTCGTAGTGGAACTCCTGATAGTCGAAGATCTAGAAGCGGGTCTCCAAAAAGTGGTAGATCAGTATCAGGATCTCCTGCAAATACTAAAGATGATGACAGATCTTCAAGTCACAAAGCTGATGAACACATGAAATCGGATGATAGTGATGCAGAAGATGAAAAAAGAAAACGAGAAGGAAGTGGATCAGATTCTGATGCACAACAAAATACCAAAAAACTTAGGCAAAATTTAATTGATTCTGATTCTGATGATGAACCAGTAGCTAAAAAAGATAATGAAGAAAAACCAACAGCAGATGCTTTGTTTGGGGATGCTAGTGATATTAGTACAGATGATGAAAAAGATAAACAAGATGAAGAAGTTGCTAAACCACGTGAGCGAAGCCGGAGTCGAAGTAGTCGAAGTAGTAGAAGTAAAAGCCGAAGTAGAAGTAGAAGTAGAAGCAGAGGAAGATCAGAAAGTGAAGGAAGGTCAGGTCATGATGAGGTTGCAGTTGGTGATCAAGAAGAAGAAGAAAAAGAAAAAGAAGATGAACCTGAACCACCACCAGAAACAAGAATTGATGTTGAAATTCCTAAAATTACAACTGATTTAGGTAGAGAAATTCATTTTGTTAAACTACCCAACTTTTTGTCTGTTGAAACTAGACCATTCGATCATGAAACTTATGAAGATGAAATAGACGAAGAAGAAACACTTGATGAAGAAGGTCGAGCACGTCTAAAACTTAAGGTAGAAAATACAATCAGATGGAAAGAAACTTTTAATGAAGATGGAAAAATTGTTAAAGAAAGTAATGCAAGATTTGTTAGATGGTCTGATGGAAGCATGTCATTACATTTGGGTGCGGAAATTTTTGATGTTTATAAACAACCACTTCAAGGAGATCATAATCATTTGTACATTCGTCAAGGAACTGGTCTTCAAGGCCAATCAGTATTTAGAACTAAATTAACATTTAGACCTCATTCAACTGAATCATTTACCCATAGAAAAATGACAATGTCTTTAGCTGATAGGTCGCAAAAGACTTCAGGTATCAAAGTGTTGTCTCAAGTTGGTATGAATCCAGATCAAAATAGGTATGAAATGATTAAAAAAGAAGAAGAAAAATTGAGAATGGCCATGAGAGTTCAAAGTAAACCTAAAAAGGGTACTGGGAGTGGACGAGCACCAGGAAGACCAACTGGATATGGAGCTGATGCTTATCATGATGATGGTTCTGATGATGAAGGAGCTATTTCACTTGCTGCGATCAAAAATAAATACAAAAAAAATGCTGGAGCACCTTCGAAAGGTATTATAATAGTTGATACATTTAAAAAAATTTTGTTTTATTTAAGCAACTAATACTTTCTATTCAATAATTATTGTTTGAATTTATTCTTAAATGAAAAATATTCCATTAATTTATTTAATAAAAATAATCTGAAATACTTTTTAAACCAGAATACTTTGATTCAAGTGAATCAAGCTAACATAATTGTTTATGAAAATTAATTTTCAAATTAAAAATAATATTCTTACTTGTTCGATAGCATCAAATATATATTCATCTGATGAGGAAGGATCAGATTTTGAAACCACTCGACCTAAGAAAAGTTTCAAAGGAAAGGTACTTAAAGATTCAGATGAAGAATCTAATGCTACGTCTAACAGTGGATCTGAAAGTGAAGGAGGTGATGGAGCTGCTGAAGAAGGAAGTGATTAATTACAATTTACAAAATAGTTTTAATACAATAATGTAATATTAATTTTATTATCAATACAAGTTACAGTCATTTTTTCATCAATGTAAAACTATGACATTCATATTAATAAAATATGCGACACTTTTTGTAAGACAATCTTTTTTTTTCTTTTTGAACATTGTTTTGTATTATTTATTCAAGTGAATGAATGTACTTTAAACTATCACTTTTTTCCCTATTGCACTGATATTTTACGACTCTCTACAAAATTAAAAATATCTTGATGATGAAAATCTATTTTACTTAATAAGTAATTATTTATAATTGTAAAACTATACATGAGATAAGAGTCGATAATAAATAAGTATTTACGCACAAGTTAAGTATAAAGCTAAGTAAAGTTGAAAACTTTTACTGATTGTGTTTCAACTAATCATGTTATTAGTAAGCTTGTGCAATTCTTTAATGGCAGTAGATAATTGTGGTATAGAGGAGTAAAAATGCAGCTTATCACAATGTCAAAATGAATAGAAAAAAAAGTCTGCTTAATAAACAGTCTATGTTTTGTAGAAAAGGCACAAGCTTGGAACAGAATTTGCTAATTTTTATTCAAATAAAATATGCAAAAAAATAATTAAATAATAAAGCTTTTAAAATTAATAAGGGTCACAACGTAATGAAAAATTCAGGTTGTTCACCCCCCCTTTTTTTTTAGTAATAATGTAATCGATAGCACGATCTCCTTATATTGAAGCAGTCTCTCGCAATACTCACTGAATCCTAGTTTTATTTATATACATCAAATGAAAGTGCGGTTAAATCCATGTCTTAGTCAACACGAGAGAGATCTAGCCCACTATTTTTTCAATAATCAAGAGTTACTTCTATAATGTCCACAGATCTTTCAACAAGCCTACAATCATTCATTAATATTCATTAACATTAATTTGAAATGATTAAAAAGCATATTTATTATAGTATAAAATTAAGTTGTATACCTTAACCCCAAAGGACGCTTCGTAACCACCCTTTCCTTGCATTTGATGTTGAATGACCGACAAATGTGCACTTTCCATATCAAGGTCTCCACTGCCAATGTGTCCAGTGTGTTGAAAGTTCGTCGGTGCTCCAATCATACTCCGATCTATCCTTAACCTGTGTTGAGGTCTTTGTCTTTTATTTCTTGTTGTTGGTCCTTGTTGAGTTAAACAACACGTGAACCATTGGATCCAAACTTCTGTATTACTTGCCATTCTTTATTTTTTACAATGCTACTCTCTTGAATAAATAAATAATAATGAGCTACATTAAAACTTTAATTCGGTAATTAAACAATATTCAATATAAATAAACTTACTGCAACCTTGTCGTTGACCCTTTTCTCACGATAATTACAGTCTCACAAATCGCTCTCTCAAACTTTTGGCACAATAAATTCGTTAATAAATTGATTAGTCAGCGTAAAATGCATATCAAGTCATTGGTGATACTGAAGTTGTTCACAAAAGTTAGCATAGAATTAATTAACTCGAATAAATAAACACGTTTCACTACTAGAATTAAATAATCCAACCTGATTTTACTGAACTCTGCTGGGTTCTACAGCTCACCTTCATTTGTGTATTTTCCACTCCAAATACAGTTTTAGTTCAAATTATGACCACCTATGGCGCTACTGAACTATTCAATTACAAAGATTGTGAATAATAAAAAAACCATTGAAAATCCATTTTCTTTAATTACTTTTTGTTAATGACTCATATTTATTGTAACTGTAAAATTTTGTACATATAAATTTATGAGTAATATTCTAAAATTACAATTCATTGATTATATAGTTGAATTGAACCATGTGTAATTGAAAAATACATTCATAGTACAATATACATGCATATACACATGCATATTAATAAGGACTAATTACATAATGTAACAACATCTTATTCAGAGACAGAAAATTTTTTATCTATTTTCTAATTTATTTATTTGAAAAATATGATTTAAACCCACTTTTATTAAAGATAAAAAATGTACATTTAAAAGTTATATAAATTGGTTCTCTGGTTATTTTTTTACATATTATTAAAGCTCTCCAAATACCCAAAGGATAATATTATCATTTTTTAATGTTAAAATAGAATATATTTTTAACATTTTTCTATTTTTTTTTTAAAGTTTCGCTTTCAAAAGCTCAATTTTCTTAGCAGCTCGTTTTTGAAGATCGGGCAATTTCATTGCTAGTCCCATATTTCCTTTTATCTTTATTTTTCCTTGGAAAAATGCTTGTTGTGGATTTAATTTTCCAGAAATAAAATCAACAATATCTGTATCGCTTATTGTAAAGACAACATCAGGTTTTTCTTTTCCATTATACTCCACTGATCCTTTTCCAGTTTTAGCATTAATTATCCAATAACCTTCAGCACCACCAGGCCCATTGATAATTTTAAAACCATAAACTCCACGGAATTTTTCAATTAAATTGTCTTCATCTTCTTTCATTGCTACTTCAAAAATTTTGAATACCTTATCTGCTTGAAATATTTCCCGAGAAGCACTAGCATTGACTAAGTTCATTCTCAAACCATTAGAGAATCCTAATTTGTATAAAGCAACAACAACAGCTCCACCAAGACCAATGTTATGCTGGAGCGCTAATTTTGCTCCTGGAACTTGTCTTTTACCTGCTTGACCACGTAATTGCAATGATAATTCTACACATTGAGCAATTCCAGTAGCACCAAGCGGATGTCCTTTAGAAATCAATCCACCACTTGGATTAATCACATACTTTCCACCATATGTATTATTTCCTGAATCAATTAGTTTTGCAGCTTGTCCCGGTGGACAAAGTCCCAATGCTTCATAGGTTATAAGTTCATTTGCTGAAAAACAATCGTGGAGTTCAATTACATCAACATCTTGTGGCGAATAAGGTACTGCTGCAAATACTTTTTCCGCTGCATTTTTTGTCATATCATATCTGGAAATGATTACAAATATACATATATTTATCAACTCACATATTTTACAAAATTAGTAAACTGATTTAAATAATCTTTATTCTTTTATATCATTTGTTATGATTGGAAAATATATTAACAATACAAACAAGATAAAAGGAATATTATTTAAAAATACAATAAGCTATTTACCCAACAATCTTCATGTGACTTCTTTCAGCAAATGTTGATGGTAAATCAGTAGACATTTCCATAGCTAAAATTTCTACTGCTTGATTTTGAAGATTATGACGACGAACAAAATCTTCATTTGCTAAAATTACAGCAGCACTTCCATCAGACGTTGGACAACATTGAAGTTTTGTCAATGGACCAAAGACTTTAGGAGAATTTATTATTTGTTCTAAAGAATATTTATTTTGAAATTGTGAAAGCGGATTATTAACAGAATGTAGATGATTTTTATAAGCAATTTTAGCAAAGTGTTCAGGTTTTGTTCCATATTTTTGCATATGTTCAAGTGCCGCATTACCAAACATTTGAGCCGTAATTGGGCTATCTGAAAGACCAGACATATCAGCCATCATACCGACATGTTTATCCATTGGATTTGTACGATCGAGAAATTTAGATGTCAACGATCCTTTCTCCATTTTTTCGAAACCAACAGCTAAAGTACAGTCGGCTTTTCCAGATTCAATTATGTACTTGGCAATCATTAAAGCAGAAGATCCAGTCGAACAATTATTGTTAACATTAAAAATAGGACAGCCATTTAATCCAACTTCGTATAATGCTCGTTGTCCACAAGTTGAGTCTCCATAAACATAGCCAACGGCTGCAGCTTTTATTTGATCATAAGAAACTCGAGCATCTTTTAACGCTTTTGTGACAGATTCTTTCACCATTTCAGGGTAATCAAAGTCATCACGAGACCCCGGTTTTTCAAATTTCGTCATTCCTAGACCCACTACGTAAACAGTTTCTTTGCGCACCATTTTAAAGCCTAAAGAAAAACACGAGTCATAATAGAAAATAGCAGAATTAAATAAATACTATCTCAAAAACTAGACGCAACTTTCTCTTGAATTATAGTTACCTTTAAGGTTGGAGTGTTATTAGAGAAATACAAAAAAATATGAAGAAGCAGTTGAGAGATGTGATACGCAGAAAATATTTTATTAGTTACACAGCTTATAAATGAAATATATGTAGCTTCATATATCAATAATTGCCAGTAAGCATTGAACTTTGACCGGTATAACGGGTTTATAGTAATAAAAAAATAACACGTCAGGTACTCCTCATCAATGGCGAAAGTCTACTGCGATAAATTGAAGCAAGTGGTTTTATATATTAATAATGAGAACCTCTGCTAAAGTTTTTAAGTTGAAAGTGTTTGTAGATAGCGTACTTGCAAAGAACTCTTGCGCAGAATTCACTTGCGCAAAAGCCGTTTTTTTTAAATTATTATTATTCAAATTAATTAATTTTTTGTAAATACTAGTAGTAGATTACATAAGTTTTTTAATTATACGAATAATTTATCATTAAATTAAAACATACTTTTTTCCAAAAATTGTTTATATTCAATATACATACAAATTTGAATCTACACATAATCAATATACAAAACAAACTTATTTTATTACTTTACTGTACATAGTTTAAATTTTTAATTATGAATGATTGAAGTTTGAAAAAGAATTTAGTTTAGTTAGAATTAATTCAAACAAATCAGCCTCAACTGTCTTAAATAATTATCATTCAGTATAAAAATGTCATTAATATTAATTAAATTACATATTACATTATCAAAAATTATTCAGTTTGTACATTCCACATAAAAACGTTAGTACCATTGGTGGCAAGGATAGAATTTTCCTGAGGATGAACACTTAAAGATACTGTTGGATATTTGGTTTTTTCATCTCCAGAAAGTTTAGCTAAAACTTTTTGATTCGTTAAATCCCATACCCATAATTTACCATCAGCAGATCCAGATAAAACTTTGCTATCATTATAATCAACACTAGATTCTAAGCACAGGTCATCAACTGTATGTCCTTTAAATTCATTTAACAATTCACCAGTGTCTTTATCAAGAAGTCTGATTACTCCATCTGCACAACTGGCAAGAGTACACTGACCATCTCGTGTAAAACTAACGCAAGTAATAGCTTCCCCAAGACAATCAGATGTAACTTCTCCAGCTCTAATGTCATATCTTCTAATTCTACAGTCAAATGAAGCAGAAATAATTTCATGATCGCTCACTTTGATACTGGAAATAGCATCTTTTGCTTCATTTAATGTCTGAACAGGTTCTTGATTTTTAGATCGAATATCCCAACATTTGACTGAATTATCTCGAGATCCAGATATTGCCATTGATGATTCTTCATTAAAACATACAGTCATAACTCCACCTGAATGTCCACGAAATCTTCTAACTGGATTACCTGTAGCTACGTCCCATAATATAACTGATTTGTCTAAACCGCATGAAATAATTTGACTGCTGTCACAGGATGCACTGGCATCCATAACCTCACCACCATGACCACTGTAGGTTTTTAATAATGCATTTCTATGAGGATTCCATAATCTTAGTCTTCTATCAGAACTACCCGTTATACAATATGCTCCATCAGTATTGAATCGTACAACTCGTATAGCTCCTTCTTTACAGTGAAGTGAGTGAACAAATTTGAACTCCATTTTTCGGAGAATAGAATATTAGAAAGTTTGGAATAAACAGGGCAACAGCTGATTATTCATAAACAACTTTGACACCTCACGCGCTGACAATACAAAGAAACGGGTGTGTTTCATCAAGCATTTAAACGTTTATAATGGATTTTGAGGATTTTGAAATGTTTCCTATCAAAGAAAATGATCAACAACAATTTCTTTTTCACGAATCGGATATATTTTCTCAAGGATTTATGATTTTCGAAGAAATTCGAAGGCAAGGAAAATTTTGCGATGTCACAATAAAGGTAAATATATATTCTAACCTATTTTTAAAGTATATTTAATATTATTATGGGTTTAGCTCAAATTCATGGAAATAATTTTTTAAAATCATTATTCAGGTTGAAGATCAGAGTTTTAGTGCTCATAAAATTGTTCTTGCGGCTACAATTCCATATTTTCATGCAATGTTTTTAAATAATATGGCTGAAAGTAAATTGAATGATATAACATTACAAGGATTTGATCCTCTGTATGTATGCTTATTAATCGATTAATTAACATAAAACGTATATTATTCTATTATTTTTATCACTAATAATATGTATTTATTTACAGTGCACTTGAATCTTTAATAAATTTTTCATATAGCGGCAAAATAATGATAAATCAATCAAATGTACAAAGAATAATGATTGGAGCGTCATTTTTACAATTACAAAAGGTTCGTGATGCTTGTGCGAGTTTTTTAAAAAATCACTTACATCCAACTAATGTATTGGGATTTCACGAGCTTGCTAACCGATTAAATTGTACAGTACTTATTGAAGAATGCTCTAAATTTATTAATCAGTATTTTCATCAAGTATCATTATGTGATGAATTTTTACAACTATCATTTTTTGATATCAAAAATCTTATTGGTAAAGATGAGCTTTATGTTGTTTCTGAAGCTCAAGTATTTGAAGCTGTTATTCGGTGGGTTAAATATAAAAAAGATGAACGACTGCATAACTTACCACAGCTGTTAATACTTGTGCGATTACCTCTTTTAAGTCCTGAATATTTAGTTGATCATGTAGCCAAAGAAGAGTTGATAAAACAGTCTCATGAATGCAGGTATAAATCATAATTCAAGTTTTATGTATTTAATAATTAATTATTTATTTAAAAACATTTAAAAATAATAATTTTTTTCCCTCATAATTACAGAGATTTATTAGATGATGCTAAAGACTGTCTTCTAATGCCAGAACGTCGACATTTGTTAGATAGCGCAAGATTCCGTCCTCGAATTTGTGATGATTTAGTAGGACATATATTTGCAGTTGGCGGTTTAACGAAATTTGGTAATTCATTGAGTACCGTTGAAGTCTTTAATCCTATTAAAAATGTTTGGAGAATATCAGAAGCTATGACAATGGATAGAAGTCGAGTAGGAGTGGCAGTACATCAAAATAAATTATATGCTTTTGGTGGTTACAATGGTGTAGAAAGGTTATCAACCGTTGAAGTGTATTATCCAACATTAAAATATTGGAAAATTATTTCTTCTATGCAATGTAAACGAAGGTAAATAAGTAACTAATTTCAATTACTCTAGCTAATAAAACATCAACTAATGAATAAATTAATTCTAGTGCTGTTGGAACAGCATCGTTAAATGATTACATTTATGTTTGTGGTGGATATGATGGTGTCATTTCATTGAACACAGTCGAAAGATATTGTCCAGCAACAGACAAATGGCAAATGTTACGATCGATGAATAAACATCGGTCTGCTGGAGGAGTTATTGCATTTGAAGGATACATTTATGTACTTGGTGGACATGATGGACTTTCAATATTTGACTCTGTTGAGAGATATGACCCCCAAACAGGAATTTGGACACCAGTTAAATCGATGTTAAGTCGAAGATGTCGTCTTGGTGTTGCAACTCTTTATGGAAAATTATATGCCTGTGGTGGATACGATGGATCAACATTTTCACAATCAGTTGAAGTTTATGATCCACAAAAAGACACGTAGGAATAATGTTTTATTGGTATTGTCATTTTCTATTTAATTTTTTATTAAATATACATAATATTTTAACTAGATGGGAATATGTGGCGCCAATGAATATGATGCGAAGTCGAGCAGCTTTAGTTTCGAATATGGGTAAATTATGGGCTATTGGTGGATATGATGGTGTATCCAATCTATCTACTGTTGAGACATATGATCCTCGAACAAATACGTGGACATTTGCTCCTTCAATGTGCGCTCATGAAGGAGGTGTTGGTGTTGGAGTTATTAGAATGAATGATGCAGATCCGAATGTGTATTTTTAATATTTTATATGTAACCAAATAAAAATATGAATTATTAAATGACTTTCACCATATTTTTATTAAATCTTAATGCTTTCATTTAAGATCTGTTAAAGTTTTTACATTGGAATTCACGAACTTTACACTTTTCTTAGAATTTAAAAGTTACGTTAATAAATTTAAAAGATTTTTGTAGATGAAAATTAAACACCATGGCAGAAAATTATATCGATACTTAATAAGAAACATAAATTAATTTTTGATTAATTATAAAATCAAAAAATCCATTAATTTCTCATACAAATATCTTTAATTCATCACATGAAAATGAACTCTAAAAATCTTTTCATATCGTTTCAAATAATTCACTATTTGTAATTACAAATTCAATATCAAAACAGTAATAAATGTTAATTAAAAGTTTTTGCACTTAAACTTCATCTTCATCCATAATGACAACTACAATATCTCACAAGAAAATATCATCTCCAACTAAACGTACAGATTCAAAATATTTGTTAACATTATTTGAGATGTTATTTTGCAAGAAATATTCACATTGAATATTCACCGTATGAATCGGGTGCAAATTGAATTGAGAGCATAGTGTAATTATAATTTATATTAGTTGTTAATTGCAATAATTAATTTCTATTACTTACGCAACATACATATCTTTCGAACGTAGTACATAAATATAAAAAAAATTGTAAATGATATATTATAAACCTAGTGCAAGTACCAAATGAATTTATAATTACTACGTACGGAATAGCTGTCATATTCATTGGTATAACAATTACTGTAAATAAAATATTCAACGCCATGTTTTTCTTTGAAGAATAAATTCGATAAACTTTACAGACGAATGATAAAGCATTACTATAATGAGAAAAAATTAATTTTTCTAATAAAATTTTTTAAGCAACTGTAAAGAAATATTTCGTCATTTTAATCTCTATTTTATTTTAATAAAACTATTTTTAACATTCAAATGGAAATTTTTGATGTACTGCAAAAATAAATATTCATGGCTCATAAAAAATACTCAACAAGTTAAACTTGTTGTTTAATAAAAACAAATTATAATGCACGTAAGGATCTGCATATGTATACATATCTATAGATAGGTATTTTCAAATATATGTAATTGAATCCATTTCTATAATCGATAGTAAATCGTGAATATTTGTAACACAGATTAAATTATTTGTTGATTATACTAATTATTGTAGTATAGGTATTTAATATTTTTGAATTGTTGAGAAAGAAATGTTACACCCAGTTATCCTCGATAAATTTAGATGTTCCTGTGTAGATGAGAAAAATCATTAAATATGTTTTTTATAATAAACTATTATGATTTGTAACATTATTTTTTATTTATTTCTAAAAATGTAATTAGATATCCAGTTTCTAGTTTTATATTTATATCTAGTATGTATCATCGTCATTCATGTTTAAATTATTTAAATAAATAATCATACTTTTATTCACATTTTAATAATTATGATAATTAAAGTTTTATTAATTCTTATGCAAAAGAACACTACCTTGAAAGTCTCCATTTTCTTATTCATTTTTCTCTCCATAATTACTTGATAAATACAAAATTGTCATTAATTTAATACAATTAATTTATTATCAACATTATACTGATTTCATACATCTGTAAGTATCAGTTAATAAAAAAATCTTATTTAACCGAGGAAATCATAGTTGGAAACATCATCAAATTGTTGATTTGACGGATTTCCAGTATTAGTAGGTCTTGTAGGCATTTGACCTCTCTGACCAACCATTTGTTGCTGTATGCCTGTTAACACTTGTTGTGGTCTGTATTGTTGCTGAAATTTTTTAAATAAAAATTAATCTTTCTCGTAAACAATATATTATAATGTAAATATTAATAGTCTTTTCTTAATATACCTGTTGAAGAAGATGCCGAAGACCTGAACTATTTGCCATTACAGGTCTCATCATTCTTTGAGCATTTGGTTGTTGTCCGGAAATACCAGTGTTCGGGTTTAATGCTCTTTGAGCTTGTTGAGCCTAAAAAAATACACAATAAATAGCAATTCATAAAAATTCAGAATTTTTATCCGAAGAATTAATACATACTTCTATTTGCTGTTTATATTGTAACTCTTGTTGTTGAGCAACATCTAAATTCTGTTGAATCTGAAAAATAACAGATTATTGGTTGGTAATCATAACAAAAGTATTCAATAAGATTGTAAACTTGTTTCAATTACGTTAACTTCTAGTTGAGATTTATATGCTGCTTCTTGTTGGGATTTATATTGAGCTTCCTGTTGTTGCGCTGCCTCTAAAGTTTGCCTCAATTGGTGAATTTTCATAAGATTTTGATGTCTTGCCATCTCTAAATCATCAGGGAATTGTGGTCTCTGTTGTCCAATCATTCCGCCAGTAGCAGTATTAACTTGTTGAGATTGCATTACCCCAGTTTGCATATTTATTTGACCTTGAGTTACGGTATTATTTAACGATTGCTGCTGATTATTGGATGACACAACATTTGAAGCCATTTGACCACTTCCTATTGACATAGAGTTGGATTGAGACATCATCATATTTCCTTGAGATATTCCACTTGTGGGTATAGATCCTGGGATACTGTTGGGTGGTCCTCCAGTAGTCTGCGAAAATATCTATTTTTACATTCACACTTTGCCACTTTATATTAATTATCAAATTTATTGCATAACTATCCAAAAAATTTCTTACTTGGCCTTGACGCATAAGAGCATGTGTGCTCTTTTGATGTTGAATTACTTTTCTAAGACGGTCTACAAAAGCTACTTGATCATTCGGAATAAAACCAAGATATGCTCTCTTTTCTACAGTGTAGAGAAGAATTAAAACTTTAATATCACAAGCTGCAATTGATGAACCTGACGTAAAATGAACACAACCAGCCTAGAAAATATATAACAATTTATTAGTAGTAGTTAATAATTTTTATTTGAAAACATTAATTAATAAATCGAAAATTTACTTACAAATCCCGTGCTCATAACTTTAGTAAGCGAATCAAGAGCTTCACAAGGTGTAGGATGAAATATTACTGATTTGGAATTTTTTAAATAAATTCCACCGATACTTCCAATCAATTGTTTTGGCATCAATTGCATTAATAATTTCTGTGGCCAAGAGTCTGTCTTTAATTCTGGTTCTCCATCTTTTGTATTGGCTGACACGTGACAAGGAACTTGTCTTGTTTGTTTTGGTGTATCGGATGGATTTTTTGCTTTCTCCAACCACTCTAAAATACCTTGCCATATTGTTGAACGTTCTCGAGATGGTTGAACCATCTGTTGACCCGGCACAGCAGCTTGTGCAACAGTTCCTTGAGGAAGATTGTGTGCTACTTGTTGAGCAACTGATGGTGCAGCAACCGTCGGTTGTGAAACAGTAACTGTTTGTTGAACAGGAGTTGACACAGTTTGACTTACACTAGAAACAGTCAACTGAGGTGGTACATTTTGGTTTTGAGGTGGCTGTTGAGCTTGCATAGCTTGAATAGTAACTTGTTGTTGTTGTTGCTGCTGCTGTTGCTGCTGTTGTTGTTGTTGTTGTTGCAATTGTTGTTGTTGCTGTTGCTGTTGCTGTTGCTGTTGTTGTAACTGCATATTTCTTAGCTGCTGCTGTTGTTGCTGAGTTAATTGTGGTTGTTGCTGCTGCTGAGGTTGTTGAGTATTAGCGGCCATACCATTATTATCCATTCTTTGATTAAATGCCACATTCAGCCCCAAAGAAGGTGGCTGCGCTAATTGTGCTAATAATGCACTTCCTTGATTATTTGATTGAACATTAGATCCAGGAATAAATGGCGTTCGCCATCGCTGAGGTTGTGCTCGAGCACCTGGATGATAGTTCGGTGGTCCTGACAATTGAGCATTAAAGACCGGACGTCCTGGATTCATTGGAACAGACATTGAAGGTGTTACTGTTTGATGATTAACTTGTATATTCATCGGAGTTTGATTCCTAAAGGCTGGATTTTGTGTTTGAGGTTGAGGAATGCTTTGAGTATTTTGATTTGTATTTGGACTATCGTGACTTTGAAGAGGGCTAAGAGGTATTTGAGCTGCACTTGTAGATGTTGAATGAACTGCTCCACCAATTTGAGTTGGACTAACTGGACGCTCTTTTAAATTATAATTATGGAGAAGTACTAAATTTCTTGGATCTTTAGTATAATTTTTGGTTTGGGAAGTTTGTAAATCACCACCGGATAACTCAAATAATTTAAAAAATTCCGGAATTTTTCGTGGCGATACAATTGAAAGAAAAATACTCCGTTTTTGAAATAACGTTGGAAGAGTTTCTATTGTATATCCTACATATTTTTCAGTTTCTCGCACAGCAATTTGATATGGTGGTGAATTGCAAACTAATATGCAGTGTTTCTGTGTTTTTGTATTAGGGTCTCGTTCTGCTTGAAGATCTTCAAAACATACTAATGCTGTTGCTAAACCTTCAGCTATACTTGCATGTGATTCTCCTCTGCCACCAACCATTCTATAATGATATAAACAATTATTATAAAAATATTTTAATATTCTTTGTCAAGAATTGGTATGTTTAACAAATGTAATTAAAATACTTACTCAAGATTTTCTAGACGTAATAATAGTTTATGAGGATTAGAAAATGGTCCAAACGTGTCTACACATGGTCTGGGAAGACAATCAGCAGCATGATAAATTACAATACCATAACGCGTAGTACTGTTCTCGGTGACATATTCTCTATCCTCAATGGCTCCTTGATTAAAATGTTCTAATGTAGGAATTAAATAATTCGTTTTCAAATCATTGAAATATGCTCCATTAACTGCTGTTCCCTCAATTACAAATATTACATCGTTTTGGTTGCTATGCTCATTTGTGTTAACAACCACCATTGTGTATTTTTTCAATAAATATAGGATTTAATTTGAATTAAAGGAAATCTTTTCATTAACTATCAACAATCACTCAAAACAGGAATTTTGCATGACATTTTGTTGTGACTATTAAATAAAACACTTCATTATTTATATTTCAATTTTTTGTTAGTTTTTATCGAATATCAACTCATTTTGGAGTAAAAATTTATTATAAAAATATTTTTTTACAATGAAATCAGTCTTATTTTCATTAATTTTACAATTAATATACTGAAAGCTTTATAAGAAATTTATGTCACTTTCACTTAGATTTTTTTAGGTTATAACTCCGATGACGCCCTCAAGCCAATAATGTCATACGCGGCAAATTCAAATTAGCTAAATAATTTAAGAAATGATGAAATTAAATGATAAATATCATTTGAATGGAAGAGTATACAACAATTTAATTACATTATTTATATTCTATCTAATTAAAAAACTCAGTAATAAAATATTTCGATAGAAAAATCGTACTTTTATATAATTAGAGTACATAACAATTTTTTTCATGACGTGTCTGGTCAGCATGAGACAGGCGCATGCGCAATGTCACCTTACGTGGCATTAGTTAAAGTCGATGTTTCATTTAAGGAAACAAATTTCTTGTTTTAGTGTAAACATTTGTCATTATTTCTCTTGTTTGTTATGATTTAAACGTCAAATTAATCAAAAGGTACGTTAATATATTTATTGTAATTATTTCTTGGTGATTTTTTAAATTAAAATTCAAAATAACTAATGATGATTTGTAACAGCCTGTCGTCTGATGTTAACTCTTCAATATTAATATGACATGCAGTTTCTTTTGGATACATTATTATATTACTTGTGTTTTATTTATTAATTTAGATAATGTAATTATTAGTTATTATTATAATGACTAAAAAATTTATTTCCATTTTAAAATATTTTTTTATTTTTACTATAACCTACAATAAAATCATTCAATACGTTCGATTATGGAAATGAGTATTGTTAAGCCTTAAATAACAATATTATTCATTGTTATAATTTGTAGAATTTCACAAAAACAAAATGAATCAACACTATATGCAACAACAGCAGCAACCTCCTCTTTATGGAGGGCAAAATCGACCAACTTCTTATGAAGGTTTGAATGCTAATATGCCTCCAAACATGATAAAACCTCCAGGTACTGAACAATATCCACCTCAAAAACCTATGCAAACTCCAGAGATAAATTTACCTCCTCGGCAGAATTTGTATTATAATTACAATGCAAACATGCAGGAAAACGTTTCAACACTCCAAAATAGTTCATCACATGCACCACCCATTCCAACTGCAAATCTATCAAATCAAATGTCAAACATGTCTTTAAATAACGTACCTCCATCAGTAAGTATTTTCTTTATTTCTTTGTTAATTCATATAAATTAGAACTTATATTAAAATGTATTTATTATTATCAGCAAAATATTCCACCACCAACCAACAATGGTATGTCTCTTGCTTCTAACAACATAAATGGCTATACATCTGCAGATCATTCACCATCAAATCCAGCTGATCCTCTACTGACTCCTCCAGCAGCGAAACAACCACCGATTTCAAGTCTTCCGACATCTGCACCAGCTAATAATTTTAATAATTATCCCACAAGTGAGATTTCAGCTCCACCAAATCAAATGATAAATCAACGACCACCTTCAGGTCCACCTCCATCATCTGGACAGGGACTTCAACAGCCACCAATGGGTTTTCCTTCGGCTGGACCTCCAAAAGGACCAGGAAACGCATATTTAGGTCAACAAATGTCACAATCGGGTCCGCAAATTACATCACCTAATCAGCAAATGCCACCATTAGCACAACAAATGCCTCCACTAAATCAACAAATGCCACCACCAAGTCAAAAAATGCCTCCATTAAATCAACCAATGCCACCATTAAATCAGCCGATGCCACCATTAAACCAACCAAATACATCTATACAGAATCAACAAAATTTATCGGGGCCAACGATGCAACCTGGCTCATCCGGATCATTGACAGGTCGACCTCTTCAGCAACCAGGTGGCCCTGGTTCTTATAATATGTACCAACCTCCTGGACAACAAAATTTATCAGGACCTTTACCACCATCAAGTTCTTATGGACCAACTGGAGCGGTTCCACCCACTCCTAATCAATCACTTCAACGTCAAGCTATGCCAGGACAAACTATGCCTCCATTACCTGGGCAGATGCCACCTCGTCAACCTCCTGGTACTATGCCAGGTTATCAACAACCTGGAGTCTACCCTCCCAACTACCAGCAAGATTTGTATGGTGCTCAAAAGGGTCAGTATCATCCTCAAGGTTTGAATATGCCTGGAGCTCTGACTGGCGGTTATCAACCTGGCACTCAACCTCAACAAGCAAAACGGCTTGATCCTGATTCTATGCCTAGCCCTATTCAAGTTATGCAAGATGATCAGAAGGCACGCGGAGGAATTTTTGCTACAAATCAAAAGGGATTAGTACCACCATTTGTGACAAGTAAATTTATTGTTCAAGATCAAGGTAATGCCTCTCCAAGATTTATCAGATCAACCATTTACACCGTTCCAACTACTAATGATATTATGAAACAAACTGGTGTACCATTTGGATTGATTTTAAGTCCAATGGCTCAAATAAGTGAAGGAGAACAAGAACCACCAATTGTTGACATGGGTGAAGTCGGACCAGTAAGATGTACACGCTGTAAAGCTTATATGAGTCCTTTCATGCAGTTTATTGATGCTGGAAGAAGATTTCAGTGTATGTTCTGTAAAGCAAGCTCTGAAGTACCAGCTGAATATTTTCAGCATCTAGATCATACTGGACAACGAATGGATCGATTCGAAAGGCCAGAATTGATGTTAGGAACATACGAATATTTGGCTACTAAAGATTATTGTAGAGATAATACTTTCCCTAAGCCACCGGCCATTGTGTTCATCATCGATGTTTCATATAACAATGTAAAATCTGGCCTGGTTAATCTCATATGTGCAGAGATGAAAAATATCATTAAGAATCTTCCAAAAGATACCTATGAAGAGCGTACGAAAATGAAAGTCGGTTTTATTACTTATTCCAATACGGTACACTTTTATAACGTTAGTCCATGGTTGACTCAACCTCAGATGATGGTGGTTGGTGATGTTCAAGATGTCTTCATGCCTCTGCTCGATGGATTCCTTTGTGATGTTGAAGAAAGTGCTACAGTTATTGACAGTTTAATGTCACAAATACCTGTAATGTTTGGAGACACTCGAGAAACAGAATTAATTCTTGCTCCTGCTATTCAAGCAGGATTAGAGGCATTGAAAGCATCCAATTGTGCTGGAAAACTTTTGGTATTCCATTCGTCTTTACCATCAGCTGAAGCTCCTGGAAAATTGAAAAATCGTGACGATCGCAAACTTTTAGGTACAGAGAAAGAGAAAACTGTACTTGCTCCACAGAATAATGTTTATAATAATTTGGGTCAAGAATGTGTTGGTGCCGGATGCAGCGTAGATCTTTTTGTTTTTAATAATTCATATGTAGATATTGCAACTATCAGTCAAGTTTGTAGACTAACAGGAGGAGAAGTTTATAAATATACTTATTTCCAAGCAGAAACAGATGGTGATAGACTCATCACAGATATTATTAACAATATTAGTAGACCAATAGCTTTTGATGCAGTAATGAGAGTTCGAACGTCAACTGGAGTGCGGCCTACTGATTTCTTTGGTCATTTCTTCATGTCTAATACAACAGACATGGAGTTGGCCAGTATAGATTGCAATAAAGCCGTAGCAGTAGAAATTAAACATGATGATAAACTTACTGATGAAGATGGCGTTTATATTCAAGTTGCTTTACTTTATACATCATGTGGAGGCGTAAGAAGACTACGAATTAATAACTTGAGTTTACGTGCATCATCTCAAATGACAGAATTATATAGAGCGTGTGATCCAGATGCTGTTATTAATTTCTTTGCTAAACAGAGCGTCTTTAAACTCATTGAATCAACTCCCAAAAATATCAAATATAATTTGATATCTAAGTGTGCTACTATCCTCGCAGCTTATAGGAAACATTGTGCATCGCCATTTAGTGCAAGCCAACTTGTATTACCGGAATGCATGAAATTACTCCCTCTTTATGTTAATTGTTTACTAAAGAGTGATGCAATTTCTGGAGGTAAATTAATTAAATATTGGATATAGTTACAATAAAAGAAACGAAATTTTTTATTCATTATTTTTTTTATTTTTTCATAGGTGCTGATATGACAATTGACGATCGGTCTTATGTAATGCAAGCTGTAGCAACCATGCCTTTGTATACTTCAGTGGTTTATTTCTATCCTAGATTGCTTCCTCTTCATGATGTTGACCCACAGGATACAGAATTACCTCAACAACTTAGATGTTCATTTGATAAATTTGCTGATGATGGAGCTTATTTACTTGGTAATTGTTTTCTTTTTTATACCATTGATAATTAAATGAATTTAGTTTTAATCTTGAAATAACTGGTTTTTTTTTAGAAAATGGAATTCACATGTTCCTCTGGCTCGGTTTGGCTTTGCCAACTGAATGGATTCAAGCAGTATTTGGTGCACCAGTCGTCGATACAGACCGTACTTCATTGCCTGTTCTAGATAATGCATTAAATAGACGTATTAGAGACATTATTAATCGAGTGCGAATAGAGAGATATCATTGCATGAGGGTAAATGTTAATTTAATTGATTAATTTATTCGAATTACTGTACAACCATATTTTATCATATTTTTTTCTTTTAGTTAACCTTTGTGAGACAGCGAGATAAACTTGAAATGGTTTTACGTCACTTCCTGGTAGAAGATCGAGAAAATGATGGTAGTCCAAGTTATGTTGACTTTCTCTGTCATATGCACAAAGAGATTAAAACACTTTTAAACCAATAAAATTGAAGAAATAATTGTTTAAAAAGTGAAATCCAAGTGAAAGAAATGTGAAAAATTTTATTTTTAAATTTATTCAATATTTTTCAGAAATCTGTACACATGTATTTATCTTATTTACATAATTTATGTGTGTACTAAATGGTATGAAAATAATTACTATTTGAATGAAGTAAAATAATAAAAACAATTACGGTAAGTGCACTCAGTCACAGTGATACGCTCATAAATAATTGTTGAACGTAAACAAATGATTGAATTGTATTATTACAAACAATTTTATTTTAGAAGGTATACATATATAAATAAATTAGCCTTTTGTTATTACTTATAAGACTCAGTTAATTAATTTAAAAATCAAGGAAAAAATGTAAAAAAAAAAATAATACATAAATTTATATATCAAAATATTTGGAGTAAATTTATTTCTGTGTAACATGAATAATCATTTATAAATTCATTTAATAGTTTTATAGGAATAAAATTTTGATTTCCTTTCAACATTTATTTGTAGATTTAATCATTATAAAACTAATATTGTTAATAAATAAATTTTCGCTTTTATTGTGCAATAAAATTATGTACTTAGAAGATCTTTTATATGGAACAATGTGAAAATTGATACTTTGTTAAGCATATTCTACTTAGTAACCGTACATAAATAACAATGTTATAATTAAGGTTGAATAATTTTTTTGAAATAACTGACATAGAAAACATAAAAAAATGAAAGCTTTTAAACATGTAGTAAAAATTTAAAAATAACAAAAAAATTTTAATTTATAAAACACCTGAGTACTCCCACTTTTTCTTCATTAAAACTTTCTCATTCACCAAAGATAATTTTTATGCACTCGTTGACTTGATTACTGACTTTCTACATCATTCAAACTCAAGTGTTTGCCAGTAACCGTAGAAGTATGTCAAGAAACAGCCAGATGATAACAAACCGTATATCTTATTGAAAGTATTTCAATCAATTTACGAAATAAAGAGAAAAAAAAAACAATCAAATTAGAAAGAAAATGGAATTTAAAAATTGCGAAAGTCAAAAACTTGAATTAGATCAAGCATGTGTTGTGTTTATAAATAAAAACAGTGATTTTAATTCTTGGATTTACGCTTTAGCATCTGATTGCGTTTTGGTAAGAATTAATATAAAAAAATATTATGATTAATATAAATAATAATTTTTTTTTATCTAGTGTCCATTTCGAAAAATCGCTTATCTCAAAAATGACCAAAACACAAGTATTATATTTAATAGTCAGAAATCATGGATTTGGTGGATAATTAATGGAACTAATTCCCCAGATTATAAATCTCCAATAGATAAGAGGTATTTTATTACCTCTAATAAGATTATTTATTTAATAATAACATATTTATGATTATTACAGTGATGTAAAATGTGAAATAAAAGCCAAGTTAGGAGAATATGGAATTTATCAAGTATTATATGATAGCACATGTAATTTAAAAACAATTAAACAACCATCGAATTCGTATATACGTAAGCGATATTTTTCTTAATTATAATTGCAATTAGTAATAGAAACTTTGAATAATTACTCGACAATTATTTTTAGCCTTGGTTATCCTTATTGGAGTTCTTGTGTTGTTTTTTTCTTTAATATCGTTGGGAAAAATAATTTTTAAGCGTTGGAGGAAAAATTTATCATCCAAAAATGATATTGAAGTGATAGAAAAACCATCAAAGAAGCGAATTCAATCAGTTGATACATTTCGAGGGTAGAATATGTTTTTAATTATTAATAATGTTCATTTCAGTAATTTTAAATGTTTTATTTAAAAATTGTTTTAGAATGAGCATCCTAACAATGATTTTTGTGAATAATGGTGCTGGTGGCTATGAAATACTAGAACATGCAACTTGGAATGGACTTTATGTTGGAGATTTAGTCTTTCCTTGTTTTCTGTGGATAATGGGAGTGTGTATACCAATTGCACTTAATTCACAGTTATCTAGAGGAGTTTCAAAATTATCAATTATTAAAAATATAATTAAACGAAGCTGTATTCTTTTCTTTCTTGGTCTTTGTCTCAACACGTTAGGAACTGATTCAAATTTAGAACACATACGAATTTTTGGTGTTTTACAAAGATTTGGAGTTGCTTATTTAATTGTTGCATTGTCTTATACTTTGCTGAATTCTCGAATATCAACCAAATTTGAGCACGGAGTCTTTTCTTATCTGAATGACATTATTTCACTTTTATCTCAATGGATATTCATAATTTGTATTCTTATTGTGCATTGTGTTATCACATTTTGTTTAAAAGTTCCTGGATGTCCAACGTAATAATAATTTTTTGTGAAAATTTTTAAAAATATTTCTATGTTATTTTGTTTTTTACTGCTTAATATTAATTTTCAGGGGTTATTTAGGACCTGGAGGATTACATGAAGAAGGAAAATATTTTAATTGCACAGGAGGATCCGCAGGATATATTGATCGATTGATTTTAGGTAATAATCATCTTTATCAATATTCATCAATTAGCTCTGTTTATCAGGCAGGACCATTTGATCCTGAAGGGATCCTTGGATGTTTTACAACGATTATTCAAGCATTTCTTGGAGTCCAAGCAGGAACGATACTTCGTGTCTATAAAGATTGGCGAAGCAGAACTATGCGTTGGTTAATTTTAGCTGTCATTTATGCTTGTATTGGAGTAATACTACATTTTAGCAGTTATGTTCCAGTCAATAAAAATTTATGGTAAAATTACAGTTATAATTATTATTGATTATAAAAGTAAATGCTGTTCATTCTTTGAAAATTTGATTACTTATTAACTAAATATTATTTATTCACTAATTAAATGATTTTATTAGAATTTATTCATAGTTACAGCTAACTCATCATTATCATTGGATATAATTTAAATAATTATTCGTTATTACAATTTTATCTTTATTTCAGGTCAATTTCTTTTGTGTTTATAACAACATCTTTCGCGTTAGCAGTTTTTACTGCATGCTACCTATTAATAGATGTTGTTCAACTATGGAACGGTGGACCATTTCGCATACCAGGTAAAACAAATAAATTATTAAAAATGAAACAAAAATTTTAATTATGACTACTATGGATTTTAGGAATGAACGCTTTAGTAATGTATATTGGTCATCAAATGTGTTATCAAATATTTCCATTCCATTGGAAATATGGTTTAATGAATTCACATACATGGAAGACAATTGCAGCTTTGTGGGATACTGGTTGCTGGACTGTAATTGCTTATGTTCTACATCATAAACGAATATATGTCAGTTTATAATTACATGGAATTTTTTCGATTATCTATTCAATCAATAGACTGAAAATTCACAATTATAATTTCTATAATTATTTTATTCTTTCATAGTTTATATAAATTTTTAATTATTGAGTAATTGATAAAATTTTGAATATATCGAATTATTTATCAACGAATCATTAGTATAAAAAAGAGCATAAAATTGAAGCTTCATAAATAATTTATTTTACAATGCAAAATAACAACAAAAAAAGATATTATCCACATTAAATAAATACTTAGTTAAAATGATGATTAATATTTTGAATAATCCTTTGTATATATTTTATTTAACAAAAAAAGTTTTTATCATTTTATACTTTTCAAAAATGTGATTAATTTTATGTATAATATAATAAAATAGAAAATAATAAAGAAAAATATAGAAGGAAGAGTGAGAGAAACACGCACACACACTCAATGTCATTTGTTGGTTTATATCAGTAAAATTGTATATATATATCCAGTAAAATGGCCACTTTGCTCAATAATCAGTCGTATCAGGACCTGAAAAATTGATAATAAAGATTAACTCCAATTATTTAACAGCTCCTATAAAATAATATATTTAAATAATAATTGCATCGCGTCGTATCTGGTAATTAATTAGGTTTATTGAGTTATACTTTAAAGTTAAATCATCATAAAAAATTAAAACGATATTTAATGAGTAAATTAAATTTTTTAAATTATTAATTCAATGAATTTGCATCAGTATAATGACACGAGTAAGGAATTAATATATGTTTATGATTTCCATGCAAACCGTAAAAAATTTTATATCAAAAAATAATTATTGTAACGCGATGTTATAGCCATTCTCATAATTATTATACTTAAAAAGCTGGTGTATTTTATTCTATTTTTAATCACTGAGTTTTTGAATATTTACTTCAACATGCTTTCTGCACATGTGTATACGTATGATATAATCACTTGAAATATATAAAAAAATATACTAGAGAAACATGGAAACAAAATCCTTGAGGAGAATAGTCCAAACAAATTATAATGGACGTTGAGAAGAAGGCATATAGGTCGATGACGACGACGACGACGAGATTGCAACTAATTCTTCGGCGTGAAAAGAGAGAAAGTTTTTTTTTCTTAAGAAAATATGTAAAAAAAAAACAAACAAATATGTACCAATGTTTGGTAAAAAAGGTCACACAGGCGCTCGGAATACCTCTCAGCTCTTCCCTCATCATTAAAATTGTAGTGAAGAAGAATAGCAAGAAGAATAAGTTGAGATTGGCATGGAATATTTCTTGAGCATTTGAGAGAGAACTAAAATGATAATTGTGTAGTTTGTCACTGTTTAATTTCATTGATTCCACATAAAATTTGTGTTATCCATCTCTGAATCATCAGCAACGGTCGTATCTAACGCAGGATGAAATCGGATGAACTACAGGTTTACTAATGCGACCTTCAAGAATTTTCGGTACATTTTTACCACTTTTCACTCTTGGACACAGAATATTTGTTTTGTATGACCAATATGCTAATTTTTTATCAGTTGAAACTGAGTTATGTTTGGATGGTTGTACGGAATATTGTGACTGTTTTGCTTCTTTCCAAGTTTGGAAATATTTATCATTATTTTCAGATTCAGTTTGACCATTGAAAGAATTTAAAAATTTTTTCCAAGTTGGTTTTTGAATTGAAGAATTATTCAGAGCATTATTGGAATCTTTCGAACAATCGTAACTAAATCTACTAGATTTTCTTAAAGGTAAATTTAATTGACTTCTTCTTTCAGATTTACTTTCAAGGGTAGTGACTTCAGTGTTAGACAATGTAGTTAAATCATCGGTAAGAAGTCTGAATAATCGAGAATGAGTTTGGGTTCGCGTATAGGTATTTAATTTTCTTGAAGGAGTGCACTCTGAATCAGTATCTACTTCTGATATCAATCTACTCATATCAGATGTTACTCCACTGTCTTCATCATCAGTTTCATCACGAGAACTTTGTACTGTCAATAAACTTGGATTCCTTTTATTATCATCTATATTTTTATCTTCGTCAACATTTTGTACTTCATTTAAAGTTACTTCAAACTCTGGTATTATTTTCATTTCGTTATTTTGTTCTTTATTAACTTCTTGATTGTTACTTTCTTGTACTTCTTCCTTAATTATACATTCTTGTAAATTGCTAATGGTAAATGGAGACGATTGTTTTCTGACAATAGTTTCACTAATCCAAAAATCATTAGATGACTCGTCGGGACACCAAGATTTTGGTCTCATTGGTGTTTTTTTCATCAAAGTAAAGTTTGCACATGTATCAGAATCATAATTAATTTTTAAATTAACACAGACATCATTTTTATCATTGTGATTTATTTCAGGTGTATTTTGATGAGTTTCAGATTGATGGGATTGGATTTTTTTATTTACAACATTAACAGTTGTAATTTCTTCATCATCTGTAGACACTGAAAATTTAAATTTCATTGGCAAACTTATATTTACTGTCGTATCGACATTATTATTAGACTGTTCAAATGAATCATTGTTTTTATAATCATTTGTTTCCATAGTTGTATACGGTTCTTCCTCTTCTGTATATGATTCACAATCAGTGATATTTTGTTTATCCTTAACCTCTGGTACTTGTAATTCATCTCGGCTTCCTTTAGTAGAATTTAAACCTGTTGAATATGCAAGATAAGAATCTGAATCATCATCAGAACTAGTAGATTCTACTTCAACTTCAATTTCATCATCATTTGGAGGATTGCCAGAGTTTAAAGAATCAGAAGAATCTGAAGATTCGTCTGTACTTGATACTTGAGATTCTGTTATAATATTATCGTCATTTGTCAATCTGTCTGTATCATCCGGATTTATTTTTTTATTATAATCATTCTCTTCATGAAGAATATTCATCGAATATGTATTATCTTTATTGATAAAGTCTGAACATTGACTAGAATTAGTAGTAGGTTGACTAGAAACTTGGACGACTGCTTCAACCCATGCTGGTGAGTCTAAAGAATTATTAGAATTTGTTTCCTGTTCTTGAACTAAATTTTGATTGTTTGACGAAATAAAACCATGACAAAATGAATAGTGTGCAGGTGAAACAGAATGATCAGTGATAGTAGAAGAAGAAGGCATATTAATATCTTGATAATGGCAATAAGCAATTGAATTGGTGATATTTGGCACGTTGATGTTATTCTGATGAAGTTGGTGATAATTTGATTGGTTATATTGATAGGGTATTGGATAATATGCCCAATAAATAGGCTGTGAATAATGAGGAATGAATACACCCTGCTGATTGCCCAGTGGCATCATGCTACTTGACACTTGACAGGTGAAATCTGCTTGACCAATTTCTTGCTTTGCTATAACAAACACATTGCATACAAAAAACAATATCAAAGCCTTCAATGCGTTCGATTCTCTCTCACTAATGCTTCTCTTTGATCACATTTCTATTATAAACATTATATATAATATTTAATATTATTAATATTAATATTATTGCTGTTATAACTTCTTATATACTTTGATACATTAATCAAGTCCTTCTTTTAATGTTTATCTCGTCGCCGTCGAATTGGAAGCGACGAGGCAAGGAGCAAGAGAGGACGAACGACGGGGCCAAACGCTTATCCTGCTTTCAAAGGAAATTTATAAATTATTAAATAATTAATTTTATTATTGTGATTATTATTTTTAATGTTATCATAATTAATTAAATCTTCAGTCAAATTTCCTATGAACACAAGATTATTATTGTTCTAAGCAGTATTTAATTCTATTTTTTACCTATTTTTTAATTTTATAATAATTTCTTCTTATTTTGAATAAATGAATTTGAGGCAAAATGAATCGCATTATTAATCAGTGAAAAAGGAAAAAAAATATTAATAATTATGTCAATGTAATTTGCCGTTGTTGATTATTTTTTAATTTATTATTAATAAGTTATTCTTACGTTTCGATTTGATATAGGACTTACCTACGTCCTCTGGCGACGTCATAGCTTGGAGTATCCTAAAAGACCTTGATGGTATTGCACTTCCAGTGTACTTCTTAGGCTCAGGTACTTGTTGTTCACTTGGTGGTAGATTCATTTGTGTTTCTTCTGTGATCAAATATATTAAATTTGTTATTATTTTAATATTAACTGTTAATCTATACACGACATGCTATACAATTAGATATTATTAAGTAAATATCTTGATGATAAATTGAAATTCACTGCAAGCATTTTTTTTTAAAATCAATAATATAGATATTCGTAATAAAGCATTTGCAAATTGCACACACAAAACAATTATAATTGTTCAAGTTCTAACCGAACGTTCGCGAATTCCTGTTTTGTCTCTTCATGGTACTGTTCATTGCTCGAGGTGCTGCTAATTCATATTGAAATTCAATTAATGCAAACATGAATTTAAATATCTTTTGAATGTGTCATAGAAGCTTAAATTGTTCTCACCATTGGTATTTGTTAAAACTTCATTGGAATCTGTCATATTTTGAAGGTATCGAAATGCCCGTGATGGAATTGCTGCGCCACGATATCTTGGGTCTTCTTCTTGATGTAGATAAGTATCCCCATCCACTTAAAAATTTAGAAAATTTTTAGTGATCAATGAAGCATAAATTTCATTTTTTTTATTTTAAAATAATTCTCACCTTGTTCTTTAAATTTATTCATTAACATTTTGTCATCTTCAGTTAATTGAAGTTTACGAAGTTGCTCAGTGTCAATATCATCTCTATCAGTGTCTGTAATTTTTTGTAGAACTCTGAAAGATTTTGATTGAACTGGTCCAGATTCTTGCTGATTCATGATTGGTGTTTTTTGTACATTTTTATTAACTTGATTTTGAGTAGAATTTCCCGGGAAATCATTTCGTTGAATATATATAGTATTATTACTGTTTTCCACGACAATAGGAACAATGTAAGTTCCAGGACTATTTGGTTGAGGAGTTTTTGATGGAGTTGATATAACTCGTGGTGTTGATGGAGTTTGAGGTTGCTGAATAGGCTGACCCCAACGTTGTTGATGATGAGGGGAAGATTGTTTAAATTGGTGGTGACCTTGTTCATTATTTGCTGCAAAAACAGATGGTCGATCTTCCACCTGATTTAAAATTGGATTATAGTTTAATAACAAATGTTTAATGTAAATTGTTTCATTTATACTTGTAAACAACTTACACGAAGAGGAATTATACGCTCATTACTTGTAGATTTAGTTTGAGTTTTTTGTGGCGATGGTTGTTGGATGTAAATAGTTTGAGTATTATTTGAATCGTTTCTAGATGGGTATGAAGATGATTCATTAGCTATACTTCTTTTAGCCCACTCTGGAAGCTCCTCCTGTTGTTTATTCTTTTGCATCCAAGGTGTTGGTGCTTTAGTTAATGTTACTTGAGTTGGAGTAGAAGGAGTATCTGGAGAGTTCAGTTGCGACGAAGGACTCTGATCAATTTTTACCATTGGTCTAGGTGGTTCAGATTCAATATCTCTGGTTACTAAAAAAAAATGATTTATCTATTTTTGAAATATGTTTTTAAGAATAATTGTTATGTTATAAATTTTTTTTTTCAATCTAAAAAAATGTAAATCAATAATGTAAAGTTTCTTTTAATACCATTTGATGGGGCTCGAACAACATTTGGAGTTCGATTAACTTGTAGAGTAGAAGGATTCGTTGGGAAAACTGGCACAGCGACCTGAGGCTGTACAAAAAGATTGTTGCCAGTGGAAACTGGTCGTGATTGTTCTGTAGCCAGTGGAGATTTTGGTGGTCCTTCAATACCCTCATCATTGGCATTTTTAGCAACTCTTCTTGCCATCCTAGGACTTCTTATCTGTGACAAATCCAATTTACCACCCATACCTGGTGTGTAAGTGAAAGGTTTTTTGTCCTTGGTCATCATCGCATTTTGAATTGCTGCTGGCGGCTCATAAGAATCATTATTGTAGACTTGTGATCTCCTTGGCATAGACGGCTGAAAATAAATAATTATTTTAACTGTTATGTATTTTATTTTAAATTAAATAAACATCTTGTTTCTTGTCTTTTCTGGCAATTAAATAACGTTATGAATGTTTTTAGAATCAAAATTTGGCACTACCTACCCAATAATTTATTACTACACCCATGTTTATAGTAAAATGGTAAAAAGAGTGAAAAGGCGTTAAATTAGTTTCTCAAAAAAATTCAATAATCAAAGTATTTAGATCAAAAGGAATTAGTTTTTCTCAGATACAAATTATGGGAAAACTTACCAAAAAATATTTATGCTGTGATTCAGAGAAAGAGAGAGAGAGAAGAGAAAGCGATGATGTTCAAAGATAGAACGTCAAACTTGAAATACCAGGACTTGTTTCTTACCTCAACTGTGTTAATCCTCATCGCTGGCACTTGACCAGCTACAGGTGGGGGTGGTGGTGGAGGTGGGACAGAACAAAATCCTGCAAATGATGCCAGGTATCATATGTTAAACCATATTGTGTACTAATTTAATATACTCAAACTAAAATAATTATTCCATAATAAATAGTAGATTCATTTTACCTGAAGGACTAGCAGGATTGGAAGTTCTGTGAAACAAAGAAAAAATACTCGTTATAAAGGGTTATAATTAAAATCTAATAAATGCTTATAATAAAAGAAGACCATTCTTTGTATAGTTGAGAATAAAATAGTATATAGTTGTTGACCGAAAAAATTTTAAGAGGAAAATTTTTACAAAATTAGAACGTCATAGAGCAATGACGCATGGATTATAAAATCATTTTAGCACACTTCTAGTTCATCCAAACGTTAAAGAAACCGAGTCCGTGATGAAAATGATAGTCGTCAGGCTGAAAGTAAGTGTTAGACTAACACAAGGTGGACCAGACATTTGTGATCTATCTCAAGATTGTTCAACGATTAAACTTTAACTTTAACCCACAAATGACTCTGCAGTTTCTCAACTTGGATTAAAACCTTTCGTCTACTTCTCTTGTTGATCGTTTTGACCATGTAGAGAAATCTCTTTAAGCTATTTAATGAAAGTAAACGAGGACATTAGTAATAACCAAACAATTTTCTAGGTCATTTTATCAGTAATACGACAATGGATCATATACCGTTGGATAATTAATTTTAAGTAAATTTTTTATGTTCTTCAGAAAACTTGAAATGCATGGAGTTTGGTTTTACTCATCTTCGGGAAGCCAGCCAACAAAGTCTATCGTGTAGAAATGTATTTAGGTAGATACTCTAAGCACAACTAATTTTAGCGACTGCTGACCCAAGCCTCGAGCACGCCCGTATAAAATGCTTCCGATTATTTTATTTTTAGCAATTCCATCGACTGATCCAGCCTTATTCTTCGTTTAATGAACAGAAGAACGTGAAGAAGAAAAGACAGAAAAAAACTTATTTGCTTGTTATGTATACTCTCAAAATAATTTAAATTTTGTATCAAGTACAAGTAGAAAATTCTTAAGTTTTCATTTTTATGAGGTCTTGGGCACGTGAAGACACTTGACCAGTTGTTTAAAAATAACCTTGCTATGGTTGCAAGACTTGGACAAAAAAAAAGACACGTGGCAATGAACAATTTTATTGTATCGAATTTATACTCTTGATTTTATTGAAGGCCACTAGCATATTCATTTTAGTATCAGTATATAATATATAATGTAAGGTATAGATATTAGGGATGTTTGTTGAATAAGTATTGTTTGAATTAATCGGGTTGTTAATAGACAAGCAGTATCTTAAACAAAATATTTCTTTTTCTTACCCGACAAATGTTGCAGAACTCATGGTATCCAAAATTTAAAGTTGAAAGAAAAATGGTTTAATACTTGTTTTATTAACTTCAATGGATTGAATTGTTTTCACGTTATGTGATTCGTTTTTTTTTTGTTAAATTAGTGTGTATTGAATGAAGATAAAATGAAAATCATCGGACGATGCCGATACTTGAGCGCATCCGTCGCAACTGCGGATAAATCGCCGACGACCTAAAGAGAAGCAACGACTTTAGAAAGAGAAGTGATGCCAAGAAGTGCGACAGAGAGAAAAACGATGAGGTGTCCAGTATGAATAGAGAAAATTTTGTAGTCAAGAAAAACTAAGTAATAAATCATGTCAAATTCATTATTTTTTAATGGAATATAATGATATAATAAACTTTCAATTTCTTAAATTTTATATTTTTAAAATGATTCTTTTCCTAATTATAGTTTTAACATTGAAAATTGATCTCGACCTACATTTGACGTAGAAACTTAAGATAAACAATTCTAAAGTACCTTGAACAGATTGATAGATGTATTGGGCTGTGATGAAACATATATGTATATTTGGGATTTACACAGAGAAGACAAGTCATCAAACTCAAACGATTTTTATTAATTCCATCAGATAAAAAAATGAAACTCCACAAATTACAATAAACAAGCTTAAATTCAATATTTTTTTTTTACTAAAATTTTTATTTTCTATCTTTTTTAGGTGTACCAAAAGACCTAGATTTCGAATAGGCATAAACTTTATCATCAGGATCATAAGAATATGAACATTGTTCAGAACTTTCATGTGTGTGAGGATCTAAACAGACTTGACATGTCATTGAATCCTTAAGGACTGTACGACAATTCACTGAATCACTTTTTTCTTCAATTTCTTCCTCTGATTCAGGTTTGTATGGTTTTTCGTCAGTACGTCTATAAGACTGGCTCTTTTCTTTCTTTGGGCTTTTGCTTTTACTAGGGTATCCAAAACTTTTAGATGTACTAAATTTGTAGACTTTATCTTTTGGTTCATATGCTGAAGTACATTTTTCATATTTTCCACCAGTTTTAGTATTTTTACACTGCATACAAGTCATTCCATCTTTTTCAATTTCTTCACAATCATCATCTTCTATACTTCTACTAGTTTTTTCGAATTCTGAAGCATACTCGGAGGAATAATTATTGGGATTTTCATTATCATCATCTTCCTCATCACCACTATCTTTTTCATTTTTTTTGTCTTCTTTTTGTGGTAAGTTAATAAAGTATTCATCACTTTCTTCAGTTTCTAATCTTCGTCTAGCAGGTTGCTTCTTATCATTTGACTTAGTTGAGATCTCATCAATGTCCGGTTCTGGTTTGCTTTTCTGATATGAAAGCAACTTTTTACGAGGATGTGAAACATAAGCGCATTGTTCATAGTTTCCATTGTTCTCTGGTTCTTTACAGACAAGACAAATCATACCATTTTTGATAACTTTCTCACAATTTTTAAGAGTTTCTTGATTTGCTGTCTCTTCTAACAATTTGTCGTTTTTGAAATAATCATCAGAAAATAGATAACCTTTTCCTTCTCGTGCGTTAGAATCGTCTTCGGATGAAGTTAATTGTGATATTGTTAATCCTAACACTGAAGAAGTCGTTCCTAGGACGAAGAATATGAAGAAAGTCTGCAGAAAATGATGGAATCTTTTAAATTATGTCGTTATTTGATGGTAATAACAGTCACTGACCTTGTAAGGAGCCATCTGGTACTATCCAATAAAGATTTATCAAATAAATCACGTTACGGATTGATGAACAACAATGCTTTCTCATAAAATGAATTTTCCAGGCTAGCGGATTGATTTTATATTGACTTGGATGATGAAGAAGTTAATTCCCCACTATAGTAAAAGTTGTGGACAAATTCTAACCACGAATCACGTAATTGTAATAAAAAAAAGATATGTATTGCGTACTTTCTTTATCAATTATTGGTTAATTATTGTTCATTGTAAAAATAACAATTATTTTTTCGTGTGTTTTTGAATGAAATTGTTGATAAATATTCAATTATTTAAATATTTTAATATTCAACACATCAGTGAAACAAAATAAAACAATACAAAGTGAAAGTGGAAACAATATCAATGGCAATACATCACCAGGTGTCATTGTTTTAAAAAATCAAAGACCTGACAATATACCCTTTATGTACGAGTCTGATGTTTGATACGCTTCAGAAGATAACTAGTCTTCAATATTAATCACATTTGCTATCAATTAAGTTGTCTAAAAGTGTAAAATTATTTGAAAGTATCTGCAAAGAGAATCTAAAGCTCCGAATTGGATTTTTACTGTGGTGAAGAAATCGATTTCACTGCAGATAACCTGCAAAAACTTAGTCCATTGCTCCCCAAGCGGAAGCTAGATGAAATCTCGATTGCGAGAACATTGAAAGTGATAGTTTTTCTTTTCTCATTGCATTGTTAATTCCTTTTTTCAAATTTAAAAACCACAAAATCGTCATAAGTACACTTGAAATCACTATACTGAATCCATAAAATTGATACAAAAAAATAAACTCTTTCTTAGATTATTTTAACTGTCCAACTAATCAAAATATGTTTAATCCTTGAAAGGTAATCCTTGTGGATACACTGGGATATGAGAGATGCGAGGTTTCAATGACCGCTGACGTCCAATAAAAGCTACAGTTGGTGCAGGTTTCAATTGGCGTAATTTCTCTTTGGAGAGCATTGCTTCAAATTTCTTAGAATTACTTCGAGTTTCTGAATGACCCGAATTTTGTCCTTTTATATCTTGAACTGCATCTTTTCGGCGGTGATATAAAACTTCCCCAGCTAAAGTCAACATTGCTATCACCAATCCGAATAATGTTGCAATAAATACACCGCCTTTAAAAATACAAAATATTTAATTGTAATTTCATTCGTCTTCAACTACTAATTTCATGAAAAGCAAAACAACTATTAAATTTTCCATTTTTTCTATTCTTTACTGATAAAAAAATATTCCATAATGTGTTTAGAATTGTATAATAAATGGATATAAAATTAAGAAATTTATCAACTAATCTTACATTTATTGTTAAAAAAAAATCTTACCTAAACTTTCTAAAGTTATTCCTTCACTTTCATCAACAGCTGAACATTTCCCTTTCAGTGACGAATTCCAATATTTTCCCGAAAGTGTTTCAAAAAATCGGTTTTTTTGAAGATCTAAAATCCTGAAAATAAGTTGTGTATATCAGAAAATATTGTTCAAAAGTTATTTTAAAGTAAAAGAAATATATCATTAACAACAATAATGAAAACAGTTTTTACGTTCGGCTTATTTCTTCTTGTAAATGACTGCCTTGTTGAACAGCAACAGCATAAGGTTGTTCAGCGAACACTTCGCCTATTTCAGTAAGATTACAATCTCTCGTAACTTCATATTTTATTTCAGCTGAATCATGGATAAATGCAAATTCTGCATTTTCGCTTTCGAGTACCTATAAAATAATTTATTTCATTATTTTAGTAAATTTATTATAGATGATTATTATTATTAATTTGTTTATGTCTATGAATTAATTACCTTTCTAAAGCCTTCAGCTGTACTATTTACTGGACCAACGCTATTAATTGTTTGTAAAATATGACCATACTGTTCTTTAATTGGATAATCCCATACTCTATATTCCACTTGATCACTTGTACTATTTAGTGTTATTTCTTTCCATACTCTAAATAAAAATTAATCATTATTTGTCTATTTCCATTTATAAAAACATACAACATAGTTTATTTAGTTAATAATAAAATAATTTGTTAATTACTAATTCATATTATATCAATAATTTTGTAATGAAAAAAAAATTATTCCTTACTTGTATAATTTATCTTCAGCGTTTCTCATATTTAGAAAATACTGATAAGTGCTAGAATTAGCAACAACAGTATAATTTATTTTTGATTGTCTAGCCAATTGTTCAAGTGACTGAACTTGAGCCTAAAAAAAATTTTAATGGATAAAAAATTATTTCCTCAATTATAACAAAGTGTCATTTTATTACCTGCATCCTTTCAACCGTTAGAAAAGCTGCTAAATTAGCTGTGAACGTAGCAAGCATCAAAACAACAAAAAGCCAATAAGCTGCTACTAATGTTCGACTTGACAGAGCTTTTGGAGCTTCTCCACCACCTTGAGGAGTAAAAGAAGTTAATGCAAACCAAAAACTTTCTTTCAATGTGAATTCCCTGTAAATTAACAATGAACAAGAATAATTGTGATTTACACTAATGAAGTCAATGGTAAATGAATTATTTAAAAAAACCACACTTTACCTGCAAGGATAAGGATAACTTCGTTTGTTATTTCTCGAGCTGTATGGTGAATATTTATCTAGAATCCAAATCATTATTGCTGTCAAGGTCAAAGCACCAACAATGCTAAGCCAGACTTCAAGTTTTAGAACCGTCATAAATTTGAAAAGTGATGTCTTTCTCACCGGTTTTCTCATTACTGTATGAATTATTTATTCAATTATTATTTAACCTTAGTATCATAATTATTAAATAATTTAAAATTACCTATTATTATACCGGATTGTTCATAATAAGGTGCCACAAAGTCGATAACTTCTTCACGTTCTGAGGTCATAGTCAGCGATGCAATGACAATATCGGTTTGCTTGTGGTAAGAAAATATATGTAGTTGAATCAACTACTTAATATACTTGGTCTAACTAAATGGTTTAGTTGGATTTACCATGTTATTTAGTTGATTACTGATATTTTTATTAGGAAAGTATGAATACTATGGAGTTAGTTTAGACCTTTACCGTTACGTAATGTCTAAAATTCATTCCGATTCAGTTTAGTTGCCTCAACTATATTGGATAGTTGGCTTAACAATGCTACATGGTAAATGTTACCACACCACGTAGTTAAAATTACAAAGTTTGGTCAAAGTCTCCACAAGATGTATACGGAAATCATGAAATATGAGTAGGTATTTGAAAGTATTTTCTTCATTGATGATAGTATAAAATATTGAATAAAATTTACTATTATTTATTAATTCAAAAACACTTTAATATTTAAAATTTTGTTAATGTTAAATTTGATAATTTATTGCAATGTTTGAAATAGTAATAATTATTAATTAACCTAGATTGTAATATTCTTTTAATTATTCAATCTCATAGTTTTAAAAAATTGTATTATGTATGAACTTGACTAAACAATGAGATTATTCATTAATTATGAGTGAGGAATATCTTTAAATTCTATTTTAAAATGATTTTTTAATATGCTTTTGTTTAAATAAGATCATAAATCTATTTTAAAATATATTTGAAATGCAAACCAGAGTTGCATAAAATTGAAAATTTAATGAAATAAAATTTATCATGAACATTGAGAAGAAAGCATTACATCATATTTTAAATTGAATAAATATGCAAATAATATAAATGATTTTATAATAAGCACATTATTATTCGTTTTAAAAGCTTTGTTATTAATTGTTTAATTAATCTAAAAATTTTAAAGGTATGAATTTTAAATAAATATTGGTAGTTACAATTCTCGTACACGTAAAAGTTGAATTTCAGGTTTGTTAATAACATTTAAAAATTGTTAAAATACATATAGAAACTTTAAAATGGATCAGGATTTTATGAAAATTGAAATTTGAAAAAAGCTCTCATGATATTTGTATTGATTAAATAATTATCAAGCTGTAAAAAGAATTGTATCTATTTTTTTTATGGTATATGTAATCAATATTCGATCGTCAATATAATTATGCCAATAATCGTTCTTGAAAGTTTTAATAATAGTTTAAAGATTTGTCATCATTCTGTGGTATAATGAATATTACAATGTAGCATGGTAAAATTTACTGTGCCATATAGTAAAATTTATCAAACTCAGTCAAATTCAAGTCAGAATGTATCCGGAGAACATAATTATTTGTGGATATTTTTTTTCATCAGTAAATTTACTACACCGTTCAATAAATTTTACAGCACTATATGTAGTTGAAATTTCAAATAAAACTTTTAAAATTCACTCAATTGTTTAGTAAAATTCACAATGTCGTCTTGGGTTGGATCAGGATAACATGAAAATCATAAAACCTGTCTTAAAAATCTGAAGAATAAACTTATTAATTGATTTAGCTGTCATGAATAAAAATGAAATTATGTGAAGAAAGTCTTGGAAAATTTTTATCAATTCAATCTTGTTATATTTTCCATTTTCATTTCCTTCCTTATTTTTATATAGGCAATATTCGTGAATAGTATAAAATTAACTCGTATAGGTGATGCGTGACTGCATATCCACATATATAAATTATAAACCATGTAGTTAAAATTACTACAATCAGTTAGGTAAAATATACTCAACAGTTAGGTAAAATTCACGATGTCGTCTTGAAATGTATTAGGATCACATGAAGCAGTTAGAGGTATAGAGTAGGGAGAAGAGGATAGGAACTGTTGTAGGTAGGGAATTATTTGTCGATGAAATAACCTCATTTAATTCTCAAAAAGTCCAATGCAGATATTGTCATTCAATCAATAAAACGAAGGTCTTTACTTTTTAATGAAATCGGAAAATTATTACTTTGTTAATAACATATCATTAAGTGAAATTCTATACATGGTGACCTACACTTACGTCACATATGTGCGTGACAATACTTTCTAAGTCAAAAAATAAATTTCTTTTCATTTTTATTGTACTTACTCCTCGGACCAAATCTCCAACGAGTCCGTTCCATTTTCCATCAGGTGTTTTTGAACCAAAACTATTGTCTTCAGGAATCACGAGTTCATAATCAAATTTCATTGACTCAGCAAGTTTTTTAATAAAATCAATGCAATATCCTTCCCAAATGTATTTGCCTTGATCATCTTTCATAAGTTCACCAGTTACTGGGTCTTTTTTTATAGTTGACCATGGTAATGCCTGAATGTTTTTTAAATTTTTAACTGGTTTTAAATTTATAGTTTTTTCATATAAATACTTGTACTCACGTAAGCTGTTCCTACGCGGAAAAAGCGTCTTTCTGGTGTGATTATTTTTCCTGGAGCAATTGCAAGATCACTGGAAGTTGTCCAATTTGCTAATTTTTCTAATCCACTTTTTTCCATAAGTTCAACATCAAAATGAGCTTGATAAGACATCAAATTCGTTGATGGTACATATTTTAATATATTTGGTTCCATTGCAGCAGTCTGTTTACAAATTATTCATTGATGTTGTAATTATTTTAGTTTTTAAAAGATAAATAGAACAAAAAATAATATGACCGTAGAATTGAAAATATTTTCTACTAATGAACGTCATATCAGAATTAAATTTACAAATCAAAATATTTAAGATACATTTATTTTCAATTGAAAGTATATTACTTATTTCATCGTAACATACTTTGAGAAAAAAATAAAGTAACATCTACTATGTTGCCATAATTTGTTGAAAACTTATTTTGTGATAAAATCTTAATAAATAGTTATATTAATAAAGAAATAAAATATTTACTGCATTAATGGTATTTTTGAAGCTTTTTATTATTGGATCATCATCTGCATTATTAGAAACGCTAATACATTGGCTTGTTTTTGGCTCTAATTTTACGCCATCATTTTCAGTATCCATTTTTTTTAAAACTTTTACCAACAATATCATAAACTGTTCAAGGTATGTGTGATGAACCTAAAGCAAAATCATTATTCATTTAAAATATAAATTATACATACAATTAATTTAAAAAATGTAACACAAAAAATACCTGAAAATCTGAAGGACAGTCACAAGTAGTTGTGAGCCCCAATAACTTACAGCAAACTCTTTGGTTCATTGTTATTACATTTATACTAACATTTAATGAACTAGGGTCTTTTATATACGAAAATTTGTTGTAATTCATATCTGTGAATACTAAATTCCAAATACCATTCCTTGTAACTATGCCTCCTTGCACTGCCTGGTAATTTGAAAAATGATTATTGCGAATAATGTTTTTACATTCATAGTACGTATGAAATATTTGTAAAGTTATTTTTTTCTTATTAAAAAATTAATAATAGGAGATAATTTTCACAAATCATTTAATTAATTATTAATAGATTTTCCAACAAGACTTTTCATCAATGTTGAAATAAAAATCATAAAAAAAACCATTGTATTAAAATCTAAATAAAAAGTTCCCCATTATTTTTAGCAAATACTATTTCTGAAAACCCTAACGAACCCCATTTCACTGTAAATATGATAATTACAATTTTGAAAAGTCTCTCCATGCTTTCAGTTGACGCATATAATGCATAATACGATGGCGAAGGTCTCATGGCACGTATTTTACCAATGGATTCTGGAGATAAATCATCAATCACAACTAATCTGAATGTTGGAATCCCAATGAGGTAATATAAAGCTGCATTGAGTTCTCTTTCAGACTCAAATATCAAAGCCACATCAGTCGCATTTTTTTTTACTAAAAAATCACCGGTAACTTGAATATACGGTATTATACCAGCACCAAGTTTTATATAATTTATGGAATTATTTAAAGTATATTCGCGAAGCTTGTCCCATCCAGTGTATGTCATATCAAGAGTTACAGTCACACCATTAGCAAGAATTGAACAAACTATGATAAAATATAAAGTTACTTATTTGCATGTTTATATTCATAGAAAATTATTAAAAAAATTTAAATCTTACCTTCACTTAAAGTTTCATTTACATTGTCTCGGTCAAGTTCCACTTGCTTAAGATCTACTTTGATCACATCATTTCCTCCAGCAGCTTTTTCAGCTACCGAAAGTGATTCTGTCAACACATTCAGAACTTCCCTTTCGCTATTTTCAATTACAACCACTGAAAAAATTATAAATAATGAAATAAAAAATATAATTAGAAAATATCAAAAAATTAATTTTTTACTTAAAATTATTAAAAATTCCTTACATAGAATGACAGACGTTTGTGCATTAATAGAGTAAAAAAAATAAATAGTTAAAAAAGGTAGCCAAAAAATTCTGTTGATGCACATTGTGCTAATATTAAAGAATAAACTAGTGCAAAAGTTGTCTGTCATATGAAGGTACAATTCGTATTTGAACTACCGGAGTCCAGTGAAGGAACTCACGCCTGCGCTTATACCAAAGTATGTTGGACTACAGGTATAAATAATTAATTAGCACATCGAATTATTGTTTCTTTTTCGGGTAGGCAACATGCCATTGTCATAAAAATCAAGAGTTATATTGATTGGATATCAAACCATACACTGAGGAAAAAACCAGTAATTGACTGAATGAAAATTAGTTAATAAAAAATACATAAATATTTTAATTTATGATTTAAATACTTATAATAAATAGATTGATTTAATTGTTGACAATGTTTCAATTAAATAAATAGCTGTTAAAGTCTAAAAAATATTTATTAAAAATATGATATAAATAAATTTATGAATGTTACTATTATCGATAAATAGTTTCTTAAAATAGATAAAATTGTTAATAATAATTTATATCGATTTTACAATATATAAAGAGGTATTTTGTGCATATTCAAAAGTATTTAATAACCTGAAGGTTAGGTACACTATCATTTTTTTGGCGCAGAAAGATAAAAACTAGGTTAGCTTATTACATGTTTGAAATTATGTCCCATAAGGATCCATTAGTGTTAAAACTTTAACTGTAGATCGATCTTTGATGAAATTACTGATGTACATTTTACATATACATGGTATGCGTGACCATTACGCATATCAGTGACAATCGCGAAAGTTTTGTGGTATTACGAGGCAAATATTACAATATGATTTTAAAAAAAAAAGTGTAATGGATGATATTTCTTTTAGATGGAATATGACAGATAAAAAAAAAAGAAAAAATTCCAAAGAACTTTTATTATGTTCCACTTGGAACATTCTCACGGGTTTATAAATTAATAATAGGTACTATGACAGTCAGAATTATTGTTACTTTTTCCTTCTTCATCATAAGCTTATTTACCGTTTCTGTTGCAGGTACATCTTCATGCATAAGTAATAGAATAACATTAAATTAGGAAATCACTGGAATTATGTAAATGTATTTTTTTTGTTATGAGAAATGAAAGATAGTATTTGAAAGAGTATAAGGAAGTAAAATTGTTTTATGGGGGATGTGACGGCTGTTTCTCTTCACATCGGTGAGCAATATAACATTGCGAGATTGATTAATTTCTATGCTTGAGGAAGCATCAGCCAGAGGTGGTAATGCACCATTGCCCCAAGGTGAATACAATAATTTATAAGATCAAAGAGAAAGACGGGATACATTGTAGAAAGATAAATAAGAGAAAAAGATAAAGGATAAACGAGATTGTGCCGCAGATGTTTCAGTAAAGGCAGGTGATCCGAGATGCTTCGGTAACTTCCAAGTATTTTTAAATGCTCCACCGCGCGCGATTTGTTCGCAAGACTCTTCAAACAATCTTATACAATATACAATCTAATCCTGATTATCAACTAACGTCGCCCAATCATATTCAAATATTTATTAGCACTTTTCATCCTTCAAATAACGACTTTTTCAACGATTTTATTGATCATTTTTATCTGCAGAAATTTATCGGAAAATAAAGGTCAACTTTTTTTATACTCATTTGATTAAGTTGATTAGTCATCCGATGGATGTCGCTCTATTATGACTTGAGCGCCAATAATTCAATTCCCACAATACACATGCAATATATTTGACTTTTGTTTATTTGATAGGTTAATTAATTTGTCACTTATTTAATCTAACACACTCATATATCAAATAATTAAATAAATCAAACAAAATACAAGAGAAAGAAAAAAAGCAAAATAAACGGACAAATAAATAAAAACAAAATTTATCTTAATGTTAAAAAGTTGTAAACTTTTTTAATTGAAAAAAAAAATGGGGATTTTTGGACATTTAATGTACCACTGCATATTCGAAAAGAAAAGAAAGAATGGAATTTTATTGAAAAGAGAATCGTGCGTGGTGTAATACGGGAAGTACATGAGTGTGTGTGTGATTCACCGGAGACGCAATACATATGTGTAATATATCTTTTATACATTCATACATATTTCCATGCAGACTCGGTTATTTTCGTGAATCCTCGTCACTCATCGTGAAAATGGTTAAGCCTCTTTGCCGAGGGCGCGCGCGCGTTTCCCATTCATTTGAAAGAAAATAAGAGAAAGAGCATTATAAAGTTAATATGTGGAAGAGAAATAGTTCGAACAGAGCAAGAAGTTAGAGGGGAACACCGGTCGAACGTCCAGTGTGCAAGAAAGAGAACAACACTAATGAATATATACGTATAGTATTGGTGAGAGCGAGAACGGTGAGATGTTAACGAGCAAGAGAAGGCAAACCCAAAATGCTAAAGGGAGAGAAGACTTCAAACGGCAGATGCTCTACTCAGTTGGCTCGTTGACGTGTACTTGTACGGATCTCCCCTCATATAATCTCATACTCGATCACTTAATACACGTTAGATGTCACAACTAAACCTTAAATTATTTATTTCTCATACTAAGTCTTTTTTAACGCCAAACTAGTGAATTAATTAAAATTGCGCATATTCATTGACATTATTTGACAAAAGAAGTCATTATTATTAGTGATTAAAGACATTCATTGGAGTTTATAGGTAAAGGATTGGGAAGTGATTAAAGAAGATTGAGTGAAAAAAAAAAAAAAATAAAATAAAAGACAAAAGTAGAAAGAGAAAAAAAGGGTCGAGTGGCAGAGATGTGGCAATGGCGCTCGTGTCCGGCGAGCGATGGAGTGGTTGCTCTATGGCACGGGGCTTAGTTTGCACGTAGTTCGTGCCTGAAGGGAGGAATATCACACGATAAATTCACCGAGGTGGTGTTGTGTCTTGGGAGGGCCCTTCTAAGGGCCACTTCCTTTTTTTTGGATAAAAAGTTAACATCAATCGGATAAACAACTGTTTCGTTATGATGTTCATTACTGTAATTGATAATTGATTGTTCATATTGAAGATTGACAAGTTTGCTATTTAGATTTAATATCATTTCTACAAAAAAAAAAAAAGATAAAATTCTGCATGTGAACAAGCATTGGAAGCGGCTGCTGATCAGTGTGTGCGCGAGTGTGTTATTAATTCTTGTTTGATGGCCACGAGGTTGAAGGACTGGCGAAGAGAGGATGGAGACTAGACTCAGAGACTGGTGTATTTAAGGTGTGCGAGTGAATAAAATAATTCTTTTATTTTGTGTTTATTTTTATGACAAAAGTTTATGAATATCTGATCTTGTGTTTCCATCAAAAAGATAGCAAATAAATGACAGAAGTACACATGCCTATTACTGGAAGAATTCTCGTTGCTGGTGGTGCAGCTAGGTGTCTACACTCCGCTGCTGGCATGCTCAGGTTCCTTGCCAGACTTTCAGGTGAGTCTGAAAAATCATTTAAAACAATAAAACTGATCATTTCAATGAGTTAATATATCAAAGGAATGGCTGTGAATTTTCTTGAGTCAATGACATTCCTTGTTTGAAAGCCTGATGTTATAGTCTGAAAAATTGGGTGTGACTTTAATGTGAAGAGAAAAGTTCTAAAAGTTGTTATATTTTTTCAGGTATATCTTTGATCAAGATAATGTTCTATTTTTTCATGATAATTATCTAATGCTGAAATACTAATTAGAATGTTTTTTGAAAAGTGCAATTGTATGGTAAATGAAAGGCCTGACCGAGGATAATCTGGCTGACGTTTCGCGGAGACTCGCGTGGTGTCTCACGAATACACATATACACTTTTACACGTAAAAAGAGAGAATGAGAGACAGTCACGTGACCTGTACGGTTTTAGAGGTGCTCAACTTGTGAAGTGACTTATTCCAATGGGATTCTCGACATTAATTTAAACGTTATAAGTAAAAAAAAATTCACATATCTCAATAGCTTAATATCAGATTGATTATTTGATTGAGATTTTATTGAAAAAATTCAACAGATTATAAAAGCCAATTGTGAAATGATATTTATACAAATACGGTAGTATATAATGAGGGTGAAAATGGAGAAGGATTTAAAAGTTGGAACGAAAAAGAAAGTGGCGATTTTTCGCGTTAAAACGTCTGGACTTGTGGCGGCTTTTATCTTTAGACGAGACAGCGAGAAAGAGTATCTTTTTATTCCAAACGAAAATAGCAATCGTTCTATGGAGTATGAAACGATGTGGTGGCACTTGTACGACAAAATGTATTTTCGCCTGTGTCTTATTTCTCTTCTTTTAAATCTCCAGACAGACAAAAATTGTATCGACAGCTTTTATTCTATTTTACTTCTCTCATCCGCAATATTTTTTTTCTTCCAACTCATCCTTACATTTTATCAAATGATTTTCAGCTGTTATATTTACCCGTTATTTAATCCAATGGTGTAATAATAATGTGCATTGAGAATCTATGTTTTTTACGTTACTCGAATTGTTCTACCTAATGTCTAGAATTATTTTTGTCGTTGCAGGAGTTTGAGAAGGAGAAACTAAATAGCATTGTAGGATGTCTATCCTTTCATGGGCACTTGTGAGATTTCGCAAACCTCAAGTGTTCTGTTTCTTTTTTTTTTTAACTCAACCCTTCAAATAATTCCAGTATTCATATTAATTTAATTTAACATAAACAAATAAATTAGTGAGAAATAATATCTGTACATTAATTTGTCTTGATAATAATCTTGTCTCAAAAAACATAAACGAGTCATCATCAATACTTAATCTATACTGGCTTGGCAAATTGACTTTTTATAACACCCAGTAGGATCACATTGATACTCACTAACGTTTGAGTAATCTAATCTTTGAGATTCCACACCTACTTCAGGTCGATTTCGGAGTTTTAAACAGCTTTAAAAAGATGAGATGGTCTAGGTAGATTATTGTATAAACTTGGAGATGTCTTTGGTGTGACTATTGGTTTTTCCGGGTGGCCTACCGATCGAATTCTTTCTTCAAATTTTTTTTCTCTTCTTCTCATACTTATATGCTTCTTATCCTCGAGCCATTAATTATTGGACCCTTAGCGCCTATCTTCTAAGCGATGAAGCATTAAGAATTTTGATAGCTTCTTTTTTTCAATAATGAATCGTTATAAGTTTTTTTCTGGAAGTAAATTAACAAAATTTATTAAATATTTTTCTATTCAATTTGTAGTTTCATATAACGTAAATATTTGAAAAACATTTCAGTTGATTTAGGAAATAAATTACACATAATAATTCTTTAAAATATACTGAAAAAGCTAAATGGTTTAACAGACCAATTGGGTAAAGAATAAAAATTCGCAGATTGGAGCATTCACGAAACGACCAAATACGCATGTCGTTGCCCTTATTTTAGGATTTAAATAAAGTCTGGCTATTTATGTTGCCTGACAGGGTGTCCAGAGTATGAGCAAGATAGCAAAAGGATGAATGAAAGTGAGAAAAAACAGAGAAAGAAGTACTTCTTAGTTTCCATAACACGCCGGTGAATCTTACGGTCGTCTTGTCGCTGGAAAATGACGTCAGCTTCAATGTCTTATTCAAAGTTTGATCCTTGTCAGAGTGTAACATACTAGTGTCAAGTGTGTTGTATATAACAAGGATTTAAAAGACTCAAACAAAAAGTGGGAAAATATTTTAGACACTTTCCCGAATAGATTATAAAGAAGCCGACGTTAAGCGAGTGAGAAAAAAATTAAGTGTGCGAGGAATGCTATTCTGCTCACTTGAATTTTTCAATTTGGAAAACGTGCTTGGGTTAGTGCAGTGCCGCTTCCCAAATATCCACCACAGGGAGTCGGTGAGCACTGTGAGATGAAAGTGAGAGTGAGAAAAGTGAAAAAAAGAAAAAAATTTCTCGATTCTAAGAAATTATTTTTGCATTACAAATTAGAGAATTCTAGGATTATAAAATGAAAGTCCCTTGATGTCACCGAAAAAAAAATCTACTCCCACATGACACATAATTGAATAGATTTTATCCTTAAATAAACCTTTGAGTAAATATCATTTTTGAAGTGAGGTTGAGATAAGAGAAAAAAAAACAACCCGTTTACCTTGAAAATGTCATAATAAAAAAAAACATGATTAACTGATCACTGTATATCCGAATAGGTATATAATTCATAATAAAAATCCGCAAAAGAAATAATTAATAAAAGTAGGCTTTTGATGTTGATCATAATTGTCGGTATTAGTTGGTCATTGTTAAAGAAGTTCTAACGAGGCAGCCACAGATATATTATCCAAGATATAGTTTGAATGACCGTGAGTTTGAAGGTGGGCTTAAAACTGAGATCATCAACATCAGCAGCGAAACAAGAAGAGAAATACAAATGTAAAAAAGGAGGAGAAATATACGAACCAGGTGTTTCACTTATACCAGTAAAAATATATAGAGAACACGCTTGAAACGGTCACCTAATCGAGATTCAGGAGCCTCAATCTCTTGGCACCCCTTAGACTTCTACACTCTGTCGGGTCTCTTGATGAAATCCCTATTGGGCGTGGTTTCTAATGCTTTAATATACGTCTTCATTTGTGCAACAAATATAAATATTTTATCGATAAATTTTTCAATACCTGAATACCAGAATAATAAATTACTCGGTCGTTTGAAAATATTTTTGGTTCGGCATTGTTGTATTATGTAGATGTGTATGAAGCGCGAAATTGGCGTTAAGTAAATAAATCGTTGATTTTTAAATCTCTATCAATACGTAAACTTAAATAGAATTCATGAAAAGACTTCTTAGAAGGCATTTGAAAAATTGACATTTTTTCGCCCATTTAAATATTTCTAATACTCATTCAATGAAGTTTTTCAACTTTTCTATTTAAATTATAGAAAAATTGATTGTGAATAATTTAGATGAATACTATTTTAACTATATAAAAAGTTTAAATAAACTAATAATCCTTTTTTAAGTATTTAAAATTTTTTAAACACAAAAAGACAAGTTTATATATAATGAAAAATCTTATTTGAATTCATTTTATAAGATGTATAAAAACAAATTGATTTTACATAAAACTATCAAACCAGCTGTGTTTAATTAAGCTTTAAAAAATAGCCTTCATAAAACATGGTTTAAATAAATTCAGAATAGTATCTTTTTCATTATAAAAAATCAATAAAATACTTGAGAAATCATTAAAAGTACATTATTCTTTTAGTTTAATGACAGAATAAAAAAGTTAATTAATGAAAAGAGATCAAAATTCAATTCTAAATCAATTAGCATTACAATAAATTTTATGTTGATTATTCTTCTAGAGTTAAAGTCTTTTCATTTTGTTAAACTTGGATTTTTTGATCAAATTATTTAAATCGAAATACTTTTCCTCATGAGTGATTTTGAACAATCTATTGATGAAACTATTTAAAAAATAAAAAAAATTCTTTTATTTTTAAAACAAGATATTCATTAAAGTAGTTGTGATGATAAATATGAGTTATTAAGACTAATGAGGAATCATTGAAAAAATGGTAAATTCCAGGAAAAGGTGCAAAGTTGTATCTTTGGACACCCAGAAGTAGAGTCTCTGGTGCTGGCAAAGAGGCTTCAAGCCTTGTAATATTATACGAAAGCCTCCCGGCTGACTAAACTACACTTTTGTGTCTCATTCGTCCACTGTTGTCCTGCTGTTATTTCATTTCAGTCAAGCTGTTAGTATCGGTTATGGCTGCTAGTATAAAATCTCCAGTATAACACCGGGCGTATTTAGAGCAGCGTTCGTATGTTTACCATTGACCGCCCGTCATCACCAACTTGCTCGTATTCTCCATAAATGGAAAAGGATAACAAAAAAAAAGAGTATATGATTGACCAAATAGAAAAAGAATAACAACGATTTGAAAGAAAAAAAAAACAAGATGCAAGAAATATTATGAGTGATTGAAGCAACTTTTAGTATTATATTAGAATACACAACAAAAGCCCACCCAATTGGATATCGGTGTGACATCAAAGAGAACATTCTTGGTATTTGCTAAATGTCAAACTACCTACCCCTCGCAAATGGACTGGTGAATAATAGCGGAAAAACGTGAGCGTGCAAACAAATAGTCGTCTATCAGAAGCCCATCATCAATTCAACCCAAAATCATCCTCATTATTTTTCTACTGTCATATACACAATAATGTGTCTATATATATAGATATATTATATGTATACGAACATCCATCATTTGTGTATTTTCCCACTAATAGATGAACCGTACACCATCATTTATTCCGACTGGTGAGGTCTTTTGATGGAGGGGAGTTATGCAAATTTAAATAGGTAAACACCAATGTGCTTCTGTTGTGGCAGGTACTTTCCTGCCTGCACGAGAATTGACGCGATGTCCGTTGGGTGTATTATGAAGCAAGTGGGTCGCCATATGATTTATGACCTCGAGC